TTTTATGATACTACTACAATTAATATAGCTATCCATCATTACTTCATTTTTCCCAGTGGTAGTTTACCTACACAAATGGAAAGAAAATACCCACTACATAACCAAATAAATGTTTTGGAGATAGGAGAATCAAATACTTTACTTGAATGGAATACTGACAAATTAGATGATAATTCTGATTTATCCAATGCAGGAATTCCTGGATATAGGGAACTTTATTGGGTCAGAAAGTTATTTACATTACCATTTATTTCATTCTTCCTTTACATGTTTTTCCTTATTTTGTCAAGAATGCATTACCAATTTTTCTTTAGAAGTACTTGTATAATTAATATCAGTGATTTGAATTATGCAAAGAAAGCAGCCCGTTTTGGTAGTATTGCATATTCTATTTCATCTTCTTTATCTGTTTTATGGGGGTATATTGTAGACTATAATGGTGTAGTAATAGCAATCTTTTATCAATCTATTCTCATATCTCTTGCATTTTTCTTGATTGGATTCAAATCTGTTAGCAATATAATACCTCAAGTTATTTCTAATGTATTTGCTGGTTTTTATACTTGCTTTGCAGTAGCACTAACATACAGTTTTGTTGCAGAGGTTTTTGGATATAACAACTTTGGTCTAGTTCAAGGGTTTGCTTGTTTATCTCCTCTTATTTGTATGTATAGTATGGATCTATGGCAGACATTTTTAAGAGGTCCCTTAATAAATAATGATATAAATATTGCAAATTATATTTTCCTATATTGTGCTCTTATTATTGTTATAATTACTAAAGTATTATCTTTTCTAAAGAAGAAAACTAAAAGTTAAGTTTTGATCCTAATTTGTTACTTTTGAAGTATAGTTGTAGCTAATAATTTTGTAGAAGTGATTAAGTCTTAATGTCAATGACCATTATCTCTATTTCACAATATATCCAAATATCTCCCGCGCGATGCAATATTCGGTATCTTGTCTCAGTGTATATTTCTACTTAAAAGTTAGTAGTCATAATTAGTTTAAAAATGAAACAAGAAAGTACAGTTATGGAGAAGACCAAGGATACAGAGAGTCCTAGTGTATTTCAGGAGGTCTTTGGCACTAAAGATAATCCAACTGTTATCCCTTTCAAATCAACAATTACGAATCCAAAGATATACTTTCCCTTGATTACTTTTACAGGTGCCCTATGTACTGGTCATATACATAATGCTGATGCCCTACGTGAACTGTTCTTTAAATGTGGTGGCTTCTCCTTCGATCCTAATATTTCCAGACAAGAAGCTGTAGTTCATGTGAATAATATAATTTCTGCTGCTAATGGTACTACATTTTTGTCTCACTTCATTGTTGGTATAATTATAGATAACTTTGGTATTATGCCTTGTGCCTTTTTAGCACACCTCTCGTGTATATTAGGTTACATTTTCTTTCTACTTGTACATAAAAATATATATCTTTATTATTTTGCAGCTATATGTTGGGGATTTACTATTTCGGCAATATTTGCATCTAGATCTAGATTTATGAAATTATTCCCTACTGTGAAGAATACAGTAAGTATGTTTTTAACATTGGGTATGGATTTTGCCTTGCTACTCCCTGTACTTCTGGATATAGTTTGTGAAAGGATTAGTAACCCGAAGATTGCCATTTATGCAATGGTAGGAATTTTATCTTTGGTTTTACTTCACCACAGTTTCATATTTCCATTTGGAGAGTTACCTAATAAAATGAATCGTCTTTATGATACTGAACATACACATTCTAGTGAATATTGTTTATCTGAGACAGTAGATCTAGATAGTGAATCAAGTGAATTAGTTAAACATAAAGACAATTCTAATATAGCCGGTTTACCTGAATATCGTGATTTGCCATGGTATAGAAAGTTGTTATCAGCACCTTTCATTAGTTTCATTTTCTATTTCTGGTTTTTAGCCCTAGCTAAGATGCATTACCAATTATTCTTCAGAGCTACATGTTTTATTAATATAGAAAATAAGGATATTATAAGTAGTTTAGCTCGCATTTCCAATATAGTATTTTCTATTTTTTCCATATTTTCAGTTATATGGGGTTATATTGTAGATAGAAATGGGTTATTAGGAGCTCTTCAATGTCAAAGTTGTTTAATTGTTCTTTCATATTTCTTTTTGGGTTTCAAGACTATCAGAAGTATTGCACCTCAGTTACTCTCAAGTTTTTTTTATGGTGCTTTCATGTGCTATCAGAATGCTTTAAGTTATAGTTTCACTGCATCAGTATTTGGATATAAGGATTTTGGTATTGTTCAAGGTTTAACCTCAATAACTGCTTTTATATGTCTTCTAAATATGGATACTTGGCAAAATACTTTAAATATATTGGAAAGAAACAATTATGACCTAAATTTTGCAAATTCCATAATACAATATGTTGCATTGGGACTCTTTACAATAATAACTATGATAAAGGTCATATATAATCGTAAGAATTCCTATATTTTGTAAATTTCTGCGATGAACTCCTTAAAATATATATATGTATATATATATAAATGCAAATAAAGAATTTAAACTAGTTTTATATACTAAAATTTAGATGTATAACTAAGATATTGAATCTCTTAAATTAGTCTATATGTAATTGCGAAATTTTATTCTTGAAATCTACTTATATATTTTTATTTCTTGAAATATTGATTGTAATCTTATTTGAATTAGGAATAACAGGCTCTAATGCACAAGAAGGTACGCCCAAAAACTGCTCTGAAGTGTACTTTTTTAGAATTATACATGCACGTATAAGAGCCTCTCTTTGATCTACAAATCTACAAGGATATGTATTTTTATCTTTATGTAATCTCCTAATCTTCTTATCAACTTTCTCAATTCTGCAGGCTTCCCACTTTGATATTGATCTTATTTCATTTCTAAGTGTTACTAACTTTTTGTTGTATCTATGTATTATAGATCTAATTGATTCAAGTTCTTCAATAGGAGTATCATCTGAATATATCTTATTCTCAGCAGGGAGATAATTTGGAGCCTTTGCTGGTTCTGTAAGTCTTTCTAGAACACGTAAATCTATTACACCAATATCTTCATATGGTCTTCTTTCATATCTCTTACAAGGATCATTAATATTTTGCCTTTCAACTGTGTTCATTGTAATAGTATTTCCAATATCTATTATTTTCATTGATAAAGGAGTTATTGTTCCTAATACATTCATTGTCTGAGTTACAGTCCAATTCTTTTGCCCAAAATTTGAATCGATTTCTATCATCATATTTCTCGTATGTATATCACAATGTAATTTATATCCATTCTGAAACATAAATAAAGCGAGTGTGAAAAATGGTAACCAAATAACACGTAGTATTCTACGATACCATCTTCCAACTAGTACTTTTTGATCTGCAAAGGATTTACCAAGTAATAATTTATGTAGAAAACTACTATTCTTTAACTCCATTATAATATTTAAATAAGGTATAGCACTAAGTCTCTCCACAAATAAAATATCATTCATAATTTCTTCATTTGATCTATTTAAAATAACAAAGTATCTAGGATGCAAATATAATTCAATTTCTTTAGATTTACTATTTGGTCTATAATAGTATTTGTATTTCGATACTCTATAAGCTCTTTCCAATTCATAATACCATCTTTCTGGACGAGTTTGAAAGTAAGCATCTACCTTAGCAAGTATAGAAATAAATTTTTTAGGAAATACTTTTTTACCATTAGAACAATCATATAATTTTGGAGCCAATTTCGGCATTTTAGGATTCCCTAACAATACCTTTTCTATTGGCAATACAATACATTCTGAAACTACAGAGTATTGTAGTGATGGTTTTATTAATAAATAGCTATATGCTAGGGCAGACCTTGCACCTTCTAAATTTAATTTCCATGGAACAATAACTTTTCTTTCTGTACTTTCTAGAATTGGTAATAAAGTTTTGGGGTTAACTTCTGGAACTAGAATGTATTTCTTCTCATCTGCATATTCACATTTTAAAAAGAAAAATCTATTTCTAGCTTCCCCTTTTAAATTTTTCTGATAATTGCAAGCTTCTACAATTCTAGATATACTTAATGATTTTACCACAGTAATATTGGTCATTTTTCTAATATTTTCTTGAGTTGATGATTTGTATGTTTTAGTTGAAGAGATTAGAGATGATTGAGGAGATGAGGATAATGATGCCATATTATCAGCTCGGAGAAAAGTGCCTGAAGTATTGGTAATTGATCTCCTAATTAATTGTTTCTGTCTATTTTCATTCTTTTCTATAGTTGAACAATAGATTTTTGGTAATAAATAGAATAAAAATAATACAATAGAGAATTTTAATATCCTTAGGATTTGCTGATTTATTATATTTATTTGACATGTTGAGTATATCATTTTATTTTTACTTAAATAGGAATTTTTTGTGGTTAATATATCATTATTACTTACTTTAAATGTATTAAGTGGAAATATTAGTAATATTAAGTTATTTTCTTTAATACTTTTAGTATTAAAGAAAATACTAAATAGTTTATATTTTGATCTGAAACTTGGTTCCTTTATAATCTCTTTATCTGCCATTTATAAGAGACTATAGGACCAATTTCAGGGGTTTATTACAAATTAATGTTAAAGTAAGACTCGTACAACACTTTTCTATAATCCAATAATTATAATTAATTTATGTATTCTCAATAATATCCGGTATACTATTTTTTAAGTCTGTACACATGTGCAGAAGTCACACATTATATACTAAATTTTTTTTCTATATAACAAAAATTATTTAATATTACTTTTAGTATATATAGATAATGAAATATAAATAATTACAGCTATTTAGACAAATATCAATGTTATAATTTATCTTGTGCCATATAGATGCATACACAAACTACCTTCTTTTTTATTATTTCTAAATAGATTCTGTGCTTCTTTACAATATAGTTAATTAACTTAGCTAATCACTTTTATCATATTTTTTTATCTAAGTAAATTTTTTTTACATGTTTATAGTTTTTATAAAAAGAAATATAAAAAAGTACTTTACTATTTGTTATTGCATGCATGCGATTTGTGTGATACACGCAATATTTTTCTTAATTATTTCCAGAAAAGTACCAAAAAGTAGGGAAATTAACAACAATTAAAAATACGAATGCAAGAATTTATTTAAACTAATGTTATAAACCAATGTTATGGAAATATTTTGGTCTTTTTATAGTTATATATATTGGACTATATAAAGCAGAAGGTACAATATGGGAAAGCTCTTTACCTATGAACGATAATATTTTTGATAAAACAAATGGATCAGATGAAGGAGTACTAGATTTAACAATTGAAGAGTCAGATTCATCAATCACTGATAATCATATACATGGTAATATCGTAGGTAACCAAGTAAATGATAAACATTTAATGAGAAATAGTAAAGTACAGTACTCAGTTTCAGTTACTAATTTAGCAAAATCTTTTAATAATCATGAACTAACTTTTTGGAATAAATATCACAATTGGCTAGCCTTATCTAGACGAGTGAAGTTAATTCATGGTTTATTAAGAAGAAACAGACCATCCAAAATTCGCCAAAAATTTGCTAGGGAATATATAGCTCATTTTGGAGGGAGTCAAAATCAGGCGATGAAGAAATTAAGAATGTTTGAAAAAAGATTAAATTTGGTTTTTTTTGCAGCTGAAAGATTGACTAAAAGTCAAATCTCTATTTTAAAAGCTAGTTTAGATTCTATTAGTAGTTTAATCATGTGGTCTCAGCAATGGAGGTATCAACCAACATATATTAGTCAACCAATATTAGTCTTAAGTAATAAAAATTTCGCAAAAATAAAAAAATTGTGCATCAAGGAAATAAAAAAGTCTATTATAGTTATTATAACAGCATCTCCATCATATTTAGATGAAAAATTTTTTGAACCAGATTACTTTGAATCTATTGATCAAATAGGTAGTATAGATGAATTATTACACAGAATAGTGATATCATCAAAAAATTTTAGTGATTCAGATAATAGCGAAGTATTGATGTCCTGTTCTATGAAATCGGAAAGTTCCGAAAGATCCAGATATTCAAAAAGGAAATGTAAGAGCAGAATTAAATATTCATCATTTGCTCATATACACTTCAGTGGAGTATCAGATATTTATAAATTCAGAAGCTTAATTCAGCAATTATCGCTTTATTCTCCATATAAAAGTAATATATATACTAGACCATTGTTTATTGTACCTATTTTGCTAGGTATGCCTCAAATTGATACTACAGGTACAATATTATCCTACAAAGCATTGAAGACAAGGAAAAAAAGGAAAAGAGCTAAATAAAATAAAATTGTTCAACTCTTTAGTGTATAGTACCTGTTAGCTTTTATTTTATTTCATGCCTAAGGTATAATTTGAATTTTCATGCGTTTCAAATTATTCTAAATATTTGCATTGTAATTTGTGTGTAAGCGCCTGAATGCATGTAATATATTTGGAATAAGAAAAAGTGAGCTGCTCATTTTTTTTTTTTTTTTTTTTTTTTTTTTTTTTTTTTTGTCATTTATTTCCTCTTTGATATTAAATAAATCAGTATAAGCAATCAATAAAAATAAATGTCATGAAAAGTATATTTGGTTTAGTTACAAACATTTTATTTTTACAAGTTATAAGAAGCCATACAAAAACTGGAGAATTAATTTTATCATATACATGGAAAATAAGTGAGACTTATTTTCCATGTATACCACAATTTCTTAAAGTTGTAGGAAGACATATTATACTTAGGAATCAGATATCAATATATAATCAAGTTTTAAATGAAATAAAGGAGAAAGGTAACCAAGAACTTACTGAGTTGTTTAGTCCTGAAAGTAGTATAATAGATGAACTTAACATAACTATAAATAAATTTCAGGAAGATTTTGAGAATCAAAAAAATTTATTATTAAAATCTAATAATTTGGTCTTTTTAGATACTAAAAAGACATCTTTAACTTCTTTTTTAGATAATTTGGTTAGTTTATATAGGCATTATGGCCTTGATGATTTATATTTCATTTATCAGCAAATACAATATATTGGAGATGGAATAGAACAAATAAATTTATCTGATCAGGTAAATAAGGAATTTTACGACGTATTACAAGATGCATGGTTTAGTTTTAGCTCTACATCAAATAAAAATAATGAAAAAGTCTTTAATTTAGCTCAAAGTATTATTCAACTATTTAGTGAAGAATTAATTCAAGATTTCAAGTTTAATTTAAAAGGAGATATAAGATTTTCAGATTTTAAATCTAATTTTTATGATGTATATTGGAAAAATATCTTTGATGGAATAAATATTCTAACATTTTTAGAAGAATATTCACATTTGCAGCTTAATGTAATATATAAGACCAGGTTAATTTTGATCAGAGTTTTATTATTGTACTCAGAATATTATGTTGGTGACACAATTTTAAATATTCAAAATATAATAACCAAGATAAAAACTAATTTGGCTTCTATTGATACTTTATATAAGTTATATCATGGAAGAAATAGAATTAATACTGTTTTAAATAATGAAAATATTTCACAATTTAAAGATTTACATTTAGAATTTGGATCTGTTATACTTGAATGGATTTATCGGACAGCTGTGATGGAGGATCTTGGTGTATTATATAGCAAATTACTTTCTTATAATATAGTTTTAAAAGATCTAACTTTCGAATGTGATGAATTAGTAAACTTAATTAAGGACATTGGGGATGATTATATTGAAAATGTAAGAGCATTTTATACTCCAAACAAATATATTTCTAAAATCCCAAATTACCTAGTGATAATTCAGGATATGGTTAGTAATAGTTTGAATAAATTGAAACTAGAAGATAATATTATTCGAATTACTATAGAAGATAAAAGACGTCTTCAAATAACGAACTTGTACTTGGAAAATACAAATTTCAGAAGTGCAATGGAGGTTAGCACAGAAATAGATTTACATACGGCTATTGTAAAGGATAAGGAACTATTAAGAAATAATAGGAATTTTGCTGAGGTAATCAAAATTTGGGATATGAAATTTGATGAATTTAATGCAATTTCCGGAATTTTTGTTAATTACTTAAAAAGATCTAGTGAATTTTGTAATATATATGCCCATATATCTTTAGATATGGCACGCCAAATATATGAATATTTAGCGAATTATTTACTTTATTATGACAAAAGACCAGTAGATAAGACTAATCAAACTCTTGATTCTCCAGTTATGGTGGATGATCTTAATCAAGTAAGGAAAGCTATTAGTGAAATACAAAAAACAACAAATGAGAAATATCCTGTAGATATATTTGGCCAATTAATTTCAAATGATGATTTCATTTATACAAATCCTAAAAATCAAGATAGCAATGGACCTAAATCAGAAAATAGCCTGGTCCATCCTATTTGGATTGGTGTTGTTATGTTAACTCTATTTGCAATGATTTACTTGTGGGCTAAAAGACAGGATAAATATTTAGATATAAAGAAAAAAGATAATTTTGATGATCTAAATGATGAGCATCAATATAAAATTGAACCTAATACTACTAAATATAGTTCAGAATATCAAAATTATATGAGCTCAGAAGAAGTTGAAATTTGTAAAAGGAAATATTATGAACATGATCGGAGATCTGGTTCTATAATTCTTAAAGCAAAGAAGTTTTAAATTTCCATGTTTAGCTTTTTTTTTTTATAGTTTAGATGAGAACATTGGCGTTTTGTATTGCATGCATGCAATCTTTTAATATGTTTTCTTTTCTTTCTCTTCTTTTTTTCTAGAAATGATCTTTTGATATTACTTGTTTAATTCTATTAAAATAGGAACAAATATACGAATAGTCGATTAGTTAGAATAAGTCATTGTTATTATTGTAAAAGTAAAATACACAGACTTCAGTAAGATAATATTAACATTTTATAAACGAAAAAAATTACTCTCAATGATCATGGAGCTAGTCTTGACAAAACTATAAATAAATTCAACAAGATTGTCGTGAATTACGGAGTGAGTGAACTTCTGAGATTTAGCTAGGTAATATATTATAATTGGCGGGACTATTTAATGAATTAGACACAAAAGTAAGAGGGGGGGGAAGGGGGGAGATTTGAGGGAAACTGCTTATACATGCTGAGGTAAATTATTGAATAAAATAGCTTACAAGTCCAATTTATGTTAAAGAAATGGATGTTATAGAAGCAGGTGATGTTGTAGAAAAGCCTTCACCAAACATATTCCGGTTAAATAAGACATTTACTGAATATGAAACAAGAATAATGAATAAGATTAAACACAATTTTTTAGATACTGTGGGATATATGGAATATAGGAAATTTAGCAGGAAGCATCAAGGAGTTTTTAGGAATGTTGCCAGAGGATGGACACTAGCAATATTAATTATATATAGTATATTTGCAAATGTTCTGTTCTTTGCTACATGCCCAAATTCTGGTCGAAATTTTGCAATTAATGGACTTTTTTATAAGGGATATAATTTAGTGATTCTATGTATTGAACTTGGATTATTATCTTTAACAACTTTTTGGTTAGTAGCAACTCAGTTTCAAACTGGAGTTGTATACTCTTTCCGTTTAAGTATTATTTTTTCAGCAATTACACTGATTCTTTTCGTACTAAGAGTTGCAATACCTGGTCCTAATATTCCGCTAATATTTCAGAAGTGTGATTATGAATTAAAAAGTGGTTTTGTTATTATCTATAATTTTATTCCACTTCTATATCTACTCTTGCAATTTTTTATTTCAATTTGTTCTTTTTTTTATTCGAGACTTAAACCATTATTGGCTTCATATTACTACAAACATCCTTGGTTTTTGAAGTCATGGAAGTTTGTTAGTGTAGAACCTGTTGAACTTCGCCTGTTATCCTTTGGAAAGATAGATGATTCTCAATTAAATCAAAATGTAACTTCAGATGAATTAAAGAATAAGGGTACTGAATACCAATACCTTACTGAGAATAATGGTAAATCGAGACTATTTTGGAGATTAGAAGGGGATGATATGCCACAAACAAGGCTTGCAAGGGGGTTTTATATTGAAATTAAACGGTTTAGTATTAGAAAACTTATGAAAAGATTGGATCCAATTAGACTTGACTTATTACTGTCATTTAGAACTCGTAAAGATACAGCAAGGCGTCCATATGCCTTAGAGAAACCTGGTTGTGACGTTACAAGCTGGTATCTGGGTGAAATTAATGAAGAAGGGAGACCTCATGGATTTGGAAGATGGAGAGAAGATGATTATCATGGTGAAATATTAGTAGGATTTTGGAAAGATGGTTATCCAGTTGGACCATTTAAAACAAAGGAATGTAGATCTGGCAGCGGATTTGTTTGTTTACGTTTGGGATACTGTAATACAGATTCAGGACCAACCCCTTATACATTTGGCTATGCAGATATAGAATGTAGTGTATCCGGTCAATTTTTTCGTGGTTTTCCATTATGTCATATATATCCTGCACCAACTCCCCATGTGAATCGTAGTCCCTCTATTTTTGCTAGAATTGGTGCGAAAGGTAAAGCAGCTTTTGAGGATACCACTCAAAAAGGGAAATTAGTTTTTAGAACTTTATTTAACTTAAAAAATATTTTTAAATCGATGAAATCTAAAATGAAGTTAGTTTTACAGAAAATGCCCATTTTAAAAAAAAATAAATTAGAAGAAGTGGAGATAGAAAATTCGCGAGGAAAAGTCGTAGAACTTCAGTCTAACAATAAATCAGATCTAAGTAATGTAAAAACATTTTCACTAAAAATACCAGAAGATACTGGAGATAAGCAGAACTCTATAAACAATGAGACATATCTTAATGAGACTCCCCACCATAGGTCATCACTACCTATTGATTTGAATTTAAGTCTGAATAGAGGAGTTAGAATAATAAAACGTGTCAAAGAAAAACTCAGAAGAAAACATAATCTACAAGAAAAAGAGAGAGATATCGCAATTTTGTGGTTATTTCAAAATTTATCTCCACATTTGCCAATGTTCACAATTCATCCAAAGAATGAAGTTACTATTCTAGTTGATGGAGAACGTGGCCTTTACATTGCAGGGTATTTTCCAATTTCTGAAGTACTACAATATACTAAACATGCTGGAATAGAATTTCCTTTAGATATTAATGATGGTACAGAAAGCTATGAGGGTGAACATATTTCGCATTTACTACAATCTACTAATCGCAATAAATTAGAAAATAATAATCAACAAGAATATACGTCAAGTTCAACAATTGGGACTTTATATCACTCAGAAAAGCGAAAAAATAATCGATATTTAGAGTCTGTGGAAGTTAGGGTAGTTGAAAGATCGAGATATAACTTAACTGATAACTCAAATAGAAGAGACTTCCAAGATTTAGATGACTCAATTGGGGGAATTCTATATTATCCAGAACTTGAAATCAAAAACTGGGTGCATAGTGATGGTTTACATGCTGTAGAAGTATTAATATTTATACATGGATATAATAATACTTTGACAGATGCACTTAGACAAGTTGGTCAAATGATTGCTTTCGGGAATTTTCCATCATATATCAAACCTTTAGTATTTTCATGGCCTGCAGGTAATTCATTTCTAGAATATTTTAAAGCTAGGAAGAGTTCTGATTCTCCAGTAACACATAAGTCCTTTTGTGAATTAATTACTGGATTAAGAAATAGAGGTATACGGCATATTCATGTTATGACTCACTCTATGGGTACACGTCTATTCATAAAGTGTTTCCCAAAACTCTTATCTGCAAATTTAATAGAAACATGTGAACAAGATAGAAGAATTCAAGGGATTGAAGCGAAATTCCCTGAATTATATAGACCAAACATATTGAATAGTAATTCAATTGAATGCGAAAAGGTTCAAATTGTCTCGATGACCTTTCTAAATCCTGATGTGTACTTAGATGATTTTATTAGTAAAGTATTTCCTATATTGAGAAAGTATTGTAATTTAATCACAATGTATGGAGATAGCCAAGATGGTGCACTTAAGTGGAGTGAAATAATACATGGTAGGAAAGCTTTGGGATGTAATGTATTCGGATTACACTATGGAGTAGCAAGTTTCAAAGATCGTAGTAATCAGTCTAATATTAGCATTTATGATTTACAAAATAAGTCTGATCATATCCTCTCTGCAGAAGCATCTGTTCAACCTGAAACAAAATTGAATAAAGTTAATAGGCAGGAAAGCACACTCTCTTTAATATACCCCTCAAGATTACTTAGCGGAAAGTTTCCTGCCAAGACATTCTCACCCCAAAATAGTAACTCAGGAATATTTAATGCATCAGGTTCAAGCGGAAAGATAGAAGCTCACAAAGAAGTTAATTTTCAGTATCTTGATATGGATGTAATTGATCAAAGTTATATAGATCAAAATGTAAGTACAATGAGGCACAATAATTGGAATCTAAATAGGGAGGTAATTGAAGATCTTAGAGAATTGGTTGTAACAAGAAAAAGAGCATACCAAAGATCAACAAGACTAGATAAGCGCGAAGGAAATGTATGGGTATACCGTCTCGCTCCTTCATACGTTACTTCAATTTTTGATTAGCCTATTGCATTATTGCATTTCCGGAAATAAGAGATTATAGGTTTTAGTTTCAATCTTAGTTTCATAAATTAGATATTCAGGTTAGGATTTTATCTTAATTATTAACTTTCTTGAGTTTAATTTTCAACTTTTAAAGTGATCTATCTACATGCGTATTTTAAGGGATCTAAAAAGTATTTTGGCGCCGAAATAGGAATTAAGTTTAGCTTTGTGAAGAATAAAAGATAAGTAAGTTTTTCTTCAAATTTTTGTTTATGTATCAATAGATAAGTATTCAAAAAAGGATGCTAATACATAATTTGGTGGTTATAGCGTTAAATATTCTATTGTTACCATCAGATATATATGCAGTAGCCTCTCGTAAAGTTGCTCCTTCCTCCAAAAGATATACAATACGAAAAAAATTGGACTCTGAGCTACCATCTATATCACCTTTTCCAATATCAAATAATTTTAATTCAAGATATGTCTATTTTGTGCCTGAAATTTTTGATATCCCAGTTTCTAAAGCTACTCAAGTAACTTCAAACCCATTACCAAATATAGCAGTATCAAATATTGAGATTGCAGAGAAAATTGATAATAATGAAGTATGGAGCTGGAATTCACAAAATCAAAATTGGTTTTGGGGACCTCCAATTAAATCAGATGGTAATCCAGTAATACCAGTGTATCCAAAAATTGAAGCTCCAAGAGCTTATACTGGTCCTCTTAGGATATATGGTCCTATACAAATTGATGATTTTCCAAGACCAAGGGTTATTGATATAATGTGCAAACCATATGAAAGTTTAATTGGAATTAGGGCATGGTTTCCAAATCCAGATAGTAAAGGTAGAAAGGACCTTAGAGGTATTCAATTTTTATGCTCTACTCCATTAGATGCTAGAAGAAGCAAATCCAAATCATCTCAATGGAGCAAAATTATGGGCAATGCAGGACCTCATTTAAAACAGTATACAGTTTTGACTAGAGCTGAAGATCCTTTTGTAAAGCTTAGAATTTTTATTGAAACTTTAAATCCTGTTAAACATCCATTTGATAAAGAGCTTATAGTATCTACATCTGGGGGACCTAAACTAGTATATGTAGATGATGAGACAAGTGCTATGGAAAAAGGTGCAATTTATCTTATAAGAAGGATAACCTTAAGAACCAAAAATAATCACTTATCATATTTAGGAGGTGGCAGTAGCCAATTACCTTCTGTTGTTGAGATTGCTCCAAAAGACCATGAATTAATTGGATTTAGGGTAATATTATCTGGATATCCGTTAGGTCAATTGAGACATGAATTGAAAGGTGAATTCTACAATACATGGAGATACAGAAATTCAGTATCTATTGGTCTTCTTTTTGGGCGTAGTGAGGATATTTTGACAGTTCCAAAAAGTCTCTACGGACATCATGGTGTTGATTTTCAATATATTAAATGCGAAGGAAAGGTTACAGGCTTGCATGGTTACTTCATGGGAAATAGAGGTTTAGTTGGGCTCAAAGTTGAATGTGACAGAGTTTGGGGGGATGTAGTTCTTGGTATTACTGAAGGTACTGATTCCAAAGTCCTTGTTGGACAGTTTATAAACGCAGTTACAGTTCACTTATCTCCTGAAATGTTTATACAAAGTTTGATATTTCATTCTGTGACGGGTAGACAAAAAACTATGGGGAGTGATTGGACTGTTCCAACTATTAGATCTTCTAAATCTGAAGGTGGTGGTAGACATATTTTGCAAGGAGTTTTCGTTGAGTTAGATGAAAGTGGTGCAATTTCAATGGTTGGTTTTCACTGGAAGAAACCAATAAAACCAGGAGTTACTGGTGAAAGAGAAGATTTCGGATTTCTGGATACTTCCCAAAGTGAAACCTCTGATACTGAACAAAGTAAATATCTTGAAAATAAAGAAGAGGAAATAGTTCCAAAGACAGACTTTTTTGGGAGAGTACCTGTAAACTGTCCAATAAAAGAATCGAAGTGTCCTACAGGTGTTCCAATGACAGGTATTCGCCTTGTTTTAAGGGTTGGTGAAACTAAACCAAAGCCATTCAAAGACTATTTAGTTGCACTATTAATTCAATGTGGTGACGAATTTCAAGAAATGATTGGGAATCCTAATAATATAGATTTGGGAAAGAGGCATACATTTGATATTTTAATTCATGAAGAAGATCCAATAGTTAGGTTTCGTGCATATTTAGGTGATAAAGGTTTACCACATATTTTTGATATAGTTAATCTTCATGAATTGAAAAGTAGATATGAGCTTTATGGCTTTAGAATTGCTATGATGATTGGATATGATCGTATTAGTGCTATAATGCCATTATATCGTCCAAAAACACCTATTGAACTAGCTCCAGTAACTGCCAAAGATATAAGTTTACATTTGTTTGGGGCAGTTAGACCTGTAGGTGATCCAGATATTGTTGTTCTAGAGACATCTTGTCCATTAAAAATACCAATAACTTCTGTTCGGATGTGGTTTGTTACTAAGAAAAATGACCCCAATATTTCAAGATTGATTGGATTGAGGATCCGCTGTGGCTCAAAGTGGAGGAGAACTAAATTAGGAAGTGGAATGGGTGATAGGCATGAAAAAGAAGTTCCACCTGGTGACTTTATCTCTAAAGCATTTGTCAACCAGCTGGAAAATAAGCCATTTTATACTAGTGCTATCGTATTAACCACTTTTCAAAACAATAGATTGTCTTTTGGAGGAGTAAAGAAAGATATTATGAAAAATTTAGCTGCTGGTGATATTGAAACAGAGATATATGGATTCATTGGTCAGGAAACTGCAGAAGGATTGGTATCTATAGCTTTTCTTGAACGTCCAATACCATCAGAGGAGTATCCACCCTATAAAGATGTTGAAATTTATCCATATCCAGCAGCTTTGGCTGAAGTTTCTAAAGTAGTGATAGATAAGGAGGATCAAGAAGTTTATAATAGTGGTAACATGAAATCTATGGAACTATTTAGACCTGGAGAAGAGTGGTTTGGTAAAAGAGGGTTAATGGGATCTTATGGTTCTGAATCTGTTTGTGCTCCTGGTACAAGATTGACAAGTTTACTGGTACACCAGTCATCAACATCAAATCCTCCAAATATTATAGGTCTGACTTTATTCTGTGATGGAAATCCATTACCACCATTGGGAAGTACTTTAGGAGATATTATACGTTATGAAATTCCACAAAATGAGCCTATTGAGAAAGTTGAGCCTATATTCAATCAAGTTGATGGATCAATACATCGTCTTAAATTATTGCGTCGAATAGATCTTAAAAAAAGAATGAGTAAATTTTATGATCGTGTATTAAGCGGATTTGATGCAGAAATAAGGAAAGGTGTAATTATTGCATTATCACCTGTTTATACTAATAATGGTGAATCTGGACCATCTCCGAAAATAAGATTATCACAAGGGAAAGGAGCTATTGGACCTGGATCTGCTCCGTTGACTGATAGAAAAACTCCTTGGGGACATGCAAATTCTGATGGAGATGTTGCAACAACTGATGAATACTCTTGTGAAGAGGGTACCAAACTTACAAAAATATCTATGGTATATAATCAAGAAGATAGCTCAAATGTCTTAGTTGGACTAAAAATTACTTGCAATGGTGTGGATTATGATGAAGTTGGACTTTGGATCAATGATAATAATACTTTGACGGAGGAAGTCTTTGAATTAAAAGAAAAAGAGTTCATCATTTCTATTGGGGGGATTAGGACTTCAGAGACTCAAAGTATTGGTCAATTATTCTTTGAAACTAATTTCCTAAGGCAATATGGTGAATGGCAACATTATTATGTTGAAGCTCCTGGAAGAGGAATGGAGTTATATGGTTTTGAGCTTTTATTTGAGAAATCTGGTGATTATACTACAGCTATTGCAATGTTGCTACCTCTATTTAGAAAAATAACTGAAGATGACAATAGTAATACACTAAATTCTATAAGTATGGGTATAAAAAATACCTCACCATTTCATCTATCGTCTATTCAGAAAGATGAAGATGAAATTCAACAATCATTATTATCTTCGCCTACTATTACAACTGACTGGGTTGGTTTGGAAGTTCCAAATCTTGAGGTGGATGGTATTTGGTGTAAGACTTCAAGACTTAAATTAGATGGCAGGATGTTGTGGGATGATTGGAAACATTCCAGAATGACTGGGATCAAAATTTATTCAGATGGGAATAGTATTAAGGGTATAGCCTTGCAATGTGGAGGTATATGGTTAGAGGAAGCATTTTTAGGCTTAGTTAATGAAAATATTCATAATGAAGAAATTAATAACATGGTGGAAAGTGATGCTGATTTTGTTGAATCAGTTGAGATTGGTGTTGATGCAAGGAGTATACCTATGGCTATTAGATTTACGAGTTCTAATGGAATAAAAAACAAGCTTGTTGTAAATAACAATGCTCTACTCTCGTGGATTGATACTAAACCAAATGGTGATTTTTTTGCCACTGGACTACATATAGAGTACGATCCTGATACAAATATTATCTTTAGAATTAAGACTGTATATCGTCCAATTGTAACTGTAAAGGATACTCCTGAAGATGAGGATGTAGGATTTGTTATTTAGATCCCGTATATAATCAATATTCGTTAATGTAGCTTTATTTCTATTTATTATAATCACTATAAAACAGTTCTTTTATAAAGAGAGTTCATGAGAATGTGATATTAAGTATTCTAGATGACCAATTATTGTTGTAAAGGGTGTTTATTTATGACTAATTAAAAAGGGCTCCGACGCCGGGAATCGAACCCGGGTCGCATGGGTGAGAGCCATGTATCCTAGCCGACTAGACTACGTCGGAATCTATCCTTAGTACCCTCAGGTTTATACATTAACCTCTTATATAACACACGATATATACAGCGGGAGATGTATTATTAGTTACTGAGTCTTTGTAGAGAAAGCGGTAAATAAGTATTGACTATATTAAGTATAGGAGAACTTGTTAAAGCCTTAAAAAGCAACAGTATAGACAAAGTAATTCAAACAAACTAGTTTATAATTCTATATAGTAATTTTATGCTTTATTGCAGAAAATTGTTTAAGAATAACTGCTCAGTTTAATTGTTTAACAGAGTATACTTAAGGCTTTAAAAACTATAGAATTCTTAATAAAGATCCTTTAAAATTTAGTCTATATTCTGAGGAGATAGAAATTTTGAACAAAATTGAAGTAATTTTTGGCTATATTACTACTACTGTTATTGAAGTGAAAGTAAAAGGTAGAATTTTGATATTTGACTAGATAGTAATAATACTCCTCAGTATAAGTTTAACTTGAAACAACTGATTTATTAGGTGGTTAACTTTTGTCTATGGATCGTAGAGAGATAGTAACATATTGTGGTAGACCAAATGGGGGGTCTACATTAGTACCATATGAATATCCTAATAATCCAAACAAAAATAATACCCCATTTGAAATACCTGGATGTCCAGTATTTGGAATATTTACTGCTACCGTTGTAGGTGTACTTTGGCTACTTTTCTCATTAACTTTACCTGCATATCACTATACTCGTATTGTATTTCCAATTGATAACTATATGGACTTAAATTTTGGTTTATGGACTTTATATGCATCTTCAAATTGTGACTCCATTATTAATTTTAATGTTAATCGTGAAATATGTCGGCGTGTAGTATCTCATATGGATAATTTGAGCCTTGCTGATGCAACCAACTTTGTATGTAGTTTAGAAGCAGGTATACTCTCTTTGTTGAATTTAGGATGTAATGAATTTCATCTTATAAGACAAGGCTCTGCGATATTGATTATAATGTTTACAATGTCAGTTATATTACTTTTCTTTGCATCTATTTTTCTTTTAACATTTTGGTTTTGCTATCGAACAAAACGTGTTAGGCAAAGCATATTTATGTTACATTTTACAGCAGCATTAATTTGTATATTAGGAATGGTCGGATATCTTCTTGTAGGAGGATTAACTATACAGCCATTCCGTGATTCTTCTATGTTTGGTTTAGGTAGTGGATTCATAGCTCGATTATTATTTGTGGATATATCACGTTCATTTGACTTATCAACTGGATTTGCTTTTGCAGCTTTTGGAATGATTTGGGTTATACTTCTTCCTTTATGGTCAATATGTGCTTTACCTCCTACTATGTGTGTTGATATATCTGAGGTTGATGATGAACTGGCTCAAGAGCAGGAGAATTTTGCAAAATTATTAGAACAGGCCTCTAATTATCCTTACTATAACCAGCAAAGTTCTCCACAATCATCTTATAATCCAAATATATATGGCCCTAATAGGGGTTACCAAATGCAACCAGGTATAACTTACTATTATCAACCACAATGTAGACAATTCTATCCGCAATATCCAATGCAATATCGAGGATACTAAATTAAATAGTCTAAATATAGCTAAAATACTCAAATAATGACAATTGAATTATATACTGATTACACTACTTATTTTATATATATTCTTCAATTTGACCAATTTCTTTTGTTTCTCCTCTACCTGTAAATATACTGAGGATTTTGGACCAAAGTGTAGATTGTTGAGATATATGAGTAATATTATACGATGGAACTTGGTAGAGATTCATTGGATGAAATTGGTCTAACGTTAGTATAGTATATTTAGGGAATGGAATATCAGGACCACAGCATATAGATATTAGAGTTGCATCTGTAACTCCAATTGCACTAACAGCTAGTGTTGTAATAAGCTGAGATGGAATACTCGTACCATTAGTTAACTTATGTAGACCATTTATTTTTATAGTTGCATATAATGTTATACTATCTTGTCCTAACACTATCTCTACGTTGTCTCCATAATTAAATTCAAAATCTTGAGGTATATTAAAGTCACATATTGAATCTACAATAACTGACGAGTTATGTCTGTCAACTTTTATTTCTTGTGTTTGATTATCTTTTGTTGAGTAGGGGCGTATAAATGCATCTATTATACCATCGGATTTAATAGAGGAAGATAATAATACAGCTTGAGATAATAATGGAAGCTTATTTCCAGTAATTTTATGGCTAATAAAAGGTGATTGTCTATTTAAAACATCATTGATTAGTTTAATATTACCTCTTCTTAGATGGAGTAAATATCGTACACTATTATCTAATGACATAATATAAAATGATAATGCAGGATCTTCTGAATATATTCCATTATTATCACTTTCAAATGATCCTACAGAAGATAAATTTAATGATTTATCCATATTTTTATTTATTATAGATTGATTTGAAAGTATTATTGCTACTGGTTCATCTCTTATACTCTTATCAGTATCTATTTTTTGTCTGCCTATGAATTTATCTTTTATATTAAATTCAGTTTTTAAATATCTCGTAGTTTTTTCGAAGTCAATATCAGAATTATTAAATTCTTTAATATTAAATGTTTCATTTGAATACTTATTCATGGATACATTTACATCGACTTCTACTGGTATTCTTGACAAATTCTCTACTTGAGTTTTTAATTCAGATGACTCAGAAATATCTGATACATCCGGAATTGAAATTACAACTGTATTTTGAGTTTCATTTATCATTGATTCCTTTCCTAATTTTATCATTGCACCTTTATATATATTGTAAATCTTAGAATGAATTGGATTTGCTATTATATCAAAAGGAAGTATATAGTTGGGTTTATTTGTTGCAAAAAATATATTAATATCATTTGATGTGTTAGTATCAAGTATGTCTAAAGGATGACCGTCAATAGTTGAATTATAAATCTTAAAATATTCCATAAGTTCTTCCAGGTTATAACCATTATTTGTATAGTTATTAGTTTTATTATTTTCAATATTATCTGGTGTGTTATAGTTGGTAAAATTATTATTATTCATATTTATATAATATTCTGAATCTCCTAAATATAAATTTCTTTGCAATTTATTAGATTTAAAAGAACCACTTTTAAATTTCTTCATTATTGGCATAACTGTTGGTGATATTTTTTTTACTTTGGAATTTAATGACTCTTCAAAAAATTTAGTTTTAATATCAATAGAAAAACCAGATTTAATTGGACTTTGAATATGCATAGCCAAATCTGTACATGAGTCTTCTACATTATACAATTTACAATATCCCATTACTTTTTCCACAGTATCTAATCTAGCTGAGTAAGCTGGATTAATAAAACTGAATACAACAAACAAAATAACCCAACAATTTTTATACATCTTATTTAGCTAACTTAATATTAGCTTTGTTTAATTAAAATCAGCTCCTATACACTTTTCGTTATCAATTTATAGATCTCAGTCCGCTTTATATATAATATTAGCTATTTAATCAAAGTGAATAGTCTTTTTTTCTAATATTAATGCATCTAAATAAAAACTATATGAACATACTTTATGTAGTATATTTAAGAAATTATTTAAAGAAATCACTTGATTAACTTTTTAAAAAATTACATGAAAATTTGCATGTAGCATGTACCGGTAATTAAGTAATTTTTAGGTCCTAAAAAGAGCATGTAAATACAATATACGTCAAATACTAAAAATTATAGGAGTTTATTGTGAACTATTATATTTTATTTTAGGTTCTGCAGTAGTACTATATTTAAGATATATTTTACTACTTGATGTAGCGAAGTTTACGCTCTTGTGTGAAAGACTATACTTTAATATTGTTGGGATTATATTATTTAATTGAAATTTGGAGATCACTAAAAACAAGGAGATTTTAAATAAAATTTGCTAAAAAGGTCTAATTTGAAGTGTAAATAAAGAAATTATATAAATAAAAACATATCGAATTAGAGTTTTAGAAGTTTTTAAATTGATCGCATAAAACATAATCTGAAGAATGGAAGAACAAATATTTTCATTACCATTAGTTAATAGTAAAGGGTCCAAAAATGCTTCTCCAATATATAGGAATCCAAAATATGTTAATAAAAAACTTTTAGATTTAACTGGTGATGAACCAAATAATTTATGGGAACTTTTTTTAAGTGGTGTTAATAAAGGTGAAAATAACCCATGTATAGGAACTAGGCAATGTGATTCAGATGGAAATTATAGTGAATATAAATTTAGAACTTATGGTGAAATCAGAGATTTGGCTTTGAATGTTGGTAGAAATATTTTGAAAAGAAATTTGGCCCCATCTTTAAAATTCAGTGATTATGTATACCAAGAAGAGGCTAGAATTATTGGTATTCTTAGCAGAAATAGAGAAGAGTGGTATATAATAGAGCAAGCATGTAATGCATTTGATATTTGTATTGTTCCACTATATGATTCTCTTGGTGATGATGCCTTAAATTATGCTTTGAATATAACTCAAATCAAAACCTTATGTATTAGTGGAGAGGAAGTACCTAAAATTTTAAAAATTATCGAAAAAAATCAAAAAGAGGATAGTAAATCTAAGGAAACTTCAAAGGGTGTGTGCTATCTACAAAATTTGGTCTATTTTGATGATTTATCTACAGATATAATAGAGGTTGCAAAAAAGTTAGATATATCATTATTAAAATTCGATGATTTAACAGAAGAGTGTACTAGGGAAGATAAAAAAAAATACAAACTTGAGAAAATTTCACCTGATAAAGTTTGTTCAATTCATTTTACATCAGGTACAACAGGACACCCTAAAGGAGCAATTCTAACTCATCGTTGTTTTCTTGCATGTATATATGGTGTATATGAAATGTTATTTGAAGATAAAATGAAAATTACAAGTGATGATGTACATTTGTCATATTTACCTATGGCACATATATTTGAAAGGTTAATCATTTCAATTGCATATAGCCGTAGTGTACGTATTGGAGTATATAGTGGTCATGTTAAAAGGCTTGTAAATGATGCACAAGTACTAAGACCTACTATTTTGATTTGTGTTCCTCAAGTACTAACTCGCATAGTTCAGGCAGTATCAGATCATATTGAACAATCTAACCCTATTGTAAAAAAAATTTTTACAAAGGTATTAGATCAGAAGGAACAAAATATTAAAATCAATGGCAATCCATATCATTGGTTTTGGGATAAAATTTTATTTAGGAATACAAAACAAATATTAGGGGGTAGACTACGTGGTATTGTAAGTGGTGCTGCTCCATTAAGTAAAGATATAAATTATCGTATTCAAGCTTTATTTTGCTGCCATATAGTTGAAGGGTATGGAATGTCCGAATGTATTGCTACATTAATTTCTAATTTTGAGTATTGTAATATAGGCCATGTTGGTGGTCCAGTTGGGGATGTTGAAGTAAAATTAGTATCTGAACCTGAAATGGGATATGATGCAACAAAGGAGCCCAGGAGAGGATCCTTACATATTCGTGGAAATAGTGTATGTAGAGGATATTTTCGTGATAAAAATTCAACTAATGAGTCTATTGATAATGAAGGATGGTTAGATACAGGAGATATTGCAGAAAGACTACCAAATGGAGCATTTCGTATTATTGATAGAAAAAAAGCTTTATTTAAATTAGTACAGGGTGAATATGTATCACCTGAAAAAATTGAAGCTATATATACTACAGCTTCACCAATTATACAACAGGTATATGTTTATGGTTTATCAACTGATAGATTCATAGTTGCCTTAGTGTTTCCAAATCAAGCAATTGTTCATAGATGGGCAGAAAATCATTCCAAAATAGATGATACATTAGAAACACTTTGTGAAGATAAGGAATTAATTGCAGAAATTGAAAAAGCATTTAAATTAGTAGAAAAAAAGTCTAATCTACTTAGTTATGAAAAAATTAAAAATTTTAAAATTGTACCAACTATTATGACTACAAAAAATGGTTTAATGACACCTACTATGAAAGTTAAGAGGCATAAAGTTAATGAACAATTCAAGGATCTGCTTAATGCATTGAGGCTCGATACATCGAGACTTAATACATCAAAATAAAATATAATTAATCAATAATAGTTTAATAGCTTTAGTTGTCTTTAAATATACAAGAAATCTGTCAAAAAGAAAAAAAAAAAATTAATAAATTACTTTATATATTATTATTCCTTAAATTGTGACCTGAATATATATTTCTTATGTACAATTAATAAATATGAATATTTATTAATAATTTAATGTCGTACAGTTTACATAGCTTCTATTAAAATTATCCATATATATTGTACTATTTGTCACCGTATATTCATTAATAGAATCAAAATTATTTATTAGAGCTTTTTCCCAAGTTTTAGTTAAAGTTATAGCTAGTTTTAAATTATTATTTCTTAACTCTTTATATTTATTATCTTCATTAATATCAATCAAATCTCTTAAATTTAAAACAGGATTTATTGATTGTGATAATCTCTTTAATAATTCTATGTGGGAAATAAAGTGATTAGAAGCCAATTGACAATAATTATAATAACCAAATACTGTACTAATTGGCATCACATTTAAAGGTAAATCAGAGTATAGACTTAAAATAATTGTTCTTCTTCTTGGAAGGGTTGAAATTAATAAAGAATTTAATGGAACTGAACCATTTGGATTATCATATCCAAAATAAAACTTATCATTCCAATTAATAATGCACAATTTCTCAATATTCTTTTTATCTAATGTATTAGATTCCAATGATTCATTATTACATATACAAATAATATCTCTAAGAGTTGAATTTATTGATGAGCAAGAATCTCTATAATTTTTATTTGGCCTTTCATTAAATATCCATGCATCTATAGCACTTAATGTTTTAAAAAAATCTCTAATATAGGGATCATCTGGTGACATTTTCAACATTAAATTTAAAGTATATTCAAAGAAGCTGCAAGGTGATGTAATTACAAAATATACAGATTTTGGATTATCTATATCATATGAACAAAGAGAACCCTTATATTTTGTATTAAATAATCCATATACTTTTAAACGTAATTCCTTTGATAAAATATCTGCAGATGCATCTATAGGTATATCATTTAAAATTCCATTTAGTAAATTAGGTAAATATTTTAAATTCAAACCATGAAACATACCATAAGAACCTATAGATATTGGTGGAGCTAATATATCTGTTAAATGTCTATCAGTTAAATTAGAAATATTTATATTCTCTTCTATTGACAATTCTGGATTTAATGGATATATAGGTATTATTAACATATTTTTTTGATGTACCTCCTCTAAGCACGCAAGTCTTATGTGACCTGCATTATCATCAATTAATACTGTCACTATATTATCCTGTTTTTCTTTTACTATTAAATTACTGAAACCTTTAAGACTAGTTAATAATGTTTTATTATATGATAAATTATTTCTTATACCATCTACATTATATTCTTCATTGATCTCATATACAAAAAACTCTTTTGATTTATTATGTTGATTAGAATGATCTATATTATTCTTAAATTCTGAAAACTCCTCATTATTTTCTATAATATAGTTCCTTAATAAAGATAAATCTTTTAATTTTGGAACAAAAATATTTTTTAAAGGCCCAGGTAGAAATCTAGTTGTATAAGAATTATCACCATTATTATAAGCTATTGCAGCTTCCTCTTTAGCTTCAAACATCCTCTTAAATATCTGATTTGAAATATCATCATCTTCTGTAGCAAAATATCTATCATATATCCTTAAAATGTCCCAACAAGCTTCACATATATCACGGATAGATTTATGTTGAAGTTTACTAATTGTATTTATACCATGAGTTACAATATATTGATTCATTATACGAGGATCATATAATTGTCTTTCTTTTATTAAAAATAATGTACTTAAAGTATAAGTATTAAATTTTCTATTTAATATCTCATTATTTTGTATACGTCTTCCAAGACTTAATAATGTCTCATCAACATCCCATAAAAGTAATAAACGAGATGATATTTTTTCTTGGGGATCATCATCAGTATATACTAAAGTCTTCTCATCTATTGATATTTTTGATTCTGAATCTTTACCAATTAAATTTATATTATCATTGTATGTAATATAATTATTATCAAAGTGAATATATTCATTATCTAAATCCAAACTTGAATCATAATCTTCAATTTCATCTTCAAATTCATCACTTTTTTCTGCAGTAGTTTCTGAAGCATCTTCTGATATATTAAATTCTATACTATCTTCTTTATTAGGATTATATCTTGAAGTTAATTTTATATTAAATAATTCACTATTTGGTTTAAAGAAGATCCCAATATCTTCCAAAAAGTTAAAAATATTACCACAGGTTGCATTACATATTTCTGCTGTATCTTCTTCAAAATCCATCATTTCAACACAAGTATGAGGACAAAATCTAAAAAACAGTTTGTTACTTTTTATTGCCCCTAGTTTGAATAATTGCCGATAAAATTTCAATATATCAAATTTTTGAAAGAAAAGTGTCCATTCAAAGGGTAATTCTTCTAATATAGCATTCAAGATAGCCAAAGTTAATGTGGCAACCCTTATTGGAACTGGATCTGATAGTCCTAAAGTATGATTATCTAAGTCTGTAAAAGTCCTATTTCTCAATGGTATATAATAAAAATCATCTACTACAGCTGAATAAGTAGTCTTTAGGTGATTATAATTTAGATCCAAACATTTAATCCCATATATAAGTATAAAAGAAATATAAGTCGTAGTTTGCAGAGTTACCATCTATATAGATAAACAAATATCTAGAAATTATACGTACTTATCTTATTTACATAAAGATTTATTATTAAATACAAAGATAATTTCTCTTCTAATAAACTCCTTATTTTATATTTAATTATTTTATTAAACAAAAAACTTATGATAGATCTTTCCCGCGCTTTTTATTTTTATAAATTTTGAGCATCTAATATATATTTATAAAGATAGGAAATAAAATGAAAATATTTAAAAATTTATTGAAAACTCTAAATAAAATCTATACAACCCTAATATCACTATAGACTCCATCATTTAATAAACATGTAATATTCATTGTTATTAAATCAGCACTAAAGGAATTTTGAGATGTTGTAGATTTAATAGCTATAGTGGATGTCTTTGGATTAGAAAATAAAGCAGCTCCACCATAAGTAAGGATATGATCTAAATTAATGGGACTACAAAATGGAGATGGCCTATGAATAATCTCAGGAATCGAAGTAAGAGCTGGTGGAACTGATGGATCAGTACTATATTGTGATATATTATCTATAAAATTTTGACTATTATTGAAATGATTCCAATCAAAACTACTTAAACCAATGGATTCAATATCTCCTAGACAAAAAGGATCAGTAAAGTTAATTGTTGAAGTTACTTTTATAATGTTAGATAGACAAGGGATCTTTGAAAGATCAAATTGAAAAAGTCCAAGCGAATTTCTTTGAATTTTTACTTGCGAAATATTTGGTTTAAATTGAGAATCTAATTGTCCAATTTTACTTGAATTGACTTGTATATTATATGTATTACCACCAATTGTGCCTTTAAATAATACTAATCCAGCATTCCATTGTAATTGTAAAAATGATAGAGATAATGAAATTGAATGCTGTAACTTTTCAACTGGTTTAATAACAAATGTGATCATATTCATTGAGAAATATTCAGTATTTATAGCAGAACTTAATAAACTCATAACATCAATTATTGTAGTATTTGATGTATTTAATTTAAAATGAATTTTATCAGAAATAATTATTAATTCATTCAGAGAATTTATTGAAGAAAAATTTGGAGTCTTTACAATATATAATTCATAGTTAATATATTTAGGTGATTTAATATTAGGTAATTTTTTATCAGTAATTGTTAAATTAGCACTAATAAGACTCTGAGTTGTTACAAAGGGAATTGAAAAATGCATTAATGCTGTGATATTTTGATTTTGGTCATTATAAAATTGTAATTCTGGAGAAAGATGAATAAATCTTCCATTTAAATCAAAATATGCAGTATCAATTGCTGCAATATTATTATTAGTAAAAATTTTATCTCTTAATAAGTCATAAGATGAATATGTTATAGCTGGATCATATTGATATTCTAATCTAGCTTTATTAGAAGTAAATAATATTCCAGTAAAACTTGAAGGATATGATAATGATATCATGATATTTTCAATTTCTAGATTTATTTGTGATATAAATATTTGAGTTATATCCAAAACTATATTTTGTGTATTATCAATTATAAAATTAGATTTAAATTTTGTCAAAGGATGCATTATAGAATTTTTTAATTGATTTATATCAAGATCAATTAAAGAGAAATTGGATGGTAATATTGATACAATAAGATCTGTTTGATTTAAATTAAGATTTTGATAATTATGTACTTTAATAAATACTTGAATCTTTTTAATAGCATAATATATACCTGCTAATGATAATTGAAAACCATAAATACTAATTGCATTTGTAGTAGCTAAAGATGTCGTTTGAACTGTACATTGTCCTCCAACAACTCCAGGACAATGACTAGCAAGTCTTATTTTTTCATCTGAATAAGGATCAATAATTGAAATACCAAAAATTGATGTTGTTTTAACTTGAATTAATTTATTTTGATGTATTGCTCTCATTCCTAAAGATTCATTATCATATAATGGGGTACTCAAAACAAGTGGATATAATATTAAAGTAGCATATATATCCCTAGATATTTCAAAATGATTAGATCCATATTGACTTTGAATTAATAATGAGATTTTTGAAGTTATAAAACCATTAGGTAATTTTTTAAATAAGGGTAATATATCAATATTATAATAATTTTTATAAGGTGAAACTATAATTCCAATAGAATTAAAAGATATACCCCTTAGATAAGGAATTTTTGTAGAATTTTTTATATTTTCTGGATGTAATGATATTAATGATAATGTCACAACTCCACCTATTTTTAATTTTGTTTTTATTTGTAAATTAATAGAAAATTTATTTATAGAATTAATACTAGGTATCATTTCAGTATTAAATTGTACAATGACCATACTAGTTGTAATATTTCCATTAGTAGATAATTCTGCTATTTGCCCATAATTAATTGTTTTATATAAATAATCACTAGAATCTATTTTATATTTCGTTTTATTTAGGAAAATAACCCCCATATGTATAGAATGAACTAATATTGGATCAGAAGTTTTACTATATACAGAATTTGGTAATAAAGAATATATATTTGAAGTTGGTAATGATTGTAATCTATATATATTCTGATTACTAGTTTTATTAATATTATCTATATCTATCCAATCATCTACTAATGCAGTGTCAATATTACTATAATTTAATAAACTAGTAGGATCAAAGAAACCAATAGCTGGGACATCTAAATTTGCTAATACCAAAAAGAAATTTTTTTGACCATATATATTAAATATTAATAAAAAGGATAAAAAACTATTTATCACCATTTTACAGATTTGTCTAAATTTCTTGTTTAAGATATTAATCTAAAGTATTTCTCCCAAAAAAGTATTCATTAAGAAGAAAATTAAAATATTTTGTGATTGAATACTTACCGCCCAATGGTATCTAATATAACTAGTGCATCCCCACGTAGACATTAAGTGGAGTTACCGGTAATATAAATATAAACATGTAATTACATGTAAATATTGATAATATTAAAAAGTATATGGAAATATTATTTTACCAAATATTTAAATATATAAATATTAATATTGTGATAATAATTTTTTCTTTGGATTTTTTGTTATTTATTATTAACATATAGCTTTAAATATTAACATTTTTTTTTTACAAAAATAATATTAATATAAATAAATTAATCATAATGAATTAATAAAAATAATGTAAAAATAGATAATAAATTCTAATTATATCTAATATAGAATGATATTTAATAAAGTAAAGTATTAAATATTCTGTAATGTAAATATTTAGCGGCTACTTCTTATTGTTTGTATATTCTACCGGTAACCGGTAATATTTTTTATTACATAACCATTAAATTACATGTAAATATTTTAATGATAAGTTAATCTATAATTATCTTCAAAATATAAAATTCATGTAAATATAATAGCTATTATACCGGCAATATATCAATATAATTACATGCAGTTAATATTAGTTATATACGACATAATAATAGTTCATTGTATCTAATTTTTTAACTGGTAATACAATATAAAATAATACTCCAGTTATATTTTTTGTAAGTAAAATTATTACTTCGGACATATTCTATATTATTCAATAATAAATAAGATACTATTAACAATAATTATATATTTATTATAGGAAATATATATATATTAAATATAATTAGTAATATAAAATTATAATACTAGGAATAATAATGAAAAATAAATATAGTATTAATATGTTTTATTATCAAATATTTAATTTAAACTAAGTTCTTATTAATATAAGATATTTTAATATCAATAAAGTAATTAAGGATGCTTAGACAAATTAAAATGATTTGAAACAAAAAGGCAATCAGCACCCAGGTCTTCCCAGGTGGTCCCCCACCCCAGTACTAACCGGGCCTTACACCGCTTGACTTCGGAGTTCAGATGGGATCCGGTATATTCAATGTAGTATGGCCGATTGCTGATGGCGATACCGGTATAGGATATCATATTTATTAATAATTAATATACCGGTATATAAAACCGGTAAATAATTTTTGTTCAAAATATAAAAAAAACGTTATTTAATTAAATTGACATTTAATTGGTAAATCTTCGTTAGTTTTTTATTTATTTTATTAACTAAATTTATAATTAGTTATTTATAGGAATTAATTTATATTATATTTTAATTTATTGATACCAATATATCATATTAAACTATAAATATTAAAACCTTATTCTTTTTTGTTTTTAATTCTTGCATAATACCAAGTTCATTTTTGTTAAATATATATAAATTTTTAAATTACTAGAATGTTGTTAATTAGTTAATTATCTAGTTTGGTATATACATTTAGCTTATTTCTAATTATTTAAGATTATGTTCTTAAATTATTGAATCATGTAATGAAATTTTCTTATATTAAATAATTTGATAAAAACTATATTTATGTTATCTACTTTTATTTTTATTTATAATATGTAATATTAATAACCACCCTTGTTAAAATTTGAAAAAAGGAGAATTACAAAATTTTTTTAATATTAATATATAACATTTAATTATTATTGGACTAGTATAATATATTTATTTTAGATTTCTTAATATCAACAATAGTTAAGTGATTATTAATTAGGAAATAATTAGAAATACTAAAATTACGTGAATTTATTTATATTTAGTTTGAAATAAATTAGAAAAAATTTTGATTAGCACTGCATGCAATTTACGGTATAGGATCATTTTTGATAAATACTATGTATGATTCTACATATTACATATTTTGGAATGTTTAAATACTGACATAAAATTTTATATTATAAGAAAATATTAAAAAGTTTTATAATTTAAACTAAGTTTTTAATAATAAGATATTTTAATGTCAATAAAGTAATTAAGAATGTTTAGACAAAATAAAATGACTTGGATTAAAAAAGGCAATCAGCACCCAGGTCTTCCCAGGTGGTCCCCCACCCTAGTACTAACCGGGCCTTACACCGCTTGACTTCGGAGTTCAGATGGGATCCGGTATATTCAATGTAGTATGGCCGATTGCTAACAATGCACCCTATGGTAGTGGTTAACTCCCAAAATTATTTTGAATTATGCGAATCATTTTAAGCGGTGAGGTTCATTAATAACTAAAACTCGTAATAATCTTTGAGTGGTAACTGAAGGTATGCCAAAAATTGCGTGTGTAAATACAAAATTAGATACTCGAATCTTATTATTTTTTATTTAAAAAAATGTATATATTTAGATATAAAGCTTTTATTTTGTTATTTATAACCTTATTATTCAAGTTATCTATTGCATTTGATGATAATTTACTTGATGAACTAAGATTTTGTGAGAATTCTAATACATACTCCCAAATATTTGTTCATATTGGTTATTGGGGTGGAATTAGAGGACATGGTAATTTAATACGTCTTACTTTAGAAATATCTAATGTTCCATATGTTGAACATACATTTGGTAATTTTAAGAGTGATGGATCATATGATTTTGATAGTTGGACTAACCATTTTAAATTATTATTAGCAAAGGTAGATACACTTACATTACCAAATTTACCATTTTTAGTAGACTGTGCTAATTCTCCTGACAAGAAGACACGTTTGAAAACTGAAACGTTACCAATTATGATTTATATTGCAAAAACTTTTAATCAATCTTTAATTGGTGAATCATTAAATACAGTAAGTAGTGAGAAGATTACTGAGGTATCTCAAATGATATATAACTCTTTTTTAACATTATTACAATCATTTATGTATAAATCTGGATCTGTAGAGAGTATCCTAAATTTTCATGAAAATTTTTTATCAAATACTATTTCTAGTGGGCCAGTCCTTTCAATGCAAAATTTGGAACAACTTGTTAAAGGAAATCAAAATATATATGGTGGACCATTTTTATTCGGAAATACAGTTACAATACCAGATATCTTAATATATGAATATACCAAGACTTTTTCTATTCTTGCTCCTGGTATCGTTTATGATTACTCAAGTATTAGATTATTAGTGGATTCTTTCGATAATATTCCCATTGTACAACAATATATCAATTCAGATAGGTCTGTTTTATATCCATTATCTCCAACAGAAAATATACCATCTCAGTATATGATGACGATGAATACAAAAAATGAATATACTAAAGAACTCCCTAGGTTTGGACAATTTCTTTCATTTTATGGATATTCTTTAACTACTTCAACTGCATCAGTATGTTTGTCATATCCTATTTTTAAGTCTGCTGTAAGAAATGTTGATAATCCATCTTTCTATGATCATTTTGGTCTTTTAAACTTTTCACAATTGGCTGATGCAGCATTAAGAATAATTGGGAAGAATTTCTTAATTCGTACCTATTGGAGGTTAACTAGACGATTTCAGTCAACTCAAAAGAAAATATTTAATAGTTGTATAACGGTTTTAACTTCTGGAAAATATATTGATGTTTCATTATCATCTACTCAAGCAGAAATTATTTGTATACAATTTGTAAATTGCTTTACTAAAAGAAGTACTGCAATAGATATTGGACGTTCCTTAATTAATTATCCAAATAAATTTAAATTTATAGGAGGTTCAACAGCAGTTTTTAATGCAGAGAGATCATTCAAAAATCGTATTTTATCACCTCAGCTATTGGACAAGGCAGTAAGATTTTATTTTTTATCAAAATCAATGATTAAATTTGGATTCTATCCTACTAGTTCTATTGTAGAAGTTTTAAAATTAGCTCAAAGACGTGGTGCACTAACTACATTCGGTATATTAGTTAATGCACCATTAGCTATAAATATTTGTATGGAATACTCAACTAACAGATTACCTTTTAGAAATCTAATATTATTTAAAAATAATTATAATATGCAAAACCTTTGTGAATCAGCTTTCCAACCATTTATATTAGATGATATTACAACAATTGTTTCGGATAAATCAAGTACATTAGTTGAAGTACTTGAACAAATAAGTAGCTCATCAGAGGCAATAGTGTGCCCAATGAGTTTATCTAAATCGTATTGTACTAGAACCTCAAGTAGCATCCCACAATCAGCTCATCCACAATCAAAGCAAGTGAAAATTGGCAGTATGCCTATGAAAAGACTGAATAGAAAATTCCAAAATGGATCTAGACGATTAAAAAGAACGTTAGGGAATTCTAGTAGAAAAAATCGACATTCTACTAACATAGATTAAATAAGATTCAAGTTACTTTTATTTCTAGAAGAGATTAACTTCTTTTTATCAATTATATTTACAAACTTGTGGTTTTAATTACACCTTTTATAAGTTTAAGATTTCATATTATAAAATCTCTTGCTATAATACTTTTATTTGGTGCATTATCCCTACAATAATTTGAAATATTATTAGGTGCAATAGATGTAATCCACCCAGGATTAAATAGTGTACTACACATATCTGCACTTATATTCATAAATCCTTTATTTCCCCAGTTAACTCCCCAACTATTTTTTAGTATATAATATCGCTCATTTGATTGCGTTTTACCATAACCAACAACTGTAATTGCATGATCAACTTGTCTAGTTCCACACCAAATACTTCCACATGTAGGAGGATTATAAAATCCACCTTTATATACACTAAATCCTGAATTGTTCAATCATATATAATATAGATTACTTAATTTTTTCTTATATTAACTTACCTGGCATTAAAGAACATATACTTACAGTAACTGGTCCATAATTATACAGGGCATTAGTTATTGTATCCCATGGATCTTGATATGATAAAGAAGCACCTGTAAAATTCCAATAATAATTATCAATACCTGCACAATCTTGACAAGATGGAAATTTACAAGCTTCAGGACTTCCTGTTTTATATGTTATTGAAGGATATGACATTTGGGTACAGAGTTTTGTCTCCATTGCATAACTAAATGTCTCAAATGTTTGCCCACCAGTACAAACTTTATTTTTTCCTTTTTTTGCTAGCCAACAATCAATTGGCTGTTGTTGAGATAATTGAGGAACTATTATACCTAATTGTCTACATATGGAACCTTCAACAGATGATAGAGCAGCATAATTGTAGCAGTCTGCACATCTTCCTTGATTATCTGGTATTAATATACAACTACCACCATTTACAGGATTTGCTTTTGAACTTCTCAAATCGAAACTTTCAGGTAAATTACTAAATTATAATACAATATAAATTAATACTTTCTATTAGAAAAAGAAATCTTAATTTACTACTTACCTAACGAGTAATTTTCTTGTTATATTTTGTTCATTATTTTTAAGATTAATATTCCAAATATTTTCATTATTCTAAAAGTTAATATTATTATTAATCTATCTTAAGTCAAATAAATTTTTTATCTTACAGTTGAGTTTTTTCCTATAATTGTTTTTATATCTCCAGTATAGATATCCATATTTGGAAATATCTCAGATTTTGAATATAATATAGATGATGGTGATATATCAAATTTTGCTGTTGGAATTAGCCTATAAAAATTAAATAATTTATTTTATAACTTTAAGATATAACTTCATATATAAAAAAAATATCATTATACTTACTTTCTTGCTAAATAAACATCCTCAATTAACTTTAAGCACTTTTCCAGATCTCTTTCAAAATACTGTTGCGATTTCTCTAATAAATCCCACATATCTCTACAAATTTGAACTTTCTCATCTATTGTATATTCTTTTATTTCTTCTTTATTTAGTATAACTCCTGAAAATACCTATTTAAATATTATTATATTGTTAAATCTAATTATACGATATTATTAAGTAGTTAAGCCTTACCTGCAAGCTAATAGAAGCTACATAATATCTTAAAATTATTAAAAAAGTAGTGAAAAGTAAATATTTCATTTATATATCGTAATTATTAGATATATTATATTGTTAATGTGCTAACTTCTTTGATTTTATAATTTAGGAAAAAAATTATAGATTTACATGCTTTTGTATAAAAAAGAGAAGGGGTTAGGTCAAAAAAATCAAGATTCTTGTAGGTTTTGTTAATTATCCACAATATTATTAAGTTATTACTCTTTTAAAAAAAGGTTAAATTTTTTTGTTTATGTCTATCAACAAATAGGTTTGTGCAGAGTCATTATCTTTCAACTAGGTTTCTTAAAAGTCCTCTTTTTACAAAGTAAATATTTGAATTTTTAAGATAAATCTTTTAAAGGGGTATATTTCCTTAAGCATCATTATTAGAAGAGAATCTAAATAAGATAAGATTTATTTAGCTATTTACAATAATGAAACAAAAAGTACTCAGAACTAAAATAAGGTGTGTTAATATCTATAAATATTTCCCCTACTATAATAAATATAATTCTATTGTATTTATAAATTATCTTAAAGAATAAAAACAAAAGATACTCATTTATATGAAGTAATATTATATAAATATGTATTCAAAAAAAAGTACAATATTATTTCCATTATAACCCAAGGTGGTATTTTAGTACCATGCATGACATACCATTTGTGTAATTATTCTAGAAAACACTCATTAGATTATTTTAACACAAAGTAAGGTAAAACAAAGCTTTAGTTAGCCAGAGACAAATATTTTGTTTTATTTAGCTTGGATAAATTGTTCAGGTATATTAAATTTGAAATTAGAAGTCGATATCTTTTGCGCCAAATGTAAAAACTACTTGTCGTAACGTCTTATTGTGGGTCGCTTGTAATTAACGTATTAATAAAGAAAATTAATTTTACTCACATATTATTAAGTTGTATTAAGTTAGATTCCTTTATTATTATTATGGTGTTAGATGAAATCCATCTACTTGGAACTTATAATAAGCAAAGTTATGGGCATCCTTTAGAAGTTAGCTTTTGGAGTAAACTAACTTTAAAATGGTTAACTCCATACATAAAAGGTGCTTCTAATAGTAAATTATTGTATCCTTCTAATTTTCCTAAAATATTAGAAGGGGATTCAACATTAAAATGGGCTGACTTGTTAGAAGAAGAAATAATTAGACAATATAATAGAAATTATTCACATAAAAAAGAATTTAAAGTACATTTATTTCAAGCTTTATTTAATATTCTGAAAGTTCCTTTATTTGTAATGTTTTTAATGAAATTATTATTGGAATTTTTGGGTATTATAGTTGCAGATTTACTTCGAAGGAGCTTGGAGGTTATAGAAATTACATATAATGGAAATCTTAAGGGCTCTGAATACAATAGTAATGTGAATTATGGCATAATTCTAGCAATAATAATAATTTGTTTGCAATTTTTGATGATTTTATTATCTACACAATTGGGTTTTTTTATTTGTCGTCAAACTATTAGGCTACAAGGAAGCATCACTCATGTACTTTATAGATCTATTTTAGCAAGTGGGAGAATTTATGCAAGTAATTACAATTGGCATAATAATAAATATATTGATGAAGATATACCTAATATTTATAATTACATTTTAATTGATATGAATTGTACAACAAAACTTATGGTTTCGATTGTAGATATACTAATTATCCCATGTAGACTTTGTTTAGTTTGTTTTTCACTTAAAAGAGCTATGGGTAGTTCTTTAATATCTAACAAAATCATGCTTAGTGTTACTTTACTTGCTTGTTCAGTTATGGTTTCTGAATTATGTAGAGCTTTTTTAAAACAGAGATATTTGTTATCAAGAGATACAAGATTATCATTACTGAATGATATAATGAATAGTATTTCATCTATTAAACTTTTAGGATGGGAAGTAATCGCATATTGGCTTATAAACAAAGCTAGAATAATTGAAATATGGATTAGATCAGCTTATATACCTTTTCAATCATTTTCTTCAGTGATATACTCTATAGCCAATATAATTACTCAATACATTTTACTAAGAACAGCCTTAATTGTATCATTAACTTATTACTTAGACTTTTCTCCTAGTGTAATTATTCCTACATATTATTTACTAGATATGGCTTCTCAGAGATTATCAGACCTACCTGTAATAATAGCTACTATTATAGAAGGAATGAATTCTGCCTATAGAATGGAGTTAATATATAAGAAGATTTTATATTCAAGTGCTTGTGTTAATAAGTTGAGTGGGGAAGTTTTTTATGATAAATATAAAACTAGAGATTTGATCCAGGATAATCCTGTATTTTTAAGAGATATTAAGATTCGAATTCAGATTCCAAATCAAGATATTAATATCAAGAAGTTTACTGTTGAACGTGGTTCTATTTCACTTATTGAAGACTGTTGTCCTACATTATTACCTATTTTTGTGCAAGTAATTTTAGGTTATCATAATTATGAGGCTTTAAACAACAATTCTCTTGTAGTGTTGAAACATCTAGAAAATAATGCTTCAGTGCTTTGGTGTCCCAGTGAGCCATGGATTCCTTGTGGAACTATTAAATCTATAATAACATTTGGTTCTCCTTTTTGTAAAACTATATATGAAAAAGTTCTTTCCATATGTGAATTAAATACTGATATTGAGAACTGGATAGAGAAAGATGGTAGATTTATAGATAATAGGCAAAGTCTAAGTGGAGGTCAAGCTGCTCGTCTTGGTTTGGCTCGAGCAGTTTATAAATTCTGTTTTGATAATAAATACCATTATAATAATTCACAACTAATTATTTTAGAGAATACTTTGCAATCAGTAGATCTTTCAGTATCACTAAAGATCCTTCACCATCTTTTTATTGATAAAGATGCAGTATTTAATGGTGCTAGTGTCATACTAATACTAACTCAAGACCTTATAAGATACTTTGATCGAATGCTGCTTAATAGTTCTCAAGAAATAAATAAAACAAAGTTTACTAGTATTAAACATTATGTATTTACAAAATTTGGAATTATTGATAACCCTACAATTTATTGTGAAAATTTATCTAACTTGGATTCTATATCAGAATATAATCATAATTCCGGAAATTCAGTTGATAAATTCTTTTTTAGATATGAAAGTTTAGATGAATCCATAATGTCCAATGATACCTTTCCTCTTTTAGAGAAAATAAATGAATATGGATCTGTTAGCTCAAGTACTTATAAGAGATATTTTGATGGAGTTAACAAACCAATGTTATTTATTGTTGTCCTCGGAGTTTTTCTTTTAGTATTGAGTACTTTAATTGTTCAATTTGGTTTAGCTTATACTCTTGAAATAATTCCTAAGTATTCTGAGGATAATGGAAATAGTTTTAATACAACTAATCCAACACTTATTCAAGGTAATGCTCCCATGACTGTTATTTCATATGGGGTATCCAGATCTATAGATTCCCGTAATTATAAAGGTTTTAAAGCAATAAACCTTATTTTCAGATATATTCAGAATTGGTTTGGATATAAAATACATGGGGATAATTTTGTGATATCTTTAGAATCTATTTTGAACTATTCTAGATATATAATTGGATTTATTTTCATTGGATATTTTATAATACTAACATTAGAATCTATATTATGTATTCAAGCTAGTCAAACAATTCACAATAATCTACTATACTCAATTATAGTTCATAGTTCTCTCCCAACTATTTGTGGAATCCCTATAGGTCAGATAATTAATAAATTAGCTACAGATTTAATAATAACAGATTGGCATACAATGAGATCAATTGGAAGAGTTATTTGGGGACTAACATCTTTCTTATTAAATTTTATATTTTTAGCTATCTTAGCTCCTTGGACAATACCAATTCTTGTTTTAATATTAATTCTTGTCGCGAAATTTGCTATTATTCCTATAATATTTGCGGCAAGAAATATTCAAAGAACTAATTTCGTAGCTCTCTCACCTATATGCTCAATTATGGCTTCAACTTGGATAGGGACTAAAACAATTGCTATATTTAAAAATCATAACTACTTTGAAAATGTAACTTTGGGTATGTTGGAGTATATTCAAAGAATTAGATTTATTCAACACTCATCACAGATATGGTGTAATGTTAGAATACAGCTATTAATACTTCCTATAACACTATTCAACTTTATATTTCCTTATTTTGCTCCCATGTTATTGTCTTTTGTAAGAGAATATAGATGGAAATCTAGTCCTAGCTTCTTTCAATATCTAGATATCTTATCTAATCCTTTAATAGTTTCCTGGGGAATTGCTAGATGTCTATCCTTAGCTGAAAGTGCAACTTCTTTATTAATAGATTATGTACAGATGGAGAAGGAAATGTGCAGTGTTGAGAGGCTTCTTCAGCTTAATTTACAAATATCTCTAGAAGATAGCCTTAGAGGATATATATATGCTAAAAATAATGACTTGGAAAAAGCTCATCTTAATAAGTTGGGGGTATTTACTAAAAAAGAGCAGCTAAATATAAATAATTCTGAGGTTAAAAAATATAATGAAGATCCAACTTATAAGTTTTGTTGTCCTTTATTATTAAATCAAACTTCTTCTAGTAATATAGTACTTTCATTACTTGATGTATCAATTAATTACATGATATCCAGAGAACTAAATAAAATAACTCACATTGTTGAAAACTGCAATATGTATGTAGGTGTTGGACAAGTTGTTGGAATTGTTGGAAGGACTGGATCTGGGAAATCATCTTTATTTAACTCAATTGTTAATATAACTCCTATATGTAATGGTTTAATTAAACTTAATGGTATTTCTATTCATAGTATACCAAGATATATATTAAGAAATAAAATAGGTGTAATTCCCCAATCAGTTTGTCTAATGCCAAATTCTACAATTAGAGATATCATTGATCCTTACTATGAATATGAAGATGAAAAAATTTATGAAGTGATAAGAATATGCTGTTTAGATAAACTTCTTATAAATGATTCTTTAAGTATAGATTTTAAGGTGACTCTTTATCAAATAAGTGACAATGAAATGACAAAATTTATGGCCTTTACCTCAGATGATCAAACATTAACAATATCAAATATTCTATTGCAATATTTACATCTATGTCATATTTTATTATATTCTAAAAGGTATAGTTTAATTTTGATAGATGAAGTTGCTGATCATTCGAGTCAAGAATCTGAGCACTTAGATATAATGAGAAAAGGTTTTGATGTATTAGATATAATCTCAAATTACTGCTCTCACTGTGCGATTGTTGTTATTTCTCATGATCTTCACGTCATAAAGAAATGTAGTCAATTATATGAACTTGAAGAATCAAGACTTAAGATACGGAGTTATGATGACATTGTAAGGAAATTAAATTAATTTAAGTGATCTGGAACATAAGAAATATATAGAGATGTATTTTATAATCACTTTAAAGTTTCTTTGGAAGAATTAATTTCTAGCCCTGAATATAAGGAATTAGTCATATATCTGCAGTATTGAGATCTAATACGTGAGGTACATGTACCACCTTATAGCGGGTATAGAATAAATTATTTAAAGGACTTTGTTTTATTAGAATAGCTTAAATAATTTGTCTAGGCATTTATGTAGAGATACAGAGAAGAAATTAGTCAACCATAAATCTAATTTTGAGTTTTTGTTCTCATTACTTTGTGTTGATAAGTTATAAACCAGATTATGTGGATTTTTCACATCAAACTGGAATCTAAAAATTCCATAAATAAAAACTTCTGCTTATTTATACTCTTATGGATATTTATATCTTTATTTTTATTAACTATTAATGCATCGTTAAGTGAAAAAGATGAGGAGATGTTGGTAATTGAAAATCAATGGCACTTTTTTTACTATTATTCTTTACAAAGTCATAGTAAAGTTAAATACTTACCTAAAATAAGGCCTAGTCACTTTTTAGGTGGGAAATCTCAAGAAGAATTGCTTAGATCCTGTCTCTATTCTATTAAAATACTTTTAAAGGAGCAATGGAACAAGTTAGGGGCTCAAAAACATATGAACACAACTGTAATGGATGATGGTCTTTTAATTATTATTGGGGAAAATGAACTATATAAAAAACCTTTAAAGGTAGATATTTATAAGTCTTTAATTGAAAATCTATATGATTTTTGTAGAATAACAACAAAAAGTTATTTTAATATGGAAAAAGTAAAACATAAATTATCAAGTGAATATGAGAGACTTCTTATTTCCCCTCCAGCAATAAAAAAAATAACCAGATCAATGCTTCCAAGAGATATAAGAGAAAGAGGAGAAGCAATGCTTGCAAGTTTGGATGAAGAAATCAAAGTAAATAAAGCTAAACTAGAAGAACCAATTACTATTGATAGATTGATTGATAAACTGCAAACACAGAGGTTACAAGTACAAGGTAAAGTCGGGGTTGAAGATAAAGAATTTTATGCAGACTGGGTTGATTCAGATAAAAAAGCTTTGGAAGAGTCAAATATTTTGAGATCACTTGATCTGCAAAAACAATATAAAAATAATATAATAAATATAGGAAATGATAGATATTTGCACAAAAATATAGATACTGTGAATAGAGAATATGAGTACGAAGCTAATGAAGGTACTCAGAAGAAGAATATTTCTTTTCATGAAATGGAAGATAAAGAGTTAGGTCTACCAGAATTTCAACTGTTGCCTTTGGACTGGAGAAAAGTTTATCCTTATTACATGAATCCTCAATCACTGACTGTCAGAAGGTATTTAACAGATTCAAATAAGTTAAGGTCTCAATATAATAATGAAAGGGAAAAGTTAACATATACACAAAACCCTAGTTTGATAAGGAAAGAGGAGTTGAGAATTAGAGATCCGACTAAACTAGTTCCTTTAGATGTTGTATTTGAATTACCTAGTAAATTTGTTGGTGGAAAACCTAATTTTACTGAGGTATCAACCATTGTACCAAGTGGTTATGATGCTATAGGTCAATTAGCTACTCCTATAAGACACTACAAACAAGTTGATGAGCTTCAGAATTTACAAGCTTACAAATTTTATAGAAATTTTGAAGATATGGGAAATAGTATATCCGAATTAAAGATTCCTTCAGAATATATAACTGATAAACCAACATATTATGTGAATGCTAGAGGACTAAAGAAATTATATGTTGAACCTTCAATTAAAGATATTATTTCGGATAGAAGAAAAGAAAATTTACTTAAGTTATCACTTGATGAATTGGAAAATGATGATATGGACTTCCAATTGAGAAAATTTCGGGATAATTTGGATGAAAAAAGGAGAATGAGGAAGTTTAGACCTTATGAATTAATAGAAATAAGGAACAAATCAGAAAATTATTTGATATCAAAAGCATATGAACAATATTTATTTAGGGTTCCTAGTACTAAAGTAATTCCTCCAATGGAATTTGCACCATTATCTTCACTAATAAATAATACTGCTTTAGGAGGAAAAAGGTTACCTCCTATTAAAGAATCTGAGCATAAGTTTAAAAGGAAGAAGTTTATCAGAGATTTAGAAGTTAGTGAAGAAGATACAGATAGTAAAGACACTGTTGAGAGACATCGTTTAGTTCATTTTGATGATGCTGCGATATCTATGGATAATCGTAAATCTAAAAAAAAGTATTACTCACCTCCTCCTTTAAATTAAGAGCAGTAAGTAATGTAGCTATATTATACTTTTATTATAGTTTTATTTAATGTAAACTTCAAGTACCCTTATTTATATAAAAGTTCCAAATCTCAAAGTGTGTGTGTGTGCAGTGTGCATGATATATCCTGCACATAAAATTTTAACTTTTTTAAAGGAGATTCAATGTGAAATAATAATGGGTAGCAAAATATGCAGAATTATTAGACAAAAGGTATATTATGATCTCTTTCTAATATTTCCACTGCTATTGTTTGTTTATTGTAAATCTGAGGATATAATAAATGTAAAGTTTACTTATCCATCAGAAGTAGGGTTAGAGTCTAATATAATTCAAGCTAATTTAGATGATACACTATCTTCTGTAATTGAGTATGGTTATAAAGAACTTGATAATGTATTGGGATCAGACTTCCGGAGTCATTTTAATATTTATATAAATATGGAACAAATTACTGTCGACTATCAAAAGTTTGCTATAAGAAATTTTTTATTACCAAGAGAATCACAACTTGATATAAACTTCATTTTTACAGAAGAAATGAAAAATTATCTAGTTTCTGGAAATTATACTGAATCTAATATTAATAAGAAGATTCCTAGTACTGAACCTGAACTTAAAACTGACGCAGCAGATGATAAAGAATCTTTTGATAATACATCTAATGGAGTTCTAATTTTTCGATTTCTACCTATTAATTCAGATATGATTATCTCGCCATCTGAATTACCCAGTACTGTAACAGTAAAATGTAATTTCCCGCTATCATTTAAAGAGTTAATGAATCTTATTAAGCAATATACAGATAGCACTGGATATTTAATAGAGTCAATTGGAAATAAAGATAAAAAAGGGGTCAATAAACTTGACGAAATACAGATTAAGGGGGAAGATGCCCAGGCAAGTGTTAGGAATGGTGAAATTTTGTATATATATGTAAGTGACGATCCTAGTAGGCAATTAGGGGGAAAAGTAACTCCAAATCCTGACTCACCAGAAAATTTTTCGAATATTATATCACCTGAATCCGAAATATCTAATAAAATTCCAGTTATGATATCTTTCTCTAATTCTGTAAATCAGATACCTGAAATGTTTTTTATATCTCCAAATGAAGATTTGTCAACACTAGTAGAGTTTATTATAAAAATTAAAAACTTAAATAATGAAAAAGTATCTATTACTCTTCAAGATCAAACAGGAGCCGTTCTTAAAAATAATGGAGTTTTTTTAAATGAATATCTGCCTAAAGGAGCTCAATTTACAACTAATTCTCCATTTTATATTTTTGTATCAATATACAAGCAAGATGAAAATTTGGAAGGTTTAGAACATATACAAAATATTAAAAATAAAGAATCAGTAGCTGATAAATATGAAGAAGGGAATCTGATCTCAGAAAAAAGTATGAGTACTCCCAAGGATTCTGAAAAAAAGCAGTTTAGTGCAAGCTTTAATAAGGAACATCCATCATGGATTGATGAATCAGTATCTAATATCCCTATAAATATATCTAAGGAACTTACTACTCATAGTTTGGTGACTTTTGTGTATACAGAGGAAAATTTAAGCTTATCTATAGAGAATGATCCAGCTATAGCAACTATAGCCTCTCTTTATGCTCAAGCTCAAATTTTTTGGGCTTCTTTGAAATCTAAAAAACACAAAACAAACTTTGTACTATATTTTATATCAAAAGAAGAGGATAAAAAGGAATTGTTGAATCCAAATAGTCAGAACTTACTAATATCATCAACTTTCTTTTCGCAAGATATTATTCTAGAGCTAAAACCTGTAAAGTTTGTAAGTGTAGATATTATTTTGCATTTAGTGGATTCTGATGAAAAAGAAGATCCTAAATTTACAAATGCAGTAACAATAAAAATTCCAGAGATAATTTCGGTTTTAGATTTTTTGTATATGTTATATAGTTCTGAACCCAAAATATTTTCAATGATTGTAGTGAAAGGAATTGAAGTGCAGCTTGGAACAGACAAAGTTATGGAATACTTGCAATTTCCTGATTCACCATCTCCCACGACTTATATAAATTTAGTTGAAGCACCTAAATCAAGTAAAAATATAGTTATTAATGTGACATTAAGTAGGGATATTAAAGTAATCCTCTTGGTTAATAAACAAAATTTAATTGGAATATTGGAAGATTCTAATAAAGATTTAGATGAATCTAGTGACTTTACTGAAGAAAAACAGGGAAAAAAGTATATCAAAATAAAAGTTCAGGCAAAATCAGGTATGACTTGTAAGAAATTTATTGACTCTTTTGTAAAGAAACAATTAATTTCAACTGATGATCCAAATGATGTATTCTTACAACAACCAAAATCACATAATTATGTTAGAGATAATGCAATCCTTGAGCATCTATTTTCTTTAGAAGATGATGGTGAACAAAATTTAACCTTCATTGTTAAGATAATTCCTAAATATTCAATTAAGGCTGAATTTCAAACTCCTCAAGGTAAAAAATATCCTATGCCATTAGTAATAAACTTACAAAGAATAACAAACCTTGGAACCCTTCAAAGTGCTATAAAAAGTAAAGCTATTGAACGAGGATTAATTTCTGAAAAAGGAAATGTCGTAATAGCTTCCCCAATGGATATTGGAGAAGAATATAGAAAATTTGTATATAGCATTCCAGATATAAAAAATTCTGTAGGACTTACTGGTTTTGTTCCTGGAGATATTATCAGAGCTATTCTAGTTCCAGAATTAGAACTTAATACTAATAAAAATGTAGGGTTAAATAGTAAATTGCAAAGTCCAATTGGGAATGCTAATAGAAAAGTCCCGAATCCACTTTTAGCAAAGTTATTCCAAACTGATGGTCCATCTTTTGATATACCTCTTACAATAAAAAATTGTCCTCTTAATACTTTGCTAGAGCAACGATATTTTATAGCTAAAGTGCCGTTATTTATTAATGTAAATAGCTTGAAACTTATTGTGGATGATACTGCTAGCCTGGGAGGTATTTGGTTTTCTTTAAAATTAAATACTGACAAGGGCAATGTAGACTTAATTAATGACAACGATGTGCTTAGTGACTTGGGATTTACTGAGACATCTATTTTGATAGCAGATTGCAAATTAGATAAAGCTGCAATTGAAAAAAGTAAAACTGATATATCTAAAAAGCTTCTAAAAGAGAAGTCCATTGCTCAAGTTATGGTAGAAGATAGTTGCTCTCTTGGAAATTCGGGGCTCTGTGATGAACCTTCTGGAGAAATTTTAGATATAGCTTTAAAACATCGAAGTAATTTAGAACAGATTACTGATGAATCTTCATTTGATGATATATCTGATGAAAACATTCAGAATAGAAAAAAAGTTAATGAAGAAACTTTCAAGGATTTTCAGAAATTTTTTGGTTCAGTAAAGAAATATGAAAGAAAGGAGTTATCTAATCCTGAGAACAAACTACTAATAAATTCAATAATCAAAAAGGAAATCAAGGATATTAAGAAGAATGAACTGAGTTTTAAAGAAATTGATAATTTATTAACAAAACTTTTACAGAAATATGCACTCAATGATGAAAAAGGAATTTTGGAATTTTCAGAAACTATAGAACCAGAACAATTGAGTCAGCTTTTTGAATATATGGATACACCAGAAGGGAAGTTACATATTAAAAAAATCTCAAAAAGACTCGCAAATAAACTTGCTGGTGATAAAAGGAAGAATCTACAAATAAAAGATAAATCGTCTATTATCTATAGTAAGGCTAGGAAATTAAATGGCCCAAGTAATGAAAACATAAAATCTTACAAAAGAGTACCACAAAAACATAAACTAAAAAGTTCTAAATTATTAAAAAATCAAATGACAGAAGATGATTATTTAATTCCAAATATTCAGTATTCAACTGAATCTTCAGAAAATTTAGCTCCTCAAATACCTATTGAAAGGTTCCAAAGTACCTATAGCAATACTGGTAAATCTGATTTGCGAATTATGGATAATTTTAAAGGGAAAAAGTCCAAAAAACTAAAGAGTAGGGTTATGAAAGCTTTAAAGAAAATCCCTTTTATAACAACAAGATTTTATAATATTTATAGACGTGTTGCTCCTTCTCATAGAAAAAAAAAGAAAAAAGCTAAGAAGTTTGTGGATCTTATAAAGAAGTACGAGATGATTTTTAGAGAAAGAGCTTATGGAGAAAGTCAACAAACAGGTCCTCCTGAAGCTCCAGTAACACCACTTGTAATTAAGCAAATTAGAATAATAAGAAATGAAAATCAAGATTTGTATAGCTCAATAGATGATGACGAAGATGACTATGATGATATATCTAGTTTAATATTAGGCAATCGGGTCTATTAAATTCTAAATCTATTTATTTAGCAATATATACTTTTTAGGTAAAATAGAACTATAATTATAAATAAAATGATATTTTGCATGCATAATTGCCACATATTTTCGTCTCTAATACACCTAATAGTCATAAGCACCAACTGTTTTGGTTCTATTTCTGCATGTATTATTACATGGCCGCTCCCCAATAGTTACTTGATATATTGTAACAAGTACGTCTTTATTAGTTTCTATTCTTCTCCACTTTCTAAGTTAAATTGTTACTTGATTTTATTAGATTTTCTAAAACAGCAAATGAATAAAAATAATTTATGTGTATGTAGTGTTAAATTGGACTTTAATAGTTAAGAAATATTGGAATTTTGGCTTGTGTTTATCTTATTGGTAATATTACTGAATAATATATAATATGGGGATGATTTCTAATAAAACTGTTATATTTTTATTTTATATTATATTTATAATTTCTGATATTGATGTGGTCTACAGTTCTTTATTTAGATTTACAAATTTTCCTAGAAAAAGAATAGAATCACAACAACTCAAAATTGATGCAGAATTACAGTCTGTATCTAGTACCGATGGTTCCATTGCAAATTATAATTTTTTAAATAGCAACAATATTTCTGTTGTTGAAGCTATATTGTTTCCATCATATGCAGTTTTAAAAAATACTGTCAACGGTTACTACTGTTCTGGAATGTATCCTAAAGACCATATTAATTTCTCAATTCAAAATAAGTTAACATTTAATGTAAACTACTGGGAAGATGGTTATACATCTCAATATTTGATTATTGCAACTCCAAATGGTATCATTTGTATGCTTCCTTATACATCAGAAATAGATTTTGTAAGTGTAGAAACAGAAACTAACTCTAAATTTAGCTTATATATAGGAGCTTATCAACCAAATACAGAACAAATAATCACTCAGACATCTCTTAATAATTATGTCTCATCCTGTAAATTATCGTTATATCTGGAATGTTACTCAAATAATATTACTTTATCTATTCCAGATCCCCTTTATAAATCTGGATTGCAGATTAACTTATTCAGTTCAGTATATATCTATTCTAATAATGGTATTTTATCTAATTATATTTTTTATGATACTAAGTTATCATTAGAACTGTTTAATGTAATGATAACTGCAGATTCTATTGGAATTGAATATTGTCAACAACAAACTTGGGGAAATCTAGGTAACAATACAGGATTAAAAAATATGTACTTCATATTTAAGTTGAATTTTGTATTTCAAAATCAAAATTTATACGTTATTTCAGATACTGGAGTAACTATTCTGCATATTCAGCTGAAATCGGATTTTATAGGTATTGGTAAGATATATTTGCCTAGTAATTCAGCATTATTTAATGTTAAACCCTTTTCTACTACTCCAATATCAATATTCAATAAAGCATCTATTTATGGTTTTTCTAGATCTAATTTTATTACAGATTCTCAAACTATTCTCGGATTTAATGAGAATTTCCCATTTGAAAATAATTTACACATAAATATAAAGTTAAATATTCAGGAATATTATGTGAACGAATCGTTCACTATATGCACATTGAAATTTTATTATATCTCCAATTCATCAGATTCTTTTATTAATATAGATTTAACAGATCAATTAATGATTCCATCTATACAAATAATAGTATTTAGAGATTATGTAGCTGTTGAAGATAGCTTTACAAGAAATGTTTATACTGCAATAGTACCAGAAACTACAATATCAAATCTAAATATCCAGCTTCAAGGTATATCTTCTAAAAATATAGTACAGATTTTATATGAGATGGATAATCAATGGTTTTTAATATGTGAATTATCACTAGAGTATTATTTTTCAAGGATTTCATTAATAGCGAATTATACAGAGAAATCCCCAATTTCTGTTAAGTATTTAGGTAGTGATAATGAAAATAGTATTATTACAAACTATAGTAAAAGTATTCCAAAATATTCTGAGGTTAATGGAGATACATGTATTTTATATCCAATGTCCTCATGTAGTTCTTTAAATGTAAACTTAACTATTCCAGCTACTTCAACAACTGAACTTGACTTTGAGCTTAAAGGATTTAGTTCAATACAAAATATCACTATAGCACTTAATAATTTGGAAAATATATCAAGATTTGAAAAATGTCAATGGAATTTAATTTCTAAAGGAAAAGTTGTATATGAACTTTCATTATTACAAACTGCTATTTTATTAACATATTCAATAACTGGTCTTTCATCATCTGGTCCTTTAATTAACTTTATTAGTTTATATACTACAAAGTTTATACTTTCTTTGATCTGGTATAATAATATTATCTATGCTATAGACACTAGTTCAGGACTAGTATATGCAAATATAACTGAAATTAAAGAGTATCCAGTAGATAGTATAAAGAGTATATGTTATAAAGACGTCATATCTATTACATACAATTCAAGTGCAGTATTTTCTCCTGATAAAAAATATACTTATTCATCTTACATTTTAGGTCAATATCAAGAATGCAATTTTTTTAATCAATGTAACAGCGGAGCTTATATATGTCCTGGATCAAATGTTAGTCAGTTATGCTCAGATTTTGAGTATCTTGCAATAATATATAATGGTACTCTACCTTCTATTAATAATCAAACAGAGCTTGGAATATTACCAGATACTCGAAGTATGTTTATAGTTGGTAGCACTACAGAAATATATTATATAATTAATGTATTTGGTACTTATTTAGCTCTTTATGATGTTGTAAATGGGTATTCATGTTATAATACAGCCCCTTTAGGTATTGAGTTAAGCTCAAGTATATTTTTAAGTCTTGGAATATTTATAACACAATCTTCACAAGTTCAGCTATTATTAAGTGTTGAAAATTTCACTTCTATTCTTTGTACTATCCCCTTGAACAAGAATCTTACTGATTTATATTATTTTAAGTCAATATCTAATGAATTTAATACTAATATTGGAAATATAACAATGATTCCAAATAAAAAGAATATAATATCTAATTATTCAATTTCTGTATCTCCAAATAATTCAGCAACACCAAAACTCAATGCATTTATACCTGTTAAAGCCTTTAGTGTAACTTTACCTACAGCATTAAGTATATATACTGCAATAAGATTTAACTTGACAATTCAACCATCTGAATATTCAGAAATATCAATTAGTATTTCATTTGGTAACTCAAAAAATATTGAAATAGCTGGGTTGCATATATTAGCTGCAAATACTTCTTCTATATTATTATATTCATCTAATCAAAGAATAGGTACTATTAGTGGATATGGTCAAATTGATAATAGTAAGTCTGAGTGTTTTGCAGATTTCCTAAAACAAAATACATTTGAATTCCTTATAGGAATTGCTAACCATAAATCAGATGAATTAGAAATACCTTATTTATATATGGTATGTTGTAATAATATTGTCACTAAGATATTGCTTGGCAATCTTAATATTGAGAATATATCAGTCTCTTCATCAGGGATTTCCAATATACTAATAAATTTTGTCAATGGTTTTGTTCCACCTCCAACTTCATATGAACAAGGTAATCTAACAAATCCTCTTGCTTCTTACAAAAACGAGTGCTCTTTAAATATATCAAATGTGATATCTTATTGTTTAACGAGATCAGTTACTTTCAATTCAAATTCTTCAAATAAAGCATATCTCTCTTTGAACTATGAAGTTACAAGTTATTTTATGATCTCTAACAATATAAAAATAGTATACAATAATAATACTTTTTTTTGGGGTATTAGCTTAGAAACAAATAATAGTATGACAATATTTATGATACTATTTAACGAAACCAACTTAGGGGTTGTTAATTTATTAACTAAGGAAGAGATTTGGAATTTTTATCCTAATAATATATTTGTATACCCATTAAATTGGATAGCAGTATCTATTAATAAAATTTCAGGATTTATTCGGTTTTCATTGGATTCTCAGACATTTGGATTATTTCCTGATTACTCAGCTCAATCACATACAATAGTTAAAATAACTATACTAGGCAATAATTCTTGGGGTATATTTCAAGGGCAACAACAGTCACATATTGTAAATTTAATTACTTATCCATTCTTATATCATGGGTATACTGAGTGTTCTTTTAATAATTTATGCTCTTTAGATAGTACATTAAATTGTATTGGGGTCTCATTCAGTGGACTATGTCCTTATCCTCCGCCTAACCAATTAATTTATATGTTCAAGATAAGATCAAATACCCTTTCTTTTATAAATAGTGGTGAGTATGGTTATAGATTTAAATTACCAAATTTGATATATGCTTTTAATATTAACGATGGTTTCTCCAATATTTTTTCTTTTTATTTCTTCAAAACTTACGCAAGCCTACAATATCTGAATGATGGTAGCTCCTGCCACAATTTATATGGCTCAAATCATCAACCAATTACTACAAATAGTTTAAATAGATATTTTGAATGGTCATTTTCTATAGGGTTAGATACAATAACTTTGTATGCTAAATTTGATAATAGTAAAATTTCCGAAATTTGCTCATTAAATATTACTTCAATTTCAAATTTAAGATTCAACATTTTATATCCTGTAGGATTAAATTCTGGAATTATTAATGGAACTCTTGTGAATTTAGGTAGTATTTCAATTATCCCGAAAAAATCGATCAATCAAGTTAGTGGGAATATGTGTAGTTTATACATGTTTAATATATGCCCTATTGAGAAAGATACTCAGGTAGGAATATCTCCATATGGCACAATTTTAGAAAATAACTTTGTATTTATTTTTAATATTACCTATAATTCAGAAGATATATATATAATTGACTTATTAGGTATTAAAAACTCTTTGGGTTCACAGTTTTCTATTGCCAAATTGGAGATCAATGGCCTTAACTTAACATTAACCGGTGGGCAAAATAATATAATATTCCTAAATTATAATATAAAAGATCCTATAGATTTTAAGAGTACACTTTTGGTATATATATATGTCGATAGTTCTTACAAAAACTTAATCGTGGCTAGTTTACTTGCAAATAATGAAACAAATAATTTAGGTTTAAATCAAAGAATACAAAAAAGAGACATTTCATATCCAGGAACAATGGTAGGTATTTCTGTACCTCTGATAGGAAATATAACGCATATTTCATCAAGATCTCTAAATACCTTTCCACCACAAGTATTGCTAAGTAATTGGATTGCATCAAACCAAATTATAAAATCATCATATATGCATACAATTTGTGATCTTTCTGTAAACCAAAATAATTGGTGCATTGGAATAAATGCTACTATATCAGACACAAAATTGGATAACTCAATTGTATGGCTCAACTTCACTTTTTCAGATCAAAGCTCCTCTTCTCAAAACCAAACTGTATTTTCCACAACCTATGAACTATGGAATGACAATGATGTTCTTTTAAGTTTGAAATTCAACAAGACCAAAATAATTTTACGAAATCTAAAAACTAGTGAAGTATTTACTTCTTTTTATACAAATGAAGCGTTATTATTCCCTGGAGATATGATTATAATAGGTATTAGCATTTATAATGAAACAAATGAATTAGTGCATATTATTAATGAAAATAAACAAGTTCTAGTCTCTGCCAAAATTAGTAATCAGATAATTAACAGTATCCAAAACATTACTAGGGTTGGTAATAGTAAAAATAAAATTTTTACTTCATATATGTTACAATACAATGTAACCAATATGACTAGCTATTTAGTAGATGGTTATTATACATGCTCTTTAGACTCTACTTGTAGTATTCAAAGTACTTCATGTTCTGGACAAGCTCTCTTAAATCCTTGTCCAATACCATTTGATGGTATCTATTGGTCTATAGAATCTGTTATTATGAATTCAGGCATGAATAATTCTACTGAGAACATCCTATCTTTATATCTTCAATACCCAGAGCTACTAAGTATATATGCAATGAATAATGGTAATTCTGACACAATTATATTTTACTTTTTTAAAGATAGAATGGCTATGCAAGATTTAGAAAATAATCTTGTTTGTGAAGGTCCTTATATTAATAATGAAAATATTACAAATGGAACTAAGATAGTTTGGACTATTGGTATTGATTCTAATAATATGATTTATTTAGGAATATCTGACATAGAAGATTCAAAAAATTATACAGTATGTTCTTTCGGATTTTCGAAAGAAATAGGGTATTTTGTTAAACTTTATCCGCATAGTTCATACCCTAGCTACAGCACATTTACACAAAATGGAGCTGGGTTTAATAGTGGTGGCTATACTCCTACTTCAAATTTAACTACTGGATCATACAATCCAACGTATAATGAAGTTACTAAACGTTATATGACAAAAAATCCCTATGGGATTAATGCACCATATTTACCAGTTGGTATTCCTTATATTCCTATTAATAGCTCAGATATACTACCTGGGTATATATATAACAAGGCTTCCAATCAATATCAACTAAATTCCAATTTAACAAATAATAACTTCAATTCTAGAAATACTCGTAATATATCAAGTAAATATCCTAATAATCTATTTTTCCCAAAAACAATATTATATGGTAAGAATAAATGTAACTTGCAACTCTTCAGACTATGCAATTCTACATCAGTTATAATTGAAGTTCCATCATCGATATTAAAAAAAAATTGGACCATATTTACTATGATATCTACTGGTATACCTAGCGAACCTTCTCAAAGATATGGTAATTATCAATATTTATTTAAAAATTCACTTGGTCAAGTTGTATTTAAATTGGTTATTAATGACACTGCTATTAGATTATTTGATGGAAATGGGACTATAAAAACTGCAGTAGCACCACAATGTGGTCCTTATTGTTCTACATATCCAGGTGGCTTCTTTTCATTTTGGCTTGATTATGATTCTATATCGAATTTATATTTTATTTCAATAAATTACAATAAAGAGTACCTACTAAATTTTGAAGCTACTGAACAGAATTCATTTGTGCAGATTGATGGATGTTGTAGTCAAGATACCTTCAATATTTGGCAATTCGTAAATCAAGTAACTATTCCAAATGTAGTTGCAACAACAACAACGACTGCAACTCCATGGTATAAGGATATTAAAGATAATTGTATTTTAATGAGTAATAGTACTACTCCTTGTAGTGGTTATAATCTGACTATTGAACCTTATTTTAATCAGGGTAATATTCTATGGATAAACTTCACTATTCCTAATTCTTCAAGTTCTATAGTGGCAGATAACTACTACCTACATTCTGGTTTTACATTCTTAACGCATAAAAACAAAATTTTTGATTTACACTTTAATCAAACTTCACTTTATCTTAACCTAAATGCTAATAATGAAGTTTATACATCTTTTTGGACAAATGAATCTTTAATATTTAAAAATATGAATAAAAGATTGGGAATTACCTGGAATTCTGAAGGATTTTATATTTTAAATAGTAAATATCAGTCCCTAATTAGTATTCCACTTCTGTTAAATAGTAATAACTATTCATTTTCTTATGTATATCCATTAAATGAACACCAATATCTATTGTCAAACTATTCTATTTCAAATAATTTTTATTTACCAGGTGAAATTTTATTTCAAGGTTACAGTACCTGTAGTTTTGAATCACTCTGTAAACCTAATGAGCTTCAATGCAGTGCCCAAGCAGCATTAAATCTTTGTCCATATATAAAAGATGGAATGTTTTGGAAAATTGACACTTTTGTATATGATACATTTATAAATAATGGAACCTGGGGATCGATGTTTGAACTTCCTGATCTGTATATGGCTTATACTGTTTCAAATTCAGTTAGAGATTCTTTAGTTATTTACATATTTAATAATAGATTGGCATTACAAGATTTAATTAATAATATTTCATGTAGTGGTCCTTATCCAAATGGACAAACCTTGGTAAATGGTACGAAAATAATTTGGACACTAGGTATTGACTCTAATAGTTTGTTATATCTTGGGGTATTTAGACAGGATAAAGATACCCAAATGACAGTATGTGCAATACCATATAAAACTTCCGAAATGGGTCCATTTTCTATTATATCTCCTAAAGGCTTTGCTCCTTCAGTATCTAAATTTATTCAATATAGACGAGGGTTTAAAAATGGTGGATTCCAACCCACTGCAGAAACTGGAAACGGTTGGTACAACCCACAGTATAACTCTAGCAGTAGGTCATATGATACAAATTCAGTATATAATACCTCCCGTTCTTTTTTCCCGGTTGGTATACATGAGGTATTGGAAGATAGGAATGTAGTTAATACAATAAAAGGGTACCACTATAATAGAACTACAAACCAGTTTAATAAAAATAAAAATAATACAAAAGCTGAAATAAATCCATCTCAGCCACTGAAAGTTATGAATGGCATTAATGAGTGTAATTTATATATGTTTGAGAGCTGCAATGGAACATCTGTAATACTTCAACCAAATGGTATATATTTTAAGGCAGGCTGGGGATTATTTATAATGATATCTACTGGAATCCCCAGTTCAATATCAGACACTCTCCAGTTCAACTATGAATATATTTTTTTAGATGAAGGAAACAACAAAGTCTTGTCACTTATATTAAAAGATGATGAGGTAATATTTTCCAACTTAATAAATGGTCAGTATAAAATAGCTGGATCTCCACAATGTGGGCCATATTGTTCCACTTATCCTAATGGATATTTTACATTTTGGGTAATACTAGATGAAATTTCTAATAATTATTATATAACAGTTGATGGCAATCAGCAATATTTATTACATTTAGACGCTACTGGTGCATCCTTTAATAAAATTGTTCCTTGCTGTGGAAATTCAGTTAACAATTCTTTTAATATATGGCAATTAACAAATAATATAAATATTCCATCAATCTTAGTAACTACAACTACAACTGCAATTACAATTGCAACTACAATAATCACAACTACCACTACTACTCAAGAGGCTTCAAATAGATTAGAACCTGATGGTGGCTGTCTATTACAGCAAAATTCAGTTTGTGTAGGTAAATATGGATACTTTGTAAATAGCAATCCCAGTACATCTTGGAAAAAAGGAATTGCAGTAACACTATCTTTTAAATTGAAAGATGAATATACAGATAGACAATTAATTGCTAATAAAAATATTGATAGTTTTACATCTCTGGAAGTAATATTGGCAAGCATTTATTTGGAGGAAAATGACAAAAATGTCGCCTTTATATTATTAACTCCTACAAATATTAAGTTAGTGATAGGTAATTATAGTTATATTTCACAATACTCAAATGGAACTATATATGATATTGGTGATATAATGACAATAACTTTAGTAAATAGTGATAGTGTTCTATATATTTTAGATTATAGTGGTTTTGCATTAATTCAATATCCAGGTTTTAATAATATGCCGGAAATTTTAATTAAGAAAATTACTTTTAACAAAATATATTCATCAGTTACAAGTGTTAATTTCTCAGTTAATAACTATACTGGATTCCCATATGTATTGCTTGATGGTTATTTATATGGTAGTATCACCCCTTATTGCGATATACCTGAATCATCAGTAGTTTCACAGTCAGTAAAAGGATTATGTCAATATCCAAAATCAAAAATGCTTTGGACAATAAATACTACTATAGTTGACTCAAATTTCTCTACAAGCAACTATGGTATGATTTATTCTGGAAAAGACTTATTAGGTGCCTTTGCATTAAATAATGGTTTATATGACACAATTGCATTTTTATTTTATGAAAATAGAGTTAATATGGTAAATTTAATAAATAATCAGACATGTTCTTCTTTTTATCCATATAATGAAATCATATCTATTAATAGTACTATAACATGGAGTATTGGATTTGACAAAGATTCGATATTTCTAAATATGAATGATCCTAATACTGGGACGGATCCATTTTTATTATGTTCATTAATATATGATTCAAATTTATCTCCATTTGTCTACTTTCTACCTAAGGGATATAAACCTAATCCAAGTATGCTTTTTATTCAGCAATCAGATGCATATTCTCCTTTAAAATATATCCAAACACACAAGTCAGATCCAATATATAATCAGGGAGCTTTAAGTGCCCAAATTCTGATAAATAATTTCAATTATTACTTCGAACAACAAATTTCGTTTGGATCTTTTATTCAATTCCAAAAAGTATTTTTGGCAGCAATAAAAATATCATTAAAGCGTGGAACATATAGTGATGTTCAGATACAAAGCATAATCCCCTCAAATATTAAAATTATTAATATTGAAAATTCTCCCAAATTTAAAACATCAACTGCAGATATGCTTATAACATTTAATATATATCCTACAATATATTATTCTCTTCGGGAATTAGCAATTGACTTAACAAGTCAAGTTATATTTAATCCTATAAGTATATTCAATAATATCTTTTCTTGGATTATATTCAATACTTTATCTTTGGAATTTTCTCCAGAACTTGATAAAATTCTCCAGATTTCACCGTGCACAAGTACAAATACTAAACAGAATAGTTTACAAAATATTATTGAACAATATGGAATTTATTTAAATGTGGATGTACCAAATGGTGCGATAATTGGTTTTATTTCATTTAATTATCCAGTCCCCAATAATATTTATTCCCTTGAGTATCAAAGCTTTGTTAGATTATTTGTTAATTCACTAGCAGATTCCTTGATGATACCAATATCTAAAGTAGGAGTTATTGCAGTAGCAGATACTCCTCCAAAATATGACATAGAAGGCTTTGGAGTTATTAAGTTCTTTTTTGTTTCTACTCCAACAAACCCTACACCAAAAATAGCAAACAGATTGGCATTAACATTATCGAATCCACTTAGTGGTTTTTCAAGAGCACTTAATTGGACCCAAATAGATTTAGGAGAATGTTCCCTAAAGGTGTCCACGTATTTATATCAATAGAATTTACTAATTTACATCAATGGAATTCGCTAATATTTGTAATTACTAACTCAATTTAAGTGAATTGGAAGTCATAGGATAAAATAGTATCAATCTAAATTTCTCAAATTACTAGTACATGATCTATAAAGTATTGAAATGTTAGTACTTATTAATATATAATAGGATAAAATGGACAGTATCTATACAATATTAACTTGTATTTATTATCTTAAATTTTCCAGATATTCTTGTTACCACTATATTAAGTAGTTAACCTTTCTATTCTGTCATTTTCTTCATTACTTGGACGATTAGCAAATGCAATACCTGCAATATTGCCATCACTTGTGAGCTCAAAACAAATTCCATATATTGAATTGCTAGGAATTAATATTTGATTAAAACCACCAACATTAGAGACAAGTGACTTCATGATAGTATTTGAATAAGATGGAATTAGTTTGATCTGGATAGGAGATATATCACTTTGTGTAAAATCAATAGCAAGAAGAGATCCAGGCTTTTGTAAATCAAATGTTTGTCTTGTATTCCCTTCTTCAATATTTTGTCCAACTGAAACTGATGACATTTTATCAGGGCAATATAATGTCATGGTAAGTATCTGACGGTGAAAATTACTACTAGATAAAGTCGATAATTTCGTAAATGGTACTTCCTCATCAATACTATCTAAACATGAAAAAGATATCCACCAATTACTAAGGCGTGTTCTAGCAGCTCCTCCTTGTATATCTGTACAAAAAGGGTGCATTACATCAACTCTTTGATAAATCCTTGGTCCCTTAATAATAATATTAGGAGGATTCATATTATTTTTACTAATAACAGGTACAATTGTAGGTTTAGGAAGTTCCTTTAAACATTGATTAGACATAAATTCAAATCCAAATCCCAAACCTAATATTGCCTGCGAGGATGATAAAGAAACACATATGGTAGTTAAGATATTCTTTTCAGCTCTTAGTCTATTATTCATTTCAAATGTTACAGTCGGTAATAAAGGAGTATCCATTGCTCTATAATATAGTAGCTGATGAATATGTCCAAATCCTATCAGTCCATTAATAGATATAAAAGCTGGTCCTGGAAGAGGTTCAGCAATATCATCTTTAGTTAATAATGTCGTGTCATTAGATGCAAATGCAAGTTCAATCATTTGTGGTTGTACCTTTGTGAAAACTTGGGTTGCAAGCTGGGATGGAGATTGTCCTCCAACAGATATAGTTTCAATATGATTAATCCCTTTACATTTCCATTCAATTCCTATAATAGGACCAGATTGTATATAATGAATTTTTATGTATTCTATTTGACTGCATATAGGACATGTTATAGTCTTAGAAGTTGCAATTTGGGATTTGTCCTTAGAATTTCTATTCTCATTTTTTAATTCTGCTTGATTCTCAAGATAATCGATTAATGGCATATTGTATGCCATTTTAGGACATTTCTGACTATTAATTGTGGGTTCAATAACCAAGCCATTATATAATGAGCTGTTTTTGAGTGAATTAATATTTGAATCTATAGATGTCTTATTCATAAGAGTAGATGTAAATTTGTCTAAATTAGAAGTCTTAGATGTCACTTCTATATTACCATCAGATTTAATTTTTATATCTTCTTCCGATTCAGGAGGGCTCTTATTCATTGAACCCTCAAATCCAAGACCTATTATTTTCCCACTATACTGCTCAAGTTCAACACAAATAGAATCAGTTACTACTGGGACTCCATCAATAGCAGGGATTTCCCAAAGTGCTATATATGTTGGAGCATATAAATTTGAGTAATGTTTCAGTAATATATCTCTAGAATCACGTCTTATTATCCCTGTACTTAACATAACTAAATTAGATGTAAGGGGGTTAAATCCTGCATATATTGAATTAAAGGGACCTTCTTTAGATATTACTACACGTGTAGAAGAAGATAGAGGTTGCCCCAATGCAAATGAAATATCTAAATTACTTTGATGAATATCTGAAATATCTTTTTCATGTTGTAACCAAGAAGGATGTTGAACTCTAAATGGAGAAGGAACCCATTTATTTAGTGGCCATCTATCAGTGTCAAACAACTCCATCAACTTGTTACTATTATATTCTTTGAGTAATCTATTTTCCAATTTGTAACTTTCAGAGTCATGTTTCACATTATTACTAGTTTGATTAAATAACCTTGAAGTAGAATTAGATAAAACATAAATTTCCTCTTTAAATAAATCCTTTGTTGTTGAATTTAAAAATTCATTCTCTTTAGTAATATTTCCAGCCATATCCAAGTTCAATTTCATACTATTAGAGGATATAGTATTATTTCTATCTGTCTCCTTTAATAGCCTAAATTTAGAATTATTATTAATTGGCTTACAAACTCCTGCTATCCTCTGTATTAAGCCTGTATTGCTGTCTACAAATAATATCAACCTTGAAATATATTGAGGTTTATTTAATAAGTCAGGTTTGCATTGAGCACTAACTCTTATTGTATATAAACCAGATTTCTGTAGATCTGGAGAATATGCTAAATTATAGTTACTACTAGATACAATTCCAAATGTTACCTGTATAATATCAGGATTATAAGATACTGCAGTATTCAAAGTCTGATTCTTACTCATTGATAATGGATATGCTATAATATCTGGTTTTACCATATTTACAGCATCCAAATAAAGAGGTATTGGTTCAATCATTGATTCATAACCAATCCCAATACTTGCTATAGATCCTTCCTTACTAATACCGGCACATAATAAAAAGGGATCTTTTCCAACCCAAAGTCGTTCTCTAATTGCAGCTTTTCTTTTAAGTAATCTTTGCACTTCAAACTGTGTATTTATAAAAGATGCAAATTCCTTCCCAACATCATTATAATATCTTAATGTAACAGGATTGTATAAAGTAGATTCCTTACAAAATCTCGAATTATCCGTCGAATTCAAATAAACTGCATAGAATGAAGTCAACTCCCCTTCTTTTGTTGGAGCAATATATGTACCAGAATATTTTCCTAAAGTTACATGAGATCTATCAACAGTCCTTTTTATTGTATCCAAGCTTTTGCATTCAAACTACAAAAAGAAAACAAGTAATAAATTAATGAGTTAGTATCACAAAAAAAAGTGAAATAAAATTCATAAGAATATATTTTAGAGTATAGAAAAATTATATAAATTAACTTAAAATAATCCAAATGTAATTAAACAAGATAAAACCTCAAATTCTATATATTAATAAAATCCAAGTTTCTATCACATATTTATACCACTTTTTAATTAAATCCATATACTCTATATAAAATATCTCACTATTTCAATCATTCTAATAAACTTACCTCAATAGCAGATAAATGATAAGTACCAAAACAATATCTTTTAAAAATCCTAAATTTTGAAAATTGACCTTTCGGGCACATCAAAGAATAATATGTTATAGTATTATTTTTATCTACAATTCCAGGTCCATCTAAGATTTGACATTCTTGAAAAACCGAATTTTGTCTTATAAGCATATTCCTTGCATTTATACCATTTGAGACCAAATTTAGAGACGGTGATTTAGTTCCTTCTGTAATAAATCCAATTGCTGATATTGAATAAAGTATAAATCCTGGTTGTGGAGTTACTGTAAGCATAAAACATCCTCCAATTAATTTATTACCAGACCATTGACCAGAATTCAAAATTTCCATTGAGGAAGATTTACGTCTAGCCGAAAATGACATAGAACCCCCAAAATAACCTTCTAATAATACTAATACAGGAGGACGATTTGAATTACCATATATAAATCCAGCATTAATAGAAGAAATAAATGTAGGAAATAATGCAATTGTATTATTATAGTGAGAGATATCTGACCCTCCAAATGAAATATAAGATGAACCATCAGAACAACCAATCTTTAAAGATTGTATACTATCAATATATTTTATTTCACCATGTTTAATAGATTCACCATTTATACCAATATATGATAAATAATAATCTTCTTTACAACGAAAAGAAATCTTAATAGCACTATCTTCATTACTACCTATAGGTTGTAATAGCCTACAGTTATCATTAATAGAATCTGGGGTTATATCTATCTTTAATCCTTCATGAGTCCAACCAGTAAATGGAGCAGAAATCTGTCCTGTTACAGAATATATTAATAGCAATACCAAAATCAAAATGTGTAAATATACCATGTTTATAAATATCCAATTTATTTTTCTTAAAGTATTTTCAGATTTCTACTCTAACATATGGATCCTATAAAGTGTACCACATGTTCTTTTATTAATCAAATAATCAAAGGTCGAGTTTAGTTACAATACGTTCCAGGCGCTAATATACTATTGACATAAATATAGTGATTGAATTATCGAGTTAATAATATATTTAAGACCACTATATAATTACCAAAGGTCCTATAAATGAAGTATTTAAAATGTTAATATTTGATGGGGCTAGAAAAATATAAATAATTTACTGATTATATTTTAAATTAATCATAAAAATGATTAAAAAAAGAAAAAAGTCTCATCTTACTTTAATAATATATTGATATTCCACCACTTAAAATGATATATTATCTTATTAATTTGATATTGTTCTATGATATTTATATCTAGAAAAAAATTCACAATGTACTACCAACAGTTATAAATAGAAATATATTTTAGAAACTTCAATATATTAGCTGGAGTTATTAATACAAAATAGTATACAACTTAATGAAATATTGTATATATATTAATAAAAGTGATTATTAAATAAAATATCTTATAATTAATACCATACCATTTTATATAAATATAGTCTATATTAAGCTTGTAAATAAATAACTTGAACTGTAATGTCGTCTACTACATTTCCTTCTTCTTGAATCCAACGTCTCCAAGCTTCTCTTGCTAATCTTTCGGCTGATATTTGTGCACCAGTACTACCACCCTCAGCAACAAGATCAACTGCCTCTTGAGATGAGATAAATTCCCAAACTCCATCTGAACAAATCAGAATAAAAGCATCCTTATCTGGTCGAATTTGATATACATTGACATCTGGTTCTGGTATAATACCTGCCTGATATCCCAGTGTATCTCCTATAGCTCTACTCATAGCTAATCCAGGATACATCTTGCCTTTTATAAATACTCTATATGGTATATCACCTTCAATACGTTTTACTTGACCACCTGCTGCTACAATCCTTCGTTTTTCTTGTTCTGAATTTGGTTTATGGTCATTTGTTAAATCAATAGCCTCAAGGGTTCTTCCGGATCTTGACCATCTTGCTAATACAGATCTTGAATCACCTACATGAGCAGTAATAATACGTTGCTCTAAAGGTTGATGTAAAATCACAGTAGCTGTAGTTCCTGATAAACTACAATCAAATTCATTTGTTTGTAAAACATAATCTTGCAATTTCTGATGTGATTTAATAAAAGCATAACGTAAAACCTCTCCTGGATTAACTTTCCATCTTTTATCTTTCAAAATAAGTTGAGGTAATTCTCTCTGTATAAAATTACTAACATCATGTCCAAAAGGTCCATGACCATCAAAGACTCCATATAATCCCCATAATTCTGTACGATATATGAAAAAGTCATCTTGATTAGGACTTTCTGGTTTTAACCCTTTACGGCATACATATCCAATACCATGTTGTAATTCTTTGTTTGCTATCTCATCACCATTTATTTCTTCAGCTTTACACTCAAATGTTTCTTGAGTTCTATGGGATAATGCACCTGTTACAGATAAACGACGTTTCGGGTAACTTGAAGAATCTAATAAACAACTTTCTAAAGTATCATTAATTGCAAAATCACCATTTATATTATTAAATGTATTTAAATTATCTGAATTATCTCTATCTAAATTATTATTTACTATTACAGCTCTATCTAATGTCGTATTTTTTTCTTTAGATACTTTTTTAAATAATGCCCTACCACGTGGTACTTCTGTATTATCTATATCATTTACTGGATCACTTCTACTAACAGAAAGTCTCCTTCTTTCACATCCATTATTAATAGATAGATACCCATCTCCATTATTATTATCTCTTCTGCTATTTCCATTCATTATTCCGTCAAAGTTCACCTCAATATTATAATCTGTTTTCCTAATTGGTATAAGAGATTGTTTTTTATTCGGATTTATTGATGAGGAGCACCCACCCATATAATAGGGAATAAGTAATAAGTAATTTCTATTAATTCTGAGAATAACTAGATAATATCTAATATATATATACATATATATACTTTAGTTTTATAAGTTTCTATAATATAACCCTTGATTAATATTCGTTTTGGGTAAATATTATATCTTGCAATATACGAATATATATATATATATATATATATATTATCTTCTTAGTAGTAAAATTCTATCACACAGCTACCATTTCAATTTTATTTATTAAGTAACTTTGCCCTATTATCTGATATAAATAAATAACTAACTAATTAAATACTTTAAAGCTCCTATTTAATATTTCCCCTCGGCGTTCTGTCTATTAATATCCCATGTATTATATTACATGAGATATTAGCAAATACCGTTTAAAAAACAAAAGGCGCCTATTTTACCGCCTAATTATCAATATTTTATTTTCTAATACTTTATACTTAAAAGTTTGTAGTAAATAATATTTAGACTTGTTACTTATTACTAATTTCTATTATATTATTAATATTTTATACTAACTTGAATTATTTCTTGTATTTATAACTTAATATCTCCTTTAATAATAATACTTTATAGGATTAATTTAGATAATAATATTGTATATATAATATATATATAAATATAAAAGAAGAAAAAAAAAAAAGTTACAACTAAAATATACAGATATTTTATATATCAGGAGATAAACGTAAAATCAGAGAATTCCGTTGTAATTGATCAACCTCATTATCTTTGAAAAATGATAATGAACCTGAATTAAAATATACATCAATATCATATGCTTCTAATTTATTTGAATTACAAAGATATGTCCTAGTTATTTTGCCAGATGTTCTAATTTGGCATAATATATTCTGTGTATTCATACTTGTACAATGAATATTAGAACATATATCGAAATCAGGTATATCTAATTTGACAGAAATACTTTGATTATATTCATTAATTAATGTATCATAATTTTCAAAAAAAATCCTCTCATTATTAGATATTCTTGATTTTATAGTATCAGATAATTTAGACCCATTATTCCAACGTTGAGATTTTAGTTGATTACATCTTTTTAATCTATGAATATATTTATAATTAAATATATAATGAATGTAATAAATATTATGGACTTACAATAATGCTAAAATTCTTATCTTATTTTGTTGTAAACATAATAAATGAGTTAAAGCAGCAACATCATATTGTGATCCATTTGATATATTACTTATAAAAGGCTTAAGGTATTGCAAGCTCTCAATATGGTTTATATTAATCTTTGATATGTCATTAAATTGATTTTCTTTATAGAGTGCAAATTGATGGATACCTGCAGCCTTATATTCATTTAATAGGTCTACACTTGGATTTTTATGTATTGAATTATTCATTATAAAATTGAAAAAAGGAAAAGAAAAGGAGGTATGGATTTTCAGTATTTAAACATGGGCGCCATATATATTATTAATTATATTACCGCCAGTAATTATTAAAATAAATTATTGTTAATATTTAATAATAAATGGTTGAATTTAAATTAAAGGTAGAGGAAGCTATAAAGTTATATAATGAAGAAATGATATGGGATAGTCATCTTATTATTCAAGAATTAATCCAAAAGTAAGTTTTTTGAATATATAATAGTCCATTATTTAATAATATATTATAATTATTAGTAAGAAATAAAATAATAGAAATTATTCATTATAATTTTATTTTTATATTAGATATGGTGAAAATAATGTATTTAATATTATTAGTATTGCAGGTGAAATTCAAAGAAGGGCAGCAATTATTGCAGAATTTATTTTAAGTGTAAATAAAATGAATATAAATGAAATTAATATATCTGAAAATATATATAATTTAAATAATAATTCAAATGTTATATCAGAGTCTACATCCTCAAATATATATATAGATCCAAATAATAATGATTCTAATATATTTACAATGCATATAGAATCAAATAAATCTAATATTAATAAATTAACATTAAATATCAATTCAGTAAATACAAATAATTCTGAATCAAATGTTGATTTATCAATTTGTAATATAGATAAATATTTTAATATAGATGGATCTATTAAAAAGGATATTTTAATAGGAAATTGTAATAGTTTAATTGTTAATGAAGGGAATAATATTTGGAGACATGTTATTTCAGATAATTCACTTAATTTATGGTATTGCTTACATAATGATTCAACAATAATTGAACTATGTTTTCAAGGTGATATAGAGACTGATATATTAAATGTATTAACAGTTTTATATGAAAGAGATTTATATAAAGAATGGATTCCATATTTTAAATATCCAATAAAATTTGGATTATCTAATGTTAATGAGATGATGAATAAAGGTAGATTACATATAATAACAAGTATTAAAATAGATATTCCATGGCCATTTTATAATAGGGAAGTTATTTTAGAGATATGGGCTAGTAATGAATTACATTCTAATAATCGGATTTTTATATACGTATCTTCTATAGATGAATTTGGATATAATTCAAGGCTTGATATTGAGATACCCAAACCTTCTGAAATGATAAGTAGAGCAAGTGTATTAGGGGGAGGTTTTATAACTCCAAATTCTCATAATCTTACAAATATACTTTTTAAATGGAAGTTTGATTTATTTGTCAGGGCTCCAAATTTTATTTTAGATTTTTTTCTTAAAGTATTTATTAAAGCATGTTGGTTAAAATTTCGTTCAGTTTGTATCAATGCAAATAAAGTTAATTCATTACATTTCCAAAGATTAACATCTAATTCTGAAATATATAATTTTGTAAGAGAGAAACTAAAGACAAGTCCAAAGTATAATAATTCAAATGAAGTTTAATATATATTATTTATTAGAAAGAAAAGAAAATTATTACTTTGTTGATATTTTTATATATACTTTGTCAATTATTTTTCACTTTTCTTATTTAAATAATATTCTATAGGTTAGGATATTTCTTAATATAATTAGTATATACTATTATTTCTATTTTCAAAAGTATGTTATGATAATGATAATATGTAATTATTTCATAATTACATATTATTTATTATAGATATTTACAAAATTATTGACAATATTACTGAGATTTTGTTTTTATATAATATTAGATGCTCAATAAGATGAAAGGGGAGTGGAGGGGGGCAATCTTTATTTTTATAACGTGGAGCTTTTATTAAAGTACTAGAAATTGAGGAGGTTGATAATGTACTTTATTGATTAATAATTTAACTCATTAAATAATAATTAAGGCCAATCGATCTTTATTATACATATGTAAATATATTAGTTGGTTGTACATATATATATAGAAAGATGAATTTGATTAAAACTGCCCGTGAACTTTTACTATCAATTTTCTCAAGAATTACTGGAATAAAGGTAAGAAAATAACTTTTTTTTTTCATTAAATATGTAATTTGATATTTTCTTTAAATATTATTGAAGATACTTGTTATGGATCAAGAAACAATACAGATCATTTCACTTATAATTAGCCAAAGTGATCTTTTAGAAAAAGAATTTTTTTTAAGTGAATTAATAGATAATCCTGGAAGAACTAAATTATCTCATTTTAATGGTGTTTATTTTCTAAGACCAAATAATGAAAATATATCCATAATTTGTAATGAACTAGAAAATCCTTTATTCAAAGATTATTACATTTTTTTTACTAATACTATATCACCAAATATATTACAGAAATTTGCTATGAATGATCATTTCGATGTAATAAGAAAAATACAGGAAATAAGACTTGATATTGAAATTGTAAATAAAGATCTTTTTTCTCTTAATATGAATTATTCAGGTAAATTATTTATTTTTATTTTATTTATTTTCATTTATTTCTATTTTCTTATTTTATTAGCAACAATGTATAATCTACCTACTAATTGGACAACTTATGAAGAAACTTTATTTTCTCGTATAATTGATGGTTTATATTCTATTTGCTGTATTTATAATAAAATTCCATATATTAGATATCCTGAGAAATCTGCTCTATGTCGTAATATTTCATTTGCATTAGAAAGACGTTTATTAGATTCTCATCCAATAGATTTAATAATTGCAGATGAATTTTCAATTCATGAAAAATCTATTTCTACTGATACAATTATGTTAATACTTGATAGAAGAAATGATCCAGTAACCCCATTATTAACACAATGGACATATCAAGCAATGTTACACGAGTTATTAGGAATAACTTTAAATAAAATAAAAATTGATGAAAATGATATTATAGTATCTGGATATCAAGATCCATTTTTTGAAAAACATTTATTAACTAATTTTGGTGAACTTGGTTTTTCTATTAGAAATCTTATAAGTAGTTATGAAGAAAATACAAAAAAAAAATTTCAATTGGAATCTATTGAAGATATGCATAGATTTGCTGAAATGTATCCAGAATTTAAAAAAAATTCAAGTAATGTATATAAACATGTTACACTTGTATATGAATTATCTAAGATTATAGAAAATAGAAAACTTATGGATATTTCATTAACTGAACAGGATATTGTAATGAATGATAATATTAGTGAACATACAAGACAAGTTGGAGAACTAATTACTGATACAAATATATCATCTTTAGATAAACTAAGACTTGTTATGCTATATGCTTTAAGATATCAAGATAATGAATTATTATTAAATAATTTCAAGTATTATCTACAATCAGATTCTAAGTATGTAGATGGTATAATTGATATTGCTAATAAAAATATTCGATCTTATGACTTATTTCATAATCGTACATTATTAAGTATGGCTAAGAGTACTATTCAAAGATCAAATAATAATTCAAATATATATTTGCAGCATAAAACTCTTTTGTATTATACTTTAGAACAATTAGTAAAAGGAAAATTAAAGTTATCTTCATTTCCTTGTACAAATGATAATATACCAAATAAAAAACCTACTGACATTATTATATTTATTGTAGGAGGAGCTACATATGAAGAGGCTAGAGATATTGAAATTATTAAAAAGCTTTACGATATTCGGATTATATTAGGTGGTACAACCTTTCATAATTCAAAATCATTTATTTCAGATTTAGAACTTGCAATTAGTAATAAATAAGATATTTAATATACCTACTAATAATTATTCAACTATTTAAATCTTTTTTTTCTCTACATATAAAATTATTTTTGAAAAGTAAATTTTTACTATTATTGGTACTTTATATAACCGCTGAATTATCTTTTCTATATTAAATAAAATTCTTATTTTTATCATATATTAATAATTATTTGTACTATACAAGAATATAAATGACAAATTTAGATCAATCCCAATTAAGTTATACAACAGAAATAAATTCAGATGATGATATTCCTCAGGAACTTAAGGGAGATATATCTGTAATTTCTTTAAATGGGGTTCTAAAGGAAATTATAACATGTGGTGAAGGCTTTGAAAAACCAGGAATTGGTGATGAAATTATAATATCATGGTATTGGGAATCTAATATAGAACAAAATAATTATAGTACTCTTACTGGAGAGCCTTTATATATGATTCTTGGAGATACTAATTTAAAAGAATGTCTATCTACTTCACATTATAATATACCTTGGGGAATTGAATTAGCTATTCGTGTAATGTCAAAAGGAGAGATTTCTAGAGTATATATTTCTTCAAATTCAATATATAAATATCCAAGAGAACAAGGTAAAAGTTTATTAGATAGCTCTATAATATCTGGTACCTTAAAACACTTTAATAGTAGATCCAAACGATTAATAGAATATTATATGGAAAATAAAAGGAATTTTATTACAGCAATAGTACAAATAATGGATTTTTGTCATATATCAATGATAAATGTAAATACTCACAAAAAAATTTGGGTTAATGGTAAAGGTTGGAAATTACCTGGGAGAAAAGATATTTTGCATATATCTGTATTACCTTTTGAAGAATTGAAAAGCTCTAATTATTGTGGTTATAAAGTTGGAATAGAACAATTAGAAATTGGTTTATGGAATGATATTGTAATTGATTTAAATAAATATTTTGGGATAAATATAAGAAATATAACTATAACTATAGAAGATATTATTAATATAGAAGAAAACAAAGAAATAAGTAAAATATTGGGATATTTTGAAGGTATAAATATTAATGATTTCATTGAAGCTTTGATATCTATGAAGATTGAAGAAATTTCTGAATTACGTTTTTTTAAAAATAAAAATAAAACAATTCATCTTATAATAAAATTAAGATATTTTACTAGAAATATTGATATTTCTTTTAATCCTCCAATACTTAATTATAAATTTGATGAAAAAATTCAATTAATGTACACTGAAATATATAGAGAAAATTTTGATACTAATACTAATACTAATAATATAAAGGATAATTTATACACAAAATCTCCAGAAATAAATCATACAACACGAATTATATTAAATATGAGAGAATTAAGATTAATAAATAATCACCTACCTAAAAATAATTTATCTGAATCAATACCACTACCTATATCATGTGTTAATGTAGTGGACGAAAGATTAATAGATACTGATATAAAATCAACTGAATTTATTATGACTCCTGGATTATTTACAACTCCTTTATGGTTAGAAGCTTTAATTAATGCAATGCCATTAAATCAAATTGTAAATGTTAGAATACCAATATCATACATTTTATTTATACCTCCTAAAAATATAATAATAGATAGTGATGAAGAAATATTAAATGATATATATCCTTTCATTATATTAAATAAACCAAATAATGAACCAACTTATATTAGAATATTTTGGGATTTTAATTTATTGTTAAATTCATTAGAAAATTTGGGAGTTACTACAACTGAAATAATTAATTCTGATATGAATCATTTATTTATAGAAATGAAACTTATGATTAAATGTGTATTTAAACATTTAAAAGATTATGTAGCTTATAAAGATAAAACGAAGATATTTTTAATGGATTATTATAAAAAAGTAGGAAATGTATTTTATAATTATCAAGATCCTATTTTTATTTCTGAGAATTGGTACAAAGCTGCAGTAAAGTCATATAGGACTGCATTGGAAATTGCTAGACTTTTTTTCCCACTTTTACCAAATAACAAATCTAAATTACCTGAATCTTCAATAGAAAATAACTTAAATAATGAAGAGACGATAAAATCGCCAAATAATTCTATATTACTTAAATATAAAGAAGCTGAAGTAAATAATGAAATTGATCAAGAGATATTAAAATCCAAAATAATTTTTATAGCTATAAATTTAATGCAAACATATATAAAACTACATCAATATAGATGTTGTATGGAAATTTATGATAATTTCATAAAGCCTTTAAATTCATATAACTTAAAAGGGATCTATAGGGCTGCAAATGCTGCAATATTAGCTGATGACTATAATTATGCAGAGGTAATACTTAATAATACTCAGAAATTCTGGAAAATTACAGAAAATTGTTTTGATTTTGAAGAAAGAAATTCTATTAATAAGTTATGGTTAAAAGTAGAGAAATATAAAAATGAAATTAAAGAATCACAGAAATCTTTATTTGGTGGAATTTTATTAAGGAACTGAACCAAATAATATTAACTGAAATTAAGAATATATTCTTAATATATTTAATATATTAATTAGAAATAGAAAAATAATAATATTTCTAGTTTTCCAAGTTTACTCATTTTTGATTATTAGTAATTTTTTGATCTTCCAATCCAATTAATTTGACATATCTAGAATTTAATTGACCTATAGATTTTCCAGAGAATCTAACACCTGATCCAGTGATATTCCAAAATCCATCTATACAGTTATAATTATATAACTTCCCAAAACAATAAAGTTTTCTACCACTACCTGTATACTTAATAAGGATTTCAGAACATGCAGTATTAAAATTCTGTAATATTGATAAACTTTCATTAACACTAAGCTCCTCTGCATTTAACCAATCATTTATAATGCAGATAAGTGACTTTCCTATGTTAATATTTATCCAGTATTCATCTACAAGTGTCTCCATCCTATATACCAAATATCTGTCAATTAATTTAACTGACAAAGTGTATAAGGGACCATTTAAAATGGCCAAATTAACTTAATATATTATAAACAAATGGTAATATTTAAAGTCAATATATTATTTATATTATTTTACAAGTTCCAACTTTTTAACTTAAATATTAAAGATTGTTTGAAAAAAATCTTTTCATGAAGCCACCGCCCACTATCGATACACACTACATATTGTAGTTTTAGGCGGTAATTTTTGGGGGGGCATTTTATATTACAAAAGATTCCTCGCTAATACATAAGCATACTGAAGAAATTGCGATTAATAATTTTTTATATTTCCTTTTTCTTCCAGAGAAAAGTGAATTTATTGAAGCCTCAACATCAAATATTAAATAGATAATATATACGTACATATTATTATAAAGATGCCTTTGTCATTTTTAACTTTAGTTGCAGATGATCTGTGCAAGTACAAAAATATAGACCCTAAACTAAGATGTAAAGATCAAGAAGATGATATAGTTGATAAGTTATATAATAATGTATTTCAGATAGCTAATGTTCCAAGACCTCCCTTATTTGTCTCTGAATATCAAGATGGAAGACTAAAGACCATGATAAATAAAGGTACTACGACTTTAGGTTTTATATATCAGGGAGGTGTTATCCTTGCTGTAGATAGTAGGGCTACACAGGGAGGGTATATAGCTAGTGGTTCAGTAAAAAAAATTATTGAAATTAATAATTATTTATTAGGAACAATGGCAGGTGGAGCTGCAGACTGCTCATATTGGGAGCGAGTTCTTGCAAAACTTTGTCGTTTACATGAATTAAGAAATAAACAACGGATAAGTGTGGCTGGAGCCTCTAATTTAATTGCAAATATTTTTTTTCATTATCGAAACTATGGGCTTTCTGCTGGAATTATGATTAGTGGATATGACAAGAATGGACCCCAATTATACTATGTGGATAATAGTGGAGCACGGGTAAAAGGTAATAGATTTTCAATTGGATCAGGATCAGTTTACGCTATTGGAGTTTTAGATTCTGTGCATCACTTTGATTTAACCGATGAAGATGCTATTGAATTAGGAAGACGAGCTATTACACATGCTACATATCGTGACGGAGGATCTGGTGGATTAGTTAGAGTATATCAAATAACAAGCCAAGGTTATAAAGTCCATATTTCTGGACAAGATGCATCTGAATTGCATTACAAATATGCAGAAGAATCAAATATTGATCCTTGTGAAATGTAGAATTACAATACAATAATATCTTTTTTTTATTGATTACCTCACATCTATAAATTATTCACTACTTTTGAATTATAATATCACCGGAAATACAAGATAGTTATTATAGGGAATATAAAAGTACATATCCTACTCATCTTCAGTAGGTTCCTCTGTAGAATATAGTGGAGTTTCTTGAATACATTCTACAGTCCTTGCAGATACTGTATCTGTATAATAAACCCATGAATGGGATGTCTCCCCTTTTCTTTCAATGTTAATTGCACTTTCTATACCATACAACTGATATAAGAAATCTTTAGGTGGAAGTCCAGATGTACATCTAACTATTTTTGCAAGATTAACAATCTTGTCAACTGTTGCTAGATGTATTGCTGCAAACTCCTCAAAATCATTATCTCCTATACTCATTATATCTAGTTTTTTGTTATATCTATTATTATCAACTTTTTCTTTAGAAATATCATTAGAATTGATCTTAACTTTTGAGCAAACTTTGGGTATAGACCATTTATTGACTATTTTCTCAAACTCATTCTTTTTAGCCATCATCCAATAATTAAAATAATTTTCTGTATCTTCTATATCTGGTTCACCACTACCAGGATTTGTTCGTATTATTGGTATATTAAGATCTTTAAGGGCTAATAATATTTCTGGAAACATCATTTCAATAACTTTTAACCACCCAGTAGATCTTGCATTTGTAACAATTGCAACATCTACAAATTGTTTCCTAGCTAATCTAATAATCTTAATTATACTAGGAATAAGTTGATTATTAGCCATCTGATCTATTTGCATCCTTATATATTGATAAATATTTCCTTGTTTCAAGTAATCTGAAATAGAATCTCCAGATATATCATAGTTAAATAAATGGCTGGTAGACTTATTATATCTTAGATTCGCATAAGTACTTCTTATCCAATCAGTTGGTATAAGCGTGTCATCTAAATCAAAAATAGCTATTGTTCGCCTATATGAATTATTGAATAAAAATGGCTGATAAGTATTGACTTTATTGATATAATTATATTGTTTTACTATATTTTTTGTGTTATTTAACGATTCATAAGCTACTGTAGCAAGCGTTTCAAGAGACTCAGTTTTACAAGAATTATTTATATTGCAATTAGAATCGGTGTTTTGAGAAGATATTCGATTATAGGTTTGAGAATTTATAGGAATATTATCCACTCTATATAGGTAACTCTGTCTAAGTATAGGTAATGGAGAGCAAAGTTTTGCCAAATCTGCAATAACCATAATCAATGTTAGCAAGTATATCCTATATATCTTTCTTTTTCTTCGTTAATTTTCCTAGAAATTTACTTTTAATTTATATAATAATTCTTTAAAAGTAAATTGTATTAGTATCCAAAATATTAGGTCTTTATTACTCAATTACTCTTCTTATAGACTTTTAAGAACTATTTTAAAAAGCACGTTTAGGCTTGTCTTAATCTTTTGTTTTTACTGAATAATTAACCAAACTATCTCATAGGTCAACTATCTAATAATCTTGAACTTTAATTAATAACGAAATTTATATAATTCTATTATATATCGAAACTTAACTTCTATATAAATAATATATACTTACAAGCTTAGGTTCTTGACTTGATGCAACATGCTTTATCCCTTGGGTGCTAAATATATGCAGCGCGCAGAAACAGATTATAAAATGGGTGAATTGCACCCCTTTTCTTATTTAAAATTAATTTTCGTATAAACCAAATATCCTGAAATAAATCTTATTTATTTATTTTAAGCAAGTATATATAGTCAGATCATATTCTATTAAAAGAAAAAAGTATTATTTATTTTTTAATTTATCATTTAAATTATAAATATTTTTAAATCTTATTAATATTTACTTTATCTCTAAGTGTTTGTTTCTTTAGATTAGTTACCTTTATTTTTTTTTATTTTTATAAATCAATATTTACACATCTTTGTAGCTTCCAAGTAAAATTTCTGTTATGGATAAATATTCATATCTAAATTTAGTATAGTCTCAATTTATAGAATACTTTATTAGTAATAATATTAGTTTTTATTGTACCATTAAAATTTCAACATCTTGAATACTGTAAAAATAGTATTAGGAAATTATTAATAATTATTGAATTTGAATATTAATTAAATACTTTTTGATATTAATAACAGTATGAAATTAATAAACTATATATATTGACTTTAACATTTATTTTTTCCTTTTTTCAATTCAAAGACTACTTAGTATTAATATATATCACCATTAGATAGTCAACTAAGATATTATAAAATTAAATATATACTTTAAGATTTATATTTTAAAATATACAAATATCCCAAAAGAATATTATATATTGAATTTATAAAAAATCACACTCAAATTATCATTTTCATTCAAGGTAATTTTATTAAAAATTATTGTATTTGCCAATATATATAATAAAAAATCCATTATATGTTTTATATAATAATTATTCCTTAAATATTCGAACGGTTTAGCTTACTTTAAAAAACATATTAAAATTAGAATAATTCAGGATTAAAATATTATAGGTAATATGAACCAGTAATATTTGGTAATATCCATGTTTCAAAATATTTGTTCATATTTTATCTTTACATTTACATATAACCTTAAACTTAGCTAAAAAATCTCCCATATACCAAAAAATGATATATTTTTTTTAGATAAAATAAAAATAAAAGAAAATAGTAAAATATTAATTCATCATGCATGTATTATTGCAATGCATGCATGCAGCGCCTTTTTAAATTAAAGACAGTTGACTTGATAAATGTAAAAAGTTTAATCCTTAAATTTACATTAAAACAGTATTTTAAAAAGTATATGAGTTTATTTTGTTTATAAATATAAGTGATTTATAAAGTGCATTGAGATACACCTTTGCAATAAAACGAATTTATACATAATCTCTTCTACTATAAGATTTGACAAATATATACTACTATTGTTAAATGTGGAATATATTAATCAGTATATAGAGAAGGACAAAATATCAGAAAATATATTTTGCTTATTTCTTATTGTATATAAAGATAAATAAAGTTAATACTATGTGATTTGTATAAGAAAATATAAAATTACTCAAAATATCTTTTAGAAATTTTCTAAGTTACTGAATTTTTAAAAGTTACCTATATATTTAATTTATATAATAGCTATATGATTATTGGTGAATAGCCTCCAAATTCGTATTATTAAATAGTTGATATAAACTTAATGAAGAATTAAATACTATAGAAAAAAGAGTTATTTTAATGTATAAGTTTTAAATTTGAATTCTAATTAGGACTTCAATATTTGCAAATTTTGTAATTTTGATAATAAATTATTTCAATAAGTATTATATATTATTAAAGAGCTATCTATATTCTTATAATGAAATATTTTGGGTAAATAAAAATTGAACATTTTTTTTTAATGAATCATACATGTATAATAGTATAAAAATCTATTTAAAATAAGAAGTTTCGCATATATTCAAAATAGTTACTAAATTATCTTAAGATGAATCTCCACAACCATATATAATCAAGAAACTTGCTGCAAAACTACATATATGCCATAAAGAGTGCCATATCCAATACGTATCGACAGTTTCTAATAACCATGATATACAACCAGTAAATGCTACTATAAATCCAATTCCAATAAAAATTGGCCGATGATATTTTTCATTTAAAATTATTATAAATGATTTATAAAAAGTTATAATGTTATTTTTAATATATTTAAACCGATTTATAAATTTAGTTTTGGTTTTTTTATCTGAATTTCTAATAAATATTAAATTAAAACTTGTTTTATGTTTACTACATATTATTTCTTCATTAGCTACTTCATTATCAGTGTTTATTATTTTTTCAAAATCTTGTGACTTGAAGACAACTTCCTTTGTCAACTTTTTTTCAGTTTTATATTTAGTTATTGTCCAATATATTATACAAATCGTGTACAAACTTATTGAAATAGTAATTGGGATTATTGTAGTTAAAATCCTTGTTGAATATATTATTAATAATAATATTGAGACATTATTGTATAAAATAATTGCATTAGTTATTTTTGAATTAAATTTACACAATAATATAAAAATATAACATATCATTATTTGAGCAGCAATGAGATCTCCCTTAAGTAATATATAATTTACATCTTTAATTAATCCAATGTCTGAAGCATGAAATACAGAAGATAATAATCCTGCAGAAAAAGCAATAAAAGCACCTAAAAATTTCTGTTGATATAAGCATAAAATAATGGTAGGAATAGCTACAATATTTGTTCCAATTAAAGCAACTGAATAAGAAATTATAATATAATATGATAAATATTGATTTGAGCAATAAAGACCACCCCATCCTGGATAACATGAACAAAATATGTCAATACTTCCATTATATTCAATAACTTTGCAGTCTCCATGCCCAGAACATGTATTAAAGTTACAATTACTAAATAATACTTTATTATTTACAATAGCTGAAATATTTTTGTAATTAGATATAAATGATAGAGTCATGAGGCTAATTCTTATCATATAAATAATTGGGAGATTTAATAATAGTATATCTACTGGTACATTAAATCTTCCTATTACACCATATATTTCCGAACTATTTTTGTATGAGCTTACTAATATTGTGTTATAATCAGAACAAGAGTTTAAATCGCAATTTCTATTATATAATTTGAATTTGTCCGGATATTTCCCAATATATCTAATACTTTCAATTTTTAAAGTTGTATTTTTATTTTTCATTAATCCTAAAATTTGCTTATTACTAATATAAAGGGTTAATCTGTAAGAATTTATAGCCAATAGATTTGTAGAAATCCTTGGTATTACTAAATAAAATGGCTCTCCTATATTTATATATATATTTTTATTATCTGATAATGGTTCATCTGGTATTGTATTTATATGTGTGGGTATTAAGGAAGGTAAAGATAATGTTCTGATAGATTTACTCAATGATCTAGTATTTATTTCATATGAAAAATCTATTAAATATTTAATTTCATTATTATAACTTTTATTTCTGAATATTATATTGGGAAATAAAAAATATCTTGAAGGTGAAATATTTCGCAAAATTATTAAAAATTGGATACAAAAATTTGTTTTACATTTCATATTATCTTTATTCAAATATTCAGCCTCTAAATATATCTCATCAAATAAGTTTTCTAATTTATCTAATATTCCAAGTTTTTTAAAAGAAATATCATTATTACCAGTCATATTTAATTTTTTTACTTTCAAATGTTCTCCATTATTTTCTATAATCTCATTATTATTCTTATTAATTAATTTTCCGATCATATTTTCCAAGTATAGATGATCTAAAGTTATATTCACCCTCTTATTAGTAATATTCATCATACTATATATAAATTCATCTAAATTAATACATATTGGTATCATTTCAGCCAAACTAATATTTTGTATTTTATTTATTTTCCAGTAATATTCCATTAAATTAATACAAAAATTTAAATCTTTAACTTTTTCTTTATCATATATATCATTAATATTCATATAATTTGGAAATTTAATATTAAATATAAGCTGTAAATCACAATTTAAACTTTCATTTTCTTTTATACATGATGGAATATAAATAATACCATAATTATGTAAACTACTATAGATAGATATTTTATTATTTTCATATTCTCTACTTTCATATTTTAATATCTCATTATCATATTTATTTATATTTCCTTTAAATTCTGTCACTTTCCTAGGTTCTATAAGTTTGAGTATAACTCCATTAGTAAAATCATATACACAAGAAATAGTAAGTATTACATATTGTGAATCACAAGGACAAAAGTGTCTCCTAGTAAATTCCACTTCCATATTACCTATATATATATATAAATAATAATTATTATAATATAATGAAGTGTGTTTGCATGATGGTAAGTAGGAGCTAATAGTAAAAGGTTGTCTTTCAAGTTTCATTGGAATATCTAGTTTCATATCATATAAATAAGGAGTAGCTACCATATCGCAACGTATGAGTATTGAAATATCTTGCTTTAATGAGTTTCCATCAACTTGAATTTTTATTTTAGGAGGTATATGTGAGCTTAAGCAATAACCAGATAAATAGTAGCTACTACATAAATCAAAATGTCCATTCTTAAGCCATATATTTGTAACTTCTACACTAAATAACACTCTGTATGCTAAAAAATATGTGGAAATTAAGAAAATAGTTGACAATATTCCCATTCTCAATACGAACATGCCTATAACCAGTAATTTATTAATAGCGGGGATTATTGCAAAGAAAATCTTAAATATCTACAATATACAATTTAGAATAGAGTACTTATTTAGATTTTAAGATAAAAAAGTCAAAAATATATAAACTATAAGATATGTTTAGACCATAAAGTAATACACTCATTATATTTAATTAGATCTATTTCAAAGATTTTGATCGTTCAACTTCAATCATAACAAGATCACTAAAACTCACGCGAGATGTCTTTTTGTTCTTTTTTTGAGAGGTGTTAATATTAATTTGTTCAATATTAACATTATCTATTTTAGGAACTTCTATAGATATTGATTCATTTGGATTATAATTTTCATTTAATGGAGTATTTGAATTAGTTTCTGGTATATTTTCAACAATTTCTAATTTGCAAGGTATCAAAGTAACTTTCTTTTGAGCATTAGTTTCAGATTGATTATTATTTGCTTTATTTAAACTTTGCCTCAGTTTTTCTAGTAAACGATCATTTTCTCTCATTGCAGTTGCAATTTTACTAACTGCATCAGATGATTTTCTTGTAATATTAAATATCCCAAATGTATCAACATCCTTATTATTATCTAATATTTCCTGTTTATTAGTTTCAATACCTGATCTAGATAATAATGATTTATTTGAAAGTTTTCTAGATAAATAATTATCTTCAACTTTTATCTGGTTATTATTCGTAGAATTATTTGAAATATCAATATTATTAGATATATCTTCTTTAATCTCATTATTAAGATATTTTCGGTTTTCTTGAGAATATTCTAACTTAATATCTTCTTCATATCCTCTGAGTAATTTTAGTTCTACCTCAAGGCCTGAAATCATATCATTAACAGATACAGAGTCATTATGAGATATTTTAGATAAATGAATATTTTCAGTGGATTCATTATTTTGATAATCTTGTTTACTTATTGACTCGATATTCTTTTTTATAAAAGGTTTTGTTTTAGGACAATTAGCTTTATCACGAAAGTCTATATAATCATCTGTTTTATCATATAATGTTTCATTGGAATCTTCATCTGTATACCTAGTATTATCACTGTAAATATCATCAATTTGATAATCCTGTTCAGTTTCAACACTTTGTATTTTTGAAGAATTGTCATTATATATCACTTCATTATTATAATCATCATATTCTGAATCCCAATAATGACTTGAGTCACTATTATCAAGGATATCTCTTGAATTATTTGAATTAATTTCACTAGAATCTTCATTATTATCTTTATTTTCCACAGATTTTGAATTTTCTGTTTCATTTTTATATGAAATTAAATTCCAACTTAAAGGAAAACCATCTTTAAATGTGAAGTCATCCAAAAATTGTAAATCTATTGGATGGTATGGACCATATAGTGGTAAATTATTCGAATTATAATGATCTTCAACATCTTCTTCTACTATTTCAGTCAATATATTATAAAATATATCAAGCTGTAACATAATAATATAAGGAGAAAATTTTACCATTGATAAACATGACAATGGTAATAACAAAAATGGGAGATCATAATTATTCATATAACTAGTATTTACATGATCAGATATTATATCTAAAAGTATCCCACTTCTTAATTCTAGATGTCTTTTTATTTCTTGTAAGGTATAATATATAGTTTCATGATTCCACAAAAAGTGTTGTCTTGACTGTGGAATATATACCATTTGACATAATAAAGAAACATCTATCCAACCCATATGATATAACAATATCATAAGTAAAATACAACCATCTGATGTAATATCACATTGTAATGGATTGTAATATTCTAAATTATTCAAATTCTCCATATTATCCTTTACATTATGTTCAAATTCTACAAGTAATTTCCAACTAGAAAGTCTTTCAGACATCAAATTACTTATATTATTTAATTCATCATTTATAGGGATTAATTGATAAAATCCATTCATTGTTTCTTCAGATAATGATAAACCATGCAAATTAATATATTTATTAAACCATGACAAAATTTTTTGGGATTTTAAGCGTAAATATGGAGCCATATATAAATGAAAAATATCATTACAAAATCCCAAAATCTTTAACTTATTTTTGAAGTAAATATCATTGGGACTTATATTTAATTCATTTGAGCTATTATATTGTGGTAAATAACTATTCTCTGGTGGATTTATAATATAATTTATACATATCTCAATATTAGCTAATGCTTGATTATTTGACAGAGGACGTTTAAATAAATTTAAATTTCCATTAGCATTATACCCATACAAACGAGACCAGTGTTTCAATAGTACTCCCAATAATAATCCATCAGAAATTTCACTGTATAGGTTATCTGTATTTAGTTGTACAGACCAAATATTTAAGTAATTAACATAGCGAATAAAAAATAACTCAAAAATTTGGGAATTATCTCCCATTTAAAGAAAAAAAAAAAAAAAAAAAAAAAAAATACAATCCACTTCCCAAATTAGAGTGATTACTCAAATATATTACTCTAAATTCTTCTTTTATTGCTCCTTCTTTTTAATGGAGTACAAGATATCTTTAAACTTGATCCAATGTTTTTCAGTTAAAAAACTACCTTCTTAATTCTGCAAAATATCTAGTAATTACCCAGTGTCAAATATTGATTTTTATCAATTCTATAATACAAACATCAAGATATCTGTAGAATTAAGAGTACATGTCAAATTTAGATCTAGAAGATGCACCAGATGTCTTAGCGCGGAAGCTTCCACATTATAAGATATGCTCTGTCTATCTAAATTGAAACATCTAGTGGATAATTTTTATTTAATATTCCATTGAAATCACAAAGAATCCATTCAGTACATTGAAAGGATTCTTGTCCAAAACTCTCATTATTTTGATTTACAAATGCAAATATAGAATTTGTAGTATTAGGCATTATACTACTTTCAAAGCGTAATAAATGAATTGTATCAATAGGCTGTAGCATATGTTTGTATTCTAATGTATTGAAAGTATTTATATATGATTCAGTTATATTATTACCCTCTAAGTCATAAAGAAGCAATTTTTGTTTAACTTTTATAGATACATCCACCATGACAACAGCTCCTCTATCAATAATTTCATTAACAAGATCTTTATGTTTAAATTGCTTATTTATATACATTGGAATATGTAAGCCCATCACATTAGAGATTGTATCATAGATAATACGATCTCCTCTTTGTAGCCCTAATAAAACTTCAATATTATCTACAGTACAATTCTTAATAACTTCTAGGTTAATGACCAGTTTTACTCCAGTTTGTCTAACTTCACTTAGTTCTTTAAACATCTTATTATATAATTTTTCTTCACAACACTTAGATAATGCATCCAAATTATTATTGTTAATATTATCAAATAAATATCTTAAGGCTGATTTAGATCCTTCTCTCATTGTTTTATAGAAATCCTTGAAATATTCCTTGTTAAGTCCACGGCAAGTTAATAAACAAATGTTATTATATAGCAAGAGCTGTTTTAGTTTTGGTGGAGTGTAATTTTGTATTATACCTTGCAAAATATGAGATAAGGTGTTTACACTTTTAACATTTGGCGATTTATTTTTGCCAAAACTATTTATGACTGTATAATACCTTCTACCTATTAATGTAAATCTTGAATTTAACATTAAAAAAGCCTTATTTATTAAAAATTATAACTTAAGAAACAACCTTGAGCATAAATATAGTCAGTTTTTAAGTAATAGAAGCTTTTATTAGTTATTTTATTAATTTCACAATGTATATATTACACTATGCATAGAAAATAGCTACGAACTTAGTAACATAGCGCCACTAACAACCGCCATAAAACCTACAAATATTCTCTAAATATAGACTTAAAGTTAGCATTATTTGGGATTAAATAAGCCATATTAGTCATTTAATAAGTCACTTTTTTATTACAATTCACTATACTACTCTTTATTTATAAAAAAAAAATAACTCCAAATTTATGAGAACATAATAATTCATTACCTTTAGAATTATACTCTCTATTACAATAAAAATAAGAACAAATACAAGTAAGCCAATATATTACATTTAACTCACAATATAATTATAATAATAAATTGAAAAACACCTAAAATTCATAATTTTATAAAGATACCATGCAATATTATTGCAACACACTAAATATTATATAGTGTGCAAATGTTAAGACAAAACGTATGGAAAAGATACCCCATATAAAGGCGGGAAATTATTTTTAGTACCTAGTGAGACAAGACAATAGTGATACAGTTTTGTTATTAGTAGAACCAATTATAAATTTGATAATAAAATAGAGGTGTAGACATATTGTGATGTCTACATCGTTATTTTGTGTCTATTACTTACATTATCGTTATATAAAAGTAGAATTCATACAGGAATATATTAGTTGCATCTAAATCCACTATTCATTGCAGTGTGCATGTGCACCTAACTCTGGACGGGTAACTAGGCTTTTGGTTGATAGTGGGGATATATAGCTATGTTATCTTGAACTGCAATGAATAGCATTACGTTAATGTATAGTGCAATATTTGTATGGATATTTTGAATTTTATTATATATTATATCTTAAGGAACAAATACATATTTGGGATATATTACTAGAACCATTTATAATAATCCTATCGAATATTATTTTACTTAATTATTACACAATATCTAATAGATACATGAATCCTTGTCACCAGCCATTTTTTTTACCATACAATTTTTCTGCAGCTCTTCTTGATCCAAACAGTATAACTGGGGATTCGTCTTCCTCAAGTAGAAATGGAATTTCGATCCTGACAGACCCATCATTAATGCAATTTTATATGGAAAATTCATGGGTAAATAATCCTATATTGCTATCGGCTGCTTTAGTAGCTCAGAATTATACACCATTACTTGGAATTAATAACTATAATAATCTTGTTCAAACATTTTCAGCAACTCCTACAGGATTTCAAAATAATGCTAATCAAGTATATCTGAATACTCCTATTAAAGAAAATAATGAATCTAATAATATAGTTTGTACAAATATAGATGTAAAATCACGTGAAACAGATATTATGACCCAAATGGAGACTCCTGATAGAACATTTCTGGAGAGTTTAGCTACAGCTTCTGTGGCAACTACAGATACAACTAATTCTACATCTGGTGGTAAGAGAAAACGTGAAACATCTATAGAATCTACTTGTAGTAATGAGACCTCTTTACCAACTGATATTATAGGATATGAAACTAGTAACAAAGTAAGTAAGGTTGAAAATAATAAAATTTTACCAATTTATCCTAATGCTCAACCTATAGAAAATTCAGTTACAAATACTATTTTTCAGTCATACTATTATACTTTACAGCGACAACTTGCTGCTGCTGTTGCAGCTAGTGTAACAACCTCTTCAGAGACCCCATGCTCAACTCCAACAGCTTTATCTTCCAATACACCTTGTTTCTCTCCTATTAATACTTCTGTACAGTCTAATATGAATGAATTACATTTACCTTCAATTATTGCAAACTCTAATACACCCAAGACTAATGATGATGAAATTCAAATTATAGATGATCGTCAAACTCCATTTGAGAAGATATTACGTATACACTCAAGCCTTGTTGGTTCATTATCCTGGTTACCTCCAAAAGATATAAATCACACAATTTTAAAATCTCCTGAATACGATAATAAGAATGATCAAGATAAAGAAAATGTTAATGAAGATTATGATCCATTTAAACAAAGGAAATATGACGATCCACATGTTACTTGTTTTTCACCTAGAATGTTACCAGATTGGCAACTTAATTGGTTACGTGATGTAACTCGATCACTACCAAGTGTTCCAAAAAGTCCAATGACGGGGATACACTTTGATAGAACTAAACCAGCATGGGCTGTTTCTTATTATGAATGTGAAACTAGGAAGTATTATTTCTTTTTCATTCCAGATTTATCACAAAATACAGTTGAAATAACCTTAGCAGCTGCTATTGGATGCAGACAAAATGTTGTAGCTCGTGGGGCTCATAAGAGAAAAAAGCCAGGTGTACTAACTTTCAATCTTTATAGTGGACAATTTGAAAAGTCTAATTCATCTAATTCAGTAAATTCCTCTTCTCAAAATAGAGGATCAAATATTCAAAATGTAACTAATCCAATTTTAACACACAATTTATTTCCAATATTAGACCCTAGTTATGTTCAAAATTCATCTCACAATAATGCAGCTTTGTTATATGCTGCAGCTTTTATGTCGGGAAGTAACTCTCTAGTGAATTTTGAGAGTAATTCTGAATCTAAAAATAATAATTCTATTGATGAGCAGATGACTAGTAAATGAAATTTTAATATATATTATAATTTATTTATTTAAGGCAATAGTTTTATATTTAGAAGGCTAGTTTAATATTATAGAGTAATATTTTGTATTTCTACAAATATTAACTGTAAGGAAATATGACTAGTAATATTATTTCATATAAAATGAGGATAATATTATAAAATTCTTGAAGTTATGAATTGAAGATAATCTATTATTGATTAACTTAATGATAACCAAAATTTGAACTACAATTAAGTTAATGAACTATACTAACATATTGACTCTTATTTTCATAGAATTATTTAATTTCAGACAATTCTAAATTAGTTTATAAAAGTTTAAATTTTTCATTTTAAGAGTATGATAAGTAAGAGAATTATCTTATCAATATATTTGGTGCATATTACTAATATATCAAGATTGTAAAGACCGAATATATAGATAAAATAATATACTAAAAGAAAAAAAAAGCTAAAGAATTCTCTTCTATTTATAAAATTAGCTAATATTCCTTTAATTTATACAAATCTTTAAAATCCCTTATATTGAATTAATATCTAGAAAGGATAATAATAATAGATCTATTGATCCAAAGACATTAAAAGTTTTATTTATAATTCTTTAATAACAAATAGGAATTTATCACTAGCTCAATATATAATTGATTGAAGAAGTTATTAACAATAAATGACACTTTTGTCTAGATATAATGGCATACTTGGTATAGCAGAACTTCACCTTTATCATTACCAATAGCAAGGTACCCACTATACTTTGAAAAATCTAAAGCACTAACATACTTTAAAGGTGTTCTAGTGGTAGGCCAATTCTTATAAACAGTTCCGGTAGACAAATGTATTATTTTTAAAGAATCCTTACACCATTTAGATGAAATAGCCGCAATTTCATTAGAAGGATGAACTGCTATACTTGATATGCTTGTTGTGAAATTGTCTATTGAATATTTGGGTACATCTAACGATTTATCTGGAAAAGCATCATAAATATTTACATAACCTGATTTAGATCCTGTCAATATATAGGAATTTAAGTTAGATTGATCTATCAATGAATTTGAGGTAGACAAATTTGTAATTGACAAAGATCCATAATCTATTAACCTTTGTTTACAACGGCCAGTATTAATATCCCACAAATATAACTCTCCTTGGTTATTGCTTGATATCAAAATATTACTGTCACATGGATGAAATGAAAGTGATGTAACAACCCCATTTAATTTGAATACTCGGACCAACTGTTTGTTTCTTTGGTTTAATAACAAAATATTGCCATTATACGTGGATAGAGCAAATAAAGGATCTGTATTTTTAATATTTTGAATTGTTAGATTCCAGTATCTTTTATCTGAACGTCCTGCTATTCCAGGAAGAAAATCTATACTACCCCTTATCATATTATAAATACCTATTCTTTTATTAGGTCCTAATATCAGCATTTCATCACCATTAGTAGAAAACTTAGATTCATATATTGGGAAATTTTCGAAATGTAACGAAGTTAACATTGGATTATCTATACCATCTATTTGGAATAATTTGACAGTTTTATCCCATCCACTTACTGATAGTAATGTCTCTGCATTTTCATTACTATTATAATTACCACCTTGATGAAATTCTAATGAACGTATTACGCAGTTACTTGGTGATTGAATATTTGCATTAGGTAATCTCCTAATATCTATATTTGTACTGGGAATTGATGTATGAGTTCTACTTAATCCATTACGCTCTATAAATCTTTCAATAATACCAACTGAAGATTTATTACTATATACCTTTGCAATATTTCTCTGTCCTAATTTTTGTACCTTGTCACTGTCACTATCTTCAGAGGAATCACTAGTAGATATTTCTTCAGTAGGTATAGCCCGTTTCCTAGCTTTTGAAACCCAGTTATTTCCTTTTGCCTTCATTACTCTATTATTATAAAATTCCTTAAGCCTATCCATATACTTAATACCATCTAATACCTTGTCATCTTCAGATTTCCTTAATTTTCTATATTTTGGTACTTTGCTAATGTCTATTTTAATATTCTCATCATCAGAATCATACCATACTTTCCTATTTCTCTCATCAGCTTTATGCTCTTTTAGTATCTCATCTCCTTCACTAATATCTATATGCTTCATATTTTCTGATATGTTTAAAATAGCCTATATAAAATCCAAGGTTCCCTAAGAAAAATAACTAAGTCTTATTTTTACAAATACTAGATATATGGCGGTCCGTTTTTACCGCTTTATTTTTGAATTTTTTTTAAGAAAAAGGATTTTAAAGTGGCCTCAATAGTTTAAACAGTTTCACTTATTAATGATCTGATACGTTTCCACTCTGAGTAAATGTATACAATTTTTCTTATATCTTTTTTAAGCTAGGAGATTATATGTACTTCATATGACTCTCAACTTTATTCTAAGGTATCCAATATTATATACTAGTGCTTTTTTAAGTCTATCTCGCTGTATAATACATACATTAACTCCAATCCCCAAATATTTAAAAGATATTGCAAAAATTCCATTGCTTGAAAGAGAAGATTCAACTTGTATTAAGGCAATTTGGAAAGAAAGATTTCAATACTCCCGAAACATAATAGTTGACACTATAAATAGTGAAACCTATACAAATATATATTTAGCAGCCAAGGTAAATCCAATGTTCATCATTCCGCCTAGTGAAAAGCATAATAGCTTTCATTGGATGATCTTTCAATGTCAAGAATATCCTCTAAAACATATTTTGATAACATATATTAAAGAGTTTAATAACGGTAATTTTACCCCCTTTATTATATTTAATTGGTTTAATGAATTACAAAAGTCCAAGTCATTGGTTCTCTTAAAATTAGATATAATACATCCTGGAATATCGAAATTACAAGGTAGCTTTATTTTCAACTATATACTTAGGTGCTATCAAGATCCGAAGATATTCCAATTCGTCAAAATATTTAATCAAAGTCCAAGAGAATTCAATATTAATCAATTTGTGGAAGTATCTAGAAATGAATTAAATGTTTGGAATATATCAAATAAATTTTGAAATGAATTCTAAACTTTATAATATAACATTTTAATTATATACTAAAAAATAGTTCACTTTATTTCATTAGATTCACATATCTCAATATTATATAAATCTGCAAAAATTTATTTGTAAGTTTTAGTATTCAATTTATTTACATGAAATTAGTTATATATTAACGTATATTTATTAAAATTTTTAATTTCCATTGTTATTTATTATTTTTGATATTTTGAATATATTTCCTACTATTCCCAATATAATAGGAAGAACAATAGGTAAAACTATAGCAATTTTAAATTCAAGTGCAAAAAATGCATTAAAGATCATATTCTTATCATTAAAAGCTTCTGATGAATCTTGAAAAAGTATTTTTGACATATGAAGTTTTGAATAAATACTATTTTGATTAGAAATTAATATTGACCTAAATATTAAGTTGATTCTAATCAATAAATCTTTGTAGTAGCATGGTATTTTTATTAGCCAGTCATTTGACAATATTTTATATATTAATTGAATATATTTTGTGGATTTAGTCAAATATAATCTAATTTGACGTAACTTTAAACCAGAAATTTCCCAATCAGGCATAATATACCATTCATAATCTGTTATATAATATAAAATAGGATAACTTTTCATTCCAAAACTCGTTCTTGCGTGATCACCATCACCACGATAAGGGTATACCCAATCACGAATATGATATATAAATTCATTAAATACTTTCGTATTATTTTGTACTTTTGTGTTAGTATTATTGGAATTTCTTGAATAGTTATCTATAGTAATAATAGTATTAGAATTAATACTTATTGATGATGAATATATTGAAGATTTTTGTGAAGTAAAGTATATAGAGTAATTTGATGGATTATAGATAATTAAATTAATAATGTGAGGTGGATTATACGTACCTATATCATATATTCCATTTTTAATCCATAGCTCTAGTTCTTGTTCTATATTACTAATGTCACTTAAATAAATTAAGGTATAATTTTTATTTGTATCATTTAGATCTTTATCTAATAACTTATTAGTAAATATATTTTGAAATTTCAAATTCCTTTTTAATTTTATATCTATAATTGTTTCAAGTCGTTTAGTATACTCAATAAAAGTAGTATCTGAATTTAAATTCAATAAAGTTGAGAAGTTCTGAATATCTGATTCAAAAACATTCCATATATAAAACTGAAATCCTGAAACAACTGGTAAGTTTGTATTTATATAAGTGAAATCTTCGAACCATATAGATAACACTTCTTTATAAGCCTCGTAAAAAATTTTATAATCTTCTAGATAACTTATACAAATAATTGCAATTTTTAGAGAATACATATAAATTGATGTTTCATTACATTTATTCCAAGATATAAGTAATAAATAATCATATAAGGTATAATTGTGTCTGATGTATTGACTCAATTGATTTCTAGTTTTGGGAATATTAAATTCCTGACAAGTGTTTACTAGAGATGTATTATGTGCAGCTAGTTTAACATTTATAGGCCAAGTTATATCTAAATCTGGATCTTCACCTTTTATTTTATACCTTTTAGAAATTGGTATTTCAAGTTTGTTTAAATTATTAAGATCTTCATTGCATATTCCAATGAAAGTAACAATCGCATCAGTTCTAGTGTAATTATCTAGTATAACATTATATAACTTCATATTTTCTTCAATATGATTTAAAGATCTCCATATATCCAATCTAAAGGGCCAATATAATAAAATTATGTAGCTTATAAAAAATATTAAAGTTAGACTGAGTTGCCATAACAAGCAATAAAGGTTTGTTTGTAAAATAAAACTCCTAACTGATTTAATATACTTATTAGAATTTAAGTTACTATATTCAACTTCAAATTCATCTTGTGTCATAATAAATACATTAGTTGTAATATTATTCTAGAATATATGTAAAAATTCACTGTAAAAATTTGGGCATCATGTAATTTGATAGTGAGGGGGACGTGTCTACAGGTATCGATAGTAATTTTAGGGTTCTAAAATGGAAAGCACACAATTTTACACATTTTCTAGTCATACTGTTAATGGCTAAAAACTATTTACATTATATTTTGATTTGTATATTACTGGTTAATGTTCCTTTGAATAATTCAAAAAAGGATGTCAAACCTTTAGTTAAAGAATTATTTAATATATTACTTGAATCTTTACCAGACAACTCTATAGAGGATTCAAAAAGTGAAGATTACTTAGAAGTTAAGGATGATTATTTACCTAACTTGAAATTATCAAATAATTTTTTGAAGGTTGGCAATTTAAAAGATAATGTATTGAATAATAAGATTTCAGTGGCAAGAAATTCTTTAAATATGTTAGGAGATAATAATAAAAATGAGCTAGATAATACTACATTAAGCAAAAAACTAAATATATTTGAAAAATCTAATGAAAATGACAACATAGAAGATTTAAAAAGTGATTTAACATATATTTCGAAAAATATTACTAAAGATGTAACAAATTCAACAACTGCAACAATTAAGGATAAAGTAATTTCATACAATTATGCTGATAAGAACTTGGAGTTACAGAATAAAGAATCTGAGTTTAAGATTTCCAAAATTATTTCTCGAAAAGCTGAAGTAGATATAGAAAAGTCTATATTATCCATTTACTTAGAAATTGCTGGTACAGGTCTTAACTCTAAAACTATACTAGCATTGAAGAAATGGGATGAAAGCTTTTCAGAATATAATGTAAATTTACTTTGCTCATCACCAAATGTTATAACTACAGTATTTGCTAGGCCAGAAAAAGTAGAACCACACTATATACTCAAATCACAAGTGATAAAATTTAATATTAAACATAATATTAAAACACTTCAAGGAGAGACCTTTTTTCTTTGTATATCAGAATCAATTACATCATCTAATTCCCAGTATATTACGAAATTAACTATTTCTAAGTATAGTGTACCTGAATCATATGAAAAAGAAGCTTTCAGAAATGATTATTTATTTGAATTGTTTAAAGAGCTAAAAATACCTCAGTTTTCTTTTTTTTTTGAATATCCATTTGAAGGATATTCAGATATAATTCTTAAACTTGAAATACCTTCAAAAATATCTTGTTCAGATTTCAGAATTGACGTACTCAATTTTAATTCAAAAAAATTTGAATCCAGTGGAAATACATTGCATCCAGACAAAACAATGGGAATTCTAAATAAAACCTTTATTTCATCTATATATAATGAAGTGCCCAATTTAGATTCTAAATATTTTAATTTTAAAGAAGTCAGTCCTAGTTTAGATATTGTTTCTACTGCAAAACTTATTTCTGATAATAACAAGAATAAAAGTACTAAGATATGCCTGTGGAATATCTCCCCACTAAATTTTAAAAAGCAGATATTAGATGCACTAGACATTTACTTGAAATATGGAGAAAGTAGTAGAATAAAGATTGGAGACATTTTAATTAATAAAATTGCAAGTAATGACCGACAAAGCACCTTACTTGGAAATGCTATAACTTTGGCCCTCTCTCTTTTACCAATTATGTTAGCTATTTACTCTATTATTTTTATTGTTCTAAATACTTCTAATTTTTACTTAAAGATATATGGAAATAAAAGTCAAATCCTCTTAAAAACTTTATACTCAACATTTTGGTGCAATATGGAAAGATTTGAACCAAATAAAAACTTGATATACAATAAATTTAATAATTTTAATTTAAAAAGTACAAATAGAAAATTCCTTTTTAGTAAAAATCTCAAATTTAGCAATGAAAAAGGACGAATAGAGAATTGGTATATAACAGAAACAAATAAGAATGTAAAATCTGACCAATCTAAAGTACTTATAGGATGTAATTCCACAGAAAAGCAATTATCATGTTTAACTAATAATAGTTTCAAATATTCAGATTTCCCATGTATCAATACTAGACCAATAACTTCTTCGACAGATTCTAGTCAATCTAAAGAATATGCTAGTAATGAAGACCCTTTAAAGTACTTAGAATCAGATGAATCTATTAGTATATATTCTGGAATATAAATATATCTTAGAAATTGTGACATGGCTTTTTAATTATCTCTTAAGAATCCATATGCTTGGTTCTTTTAAAGGGTTTCTAGATTTCTGACAGTGACAAATACTTCTAAGAATATTTTTGAATTTATATTGCACATTTTCAGAAATTATTGAACCAAATGCATCTAGAACATTTTCAGTAGTTGTTTTCATTCCAAGTCTTTGACGCTGAAGAAAGTACTCAGTTAGTTTTTTTCTAATTAAACGTTCATCAGACAGAATTTCAGGTGTTGAATCTTGCTGTTTTAAACCTTTCAATATACTTGAACTAGGAGCTCCTGCCTTTCCTGATTTTCCTGTCCATGTTGGAACATCAAAACTATAACTTCCACATTCTATAGAGGACTTTTGTAATATTTCCATTGCATTTTGAACTATTTTACTTGTTTCTTGGTTTATTGGATTATCAATTTCCTCATAGTTTGTATTTACTTGTGAGACTTCAACTTGATCTCCCAATATATGCATTATTGCCTGATGTTCACACTTTGCATCTGCTGTAACCTCTCCAAATAAATTATTTTCTGATTCAAGATCTATATTATTATCGAAATTGCTTTTTCTTTTTCTTGTTACATTGCTATAACTAGAACTTATTATACCATCTCTTTTACTAATTGAACATCTACCCCAAATAAACTTAATTTGCCTCATATATCCATCAATAATCTTTGACTTAGATGTTCTATATTCAATAGAGTTTGAAAATTCTTTATAACCCTTGGGAGCTTCTGGTACCTTCAGGAGTTCACTTATATCACTCCATTGAAACGACCTTTTATATTTTGCATCTTGTAAAATTTGATTTGCAATAAATTGCTTAAATAACTGTCTCTGATATATTTTTTCTTCTACTGTATCTTTAGTTATTAGTCTGTATACAATTACCTCTTTATCCTGACCTATTCTCCAGCATCTTTCTTTAGCTTGTGCATCTGTCATTGGATTCCACCAAGGGTCATATAATATTATTCTATTTGCACCCATAATATTAAGTCCCACACCTCCAACTCGAGAAGTTAAAATAAACAAAAAAATTGAAGAGTCATTGTTGAACCTTTCTACTAATGAAAATCTACTAACAACGGGTGTAGACCCATCCAAAGTAAGTATATCCTTGTCTAATATCAAATTTAAGTCTCTTTGTAGCATTTTTACTAATAAATTAAGTATTCTAACACCCTGAGTAAATATTAAAACCCTATTTTTTTTCTTTTCTCTCCATAGTTTTAAAATTGAGAGTAGGGTCTTATATTTACCACTATGAGATGGGTTCACATTGGAAATTTGGATTTTTTTAAAGTATAACTCACTTGAGTACTCATTTTCATCTTCATCCTCATCTGAAAAGTCAGATGTATTTCTTTGAAGTGGTTTTAAACTATCTGAACGAATATACTTTAGTAATTCTGGGTGATTACATGCTTCACGAAGAATATTCAATAAGGCAAAACATTTACCAATTCCGGAGCCTTTACTGAGGCACTCCGAATAATTCATTAATTGTAAACACGAACAATAGACATCATATTGAACTGGAGTTAATGAACAAAATAAAATATGTTCAGCTTGAGGTGGGAGTTTAATAATGTGCTGTAATTGGTGCTTACGCCTCCTCAAAATACAAGGGTTAATAATTTGTTGCAATAATCTTGTAGATTGATAAGCTCTAGAAATATGAGAGCTAGTTGCATTCATTATTCCTCCTTGTTTTATAGGAATGACAAATTGTTGCTCGAATAAAGGTAAAGTACCCAGCTTTCCAGGACATACAAAGTCTGTTAAACTCCATAATTCACGCAGATTGTTTTGAATCGGAGATCCGGATAACAGTAGTCTGTGACATGTTGCTATAGATTTAACTGCAAGTGTTATTCTTGAATCAGGATTTCTTATTTTGTGCCCCTCATCCAAGATCATATATGACCACTCTATATTTCTTAATTCACCTAAATAACGTCTCATTGTTTCATAAGAGGATAGCATAATTGTAGGTGGTTTCTCTTTAAATAAAACTGTGTCAAGTTTAGGATTACTGTAATTAAATATACTTGTAACTGAATCTAGAGTTTTTTTTCTAGATTGTTCATCTTTTCTATTAAAAATTACAATTTTAAAAGGAAAATACCATTTATGGAAAACATGTAACCAGTGATCTAAAAGTGTAGCTGGAGATACCAATAATACAGGTCCATATGGAACAGAGTTTGAACTTCCATAACAAGATGAGCTTGTAGAAGAGTGGTAATTATTTAATTCAAGTTTACAATCTCTATATTGTGTCGATAATGAATTAAGGTTTGAACAAACACCTTCATCAATAATCTTAACAGTTTTAAGGGCATATTGCTTATTTATCTCTAAATCTTTGGTAGTCATAGATTCCAATTTAACCTCATTCTTTACTTCATATTTGGGTATAGTACTTACTTCACTTTTTATCTCTGAAATATGGTTGGTCTCAGTACCTGAAATATTGGAACTTATCATATGATAAGTAATATGTAAAGCAGCAAAAAAAGCTGCAACAGTAATAGATTTACCTAAACCCATTTCATCAGCTAATATACCTCCTGTTCCATTTATATGTAAGCTCCAAAACCATAAAACCCCTTCCTTTTGATGGTCATACAAGGCATTCCATAGAAGTTCCCAAATATATAACTTGTTATCTGAATCTGGATTGACACATATAATAGAGTTCTCCTTACAATTCATTTTTTCAATTCTTGACAAAAATACTTCACTGTTAGTATCATCCTGGTAAAATTTTAAGTTATTTTGCTCTTCTAATATATAATCATCATCCTCCTGCTCATAGTTTGTATTGCTATTATTATCCTGCATATTATCACTAAAAGTGGCATTTATAGTTATAGGAGTTGTAAAATTTTTATATTTTTTGTCATCTCCATCAGATTGTTGGAAGTCGTATTTAGCATGATCACCTTGTGTCATTTGATGCATTCTAATAGATTTCTGTTTATCTGTAGATGATAAACGATCTTTCACTTGTTCTAGTATTGTTTTAGTTACATCATCAGCATTTACTATAGAAACTCCCAAGTCACGTAATTCTTCAGCCTCATCATGCTCAAAACATTTATTTAGGATATTCTGTTCTTCATGAAATGAAAATACCCCTTTAAATAAGTTCTGGTTCTTACAATGTTTCCTTACTGGCTTGAAAGATTCATCTTTTTCTAAATGATCTTCCACTTTGGAAGCTTTTGAATTACCATTTTCACCTTCCATAAGTCTCAGCTATAATTTTAATCTCAAAAGCCCCAACTCTGTAATATACCGCCAAGGTGCACTATATTAAAATTGAAGTATATTAACATACAATCTCGGTTCTAAGGAATTTTACAAATGGCTATGTGTGAATAAAGAAATGGATGATAACGAAGTAAATTATTCAACTATTTACAAAACACCTGAGTTTGAGCTTAGAAATCCAAGAGTTTTAGCATGGTCCATAATTTTTCAAAATGGATCTCCCAACAATAAAATACCGAACTCTCCAACCAAAACTCATTTTGATAAGGATATTTCATCTGTAACTAATTGTGGGAATTCTCTAGATTTAAATGGTACAGAATCTTCTGAAAATACATTAAAAAGGCCTTTTAGTACATGGCGTTGTTTGTACTGGCCAGAAGTAGCTGTAAATCCAATATACTCTTCTGGATATGCTAAAATGAGAATTGTTCTATACCTTAATAAGCTGAATATATCTGCCAATTTTTCTGAAGATAATGCAGAAAGTGTATACAATGGTGAACTTAATAATATTAAGTCAAATCTAGATATGGCACCTATTGAGTTACTTCCTTATGTCAGGATATATTATGATAAGGAATTACTATATCAAAGTTCTATAATAAAATCAGATTTATGTATCATACTTGATATAGAAGTTCATCATCCACTAAGTAATTTATATGCTGAAATTTACGATTGGGATAATTCAGATACCTCTTTAGTTGGAACTGACGATTCTATTGGCCAATTAATAATACCAATAGGCATACATGCTAATAAAAAAGCTCTTGATACACGTTTAATTGTAGGAATGGATGATGAAGCACGTGTATTATTTATTAGGAAGTCATACCAAAAAAAAGTTCTTTCTGATAATATTGTTGCTCAAAAATTACTCAAATTTCCATTAAACAGTAACTTCAATTTACCTGTTTATAATTCCAGTGGAAATTATACTGATATCTCTGATATTATTTACAGTGATATAATCTCTAAATTAACAAAAGAAGCTTTATTACTAGCAAAGAATGCAGAGGAAAAGTACAAAGTCAATACTGGTAGATTACAAAATCCACATGAATACTTGGTTACACGTATTTATTCAGAAGTTAAGTGGAGTAGGATAACACTAATACCTAGAGAAATAGCTGCTTTAAATTTACCAGAACCATGCAAGAAAATACATGAAGCAAATTCACAACTCAGCCCTAACATTAATAAAGATTTGAATAGAATAATCAATTCTATTAAAGTAATTAAAGATATATTTTGGCCAGCCTGTATAAAGCCCATTCAACAAAAAATACAAGTGATAATTGAATGGGAATCAACTATTTTATCCTTTACTATTATTGGATTTATAATATATTTACTATTATACCCTCAATATACCTTCCCAATATTCTTTGGAATATCCTTAATAACACTTGGTTCTACATTTTTGCATAGATATTGGGCATATGATAGGATTAACCAAATTACAGAATATAACTTGAAACAAACACAAACTCTTAAAAAGAACTTGGATGGAGACATTCAACAAAATACTTCTCGAGAAAATGAGCCATTATCTCCTATAATAATAGATGGAACTGAACCTTTAGTAGGTCAAAGTGATGAAACTGATATTCTTCAAGTATTATCATCTTCAGCACTACCTCCTGGCTATAAAATATATCTCAATAAAGCAGCTAATATTTTTGAAAGGCTATCAAAAATATTGAAATTGGTCGTATCTATAATATATTGGGAGGATATTGTAACGAGCTTAGTTCTCTCAATATTTTTATTATTTTCTCTACTATATTCTCTATTTTATCCATATATTTTCCAATATGGTATCCAATATATTATTTTATCGACAATTTCGATTACAGTCTTATCTGCATTACCACCTCTAAAAAGCATAACTAGAATGTTTATTGCTTTTAGAAAGTATAGAAAATTGAAAATGATAAAGTTTCAAAATTAAAGGTTCATATTTATTTTACTTTTTTAAAATTGCTCAATTCAAGCATTTAGCTGGAACTAGTATATTATATAAAGCAGAAGATAAATTAATGGTACTATTTAAATTACTTTATTATTTTTGTTATATAAACTGTAAATAAGATATATAAATAGAATGATCATAAATATTTAGTGACTCATCTGTTGCACTATCTCGTATGATCCGAATAGATGAAATTTTGTATAGGGAATATTTTGTTATTTGATGCATGAAAAAGACAACAATAGAGAACCAATAGAATTTTTTGACATTTATATCTGAATTGTAAAATTTTGAAGAGTTAATTATGCCATTCACATTGTTACTCTCTTTTCTAGAAGTATAATCATAACTATCATTTAAAAAGTTAAACCAAAGTGACTCCTTTGATGTAATTGAATCTGGTGAAATGAGATAAAGAACTAGTAAACATGTAAATTCTATTGTTCGGATATTAATAAGAGAATTTGTAATGTTAGTTGAATGTTTTATTCTCTTTTGTGAACTATACATTAGTGGGAATGCTCCAGTTACAATTACACATATTCCAACAAGCAAATTTGTCATTGGAGAATTTGAAAAAGTAAAACATATACTAATAACAAGAGTTTGAATAAGGAAAATAACAAAAAAATTCCATGGCCAATATGAATACTGACTCAAAATACATATTGTTGAGAATCTTAAAAATAAATCACTAATCTGATGAATAAGAAATACACTTAAAAATATAATTAATGGCAAAAATTTTGTTATTTTCTCTCCATATAACCATGAATATGTAATATGTGATGGAATTACCCTTGGAACATAAAATAATGATTTAACAAAGGCAAATTGGAAATCACTTAAATATGAATCATCATCATCTAATAAAGATATGTATTGTAAACTATTTGAAAGCCAATTATTTCTTACAAATGGACGTAACCAATATATATTCATAGGATGAATTCTATTTGGCAATACAAGTAGGTTAGATGAAGCATTTGAACTAGAAATTAGTAAAGGACTATTGATATTTTCTGCCCAACTACCCAATTGTCTAATTACTGTCTCATTTCTATACTCTTGATTAGAATCCCTTTCAGTATCATGATTGCGTATTTCATAGCAGCTAAATATATCTACTATAATATCTCGTGTTGATAAAATTGTTATGTAGCATATTGATAATACAATACCTCCTATACACCAATTGTAAACTGAGCTAAAGTGATCTTCTTGAGTCTTATTTGGACCTGTATTAAAAGCTAATTTACTATCATCAAATATATTTGAAAATAATGAGCTGCTATATTGAAATATAATTAGATCCATATATAGAAATATTGAAGGTATATGTGTCAGTATAGCTGATATAACAGTAAATTCTTCAGAAAAATGTGAATATCTACGGTTAGCACTAGTAAATACCAAAATAAATCCACTCATAATTGTTGAAAGACCAAAATCAAATAGTGAAAATATTGTACTAAAAATTTTCTTCTCATTAATATATATTACAGACATATATAAGGAAGGACAATACTGAGTAAATAGCAATAAATACGCAATTTTACAATAACCACTATAGAAAAATAAGCCATAAAAGAGTCAATTTATTAAATTCACACCAACTAAGTTATTAGTAAACTCACCTATTGAAGAACTTTAATGAAACCAATAATGTGTATATAAGCGTAAGAAGTGAAGATGCACATGATACAAATTCTCTGGAAAATAAAGAAAAATTAAATTATTCTAATTCCAAATATTGAAACATCTGGGTTTATATATTTTTAAAAATTATTCCATATTTTTATTTTCTTTATTTCTTTTAAAACAAAAGAGAATATTTTTGAATCACTTCTTGTAGGGTATATATATCTATACATTTATTTAAAACTTCTCACAAAAAATACATACCTAATTCTATTTAACTTCTCTCTTCTAGAATTTATCAATGGGTCTAAACATAGCTGGTAATTGTCCATGAGCAGACCTCAAACTAGCATTTATTTCAGTAGATGCACGAGATGCACACTAGTAGCTCTATAGCTAGCCGCCAAGTCCACTTTGGGCATTATTTCTATCAGTTTCTTCTTAGGTTGTAAATATATATAATATATTATATGGGATTTAAGCTATACTATATTTATATTTATTTTAAAAAAATCACTAACTATATCTAATATTATCATGATCTTTTGAAAAAAATGAAGTGTATCGCAATTTTCAATATTCAAACTATTGGAAGTCTATTTAAAAAATCTCAAATCCTCTCTAAGAAAATCCCTTTCAAATATTTTTGTAATAATGACTTGATATCTATTAGGAAATTTTCAATTATTAATAAATACCCTAAATACTTTACTACAACCTCTATTGCAGATTTTAATAACAAAGCTGATCAACTTTTACATATAATAAGCGAGAAAATTATAAATACACAAGATCAGAATCTTATTGATGATATAGATTGTCATAATGAATTCTTAAATATTACTTTTAGATATAAAGATCGGCAATCATCTGGTACAATTGTTATTTCAAAACAATCCGCTACTAAACAAATATGGTACTCGTCTCCTATACGTCCACCAGATTATTTTGAGTTTGAAAGTAATTGGAAGTCCAAAAGATCAGGTTTATCATTATTTGAAGCACTTGAATCTGATTTATTTGAAGGCACAGGATTAAAATTTAATTTTCTAGAAAAATAATATACTTTTTATATTATATTTAATATTACTAAACTTTATCAATAAAATTGCTTTTTACAATGTGTTATCAATAGATTAATATAGTTTGAGTTATATATTGTATAAAGTAGTAGTCATTTTAATTAAAAAAAAGTACCACTTGACAAAATATTCCAAGAGGGTATAAATCCAAATGGTTAGGTTGTAATATCGTAATCTCGGAAAAATATATCAGGATTTTTATTAGAGAAAAAAGTTATCTATAAAATGACTAATCAAATACAAAGTCAATCTGTCTTAACCCAAAAACATTATTGGGATAAATTTTATCAAGATGAACTAAAGTTATATAATGAATTAGGAATTAGAGGTGAAGAATGGTTTGATATTTATATAGAATCTATTATACAATGGATAAAGTCAATTGAATCAATTAATTCAAAATCCCTTTTACTAGATATTGGATGTGGTAATGGTATGTTTTTAATAGACTTAGTTAGAGCTATTAATTTAGAAAAAGCTGTTGGAATAGATTATATATCATCAGCAATTGAACTAGCTAAAAAAATTGTAAATGAAGAACAACTTTCTTCAAAAATAGAATTATATCCTATAGACCTTTTATCTGGTCATCTTGTTAGTAATAAAATTAATTTTAAAAATAAAGAAATTTACAAAGATATTGGAATTTTCGATGTAATCGTAGATAAAGGTACCTATGATGTCTTTGTTATGAAAAATGAGACAATAAAATATAGGCAAAGTATTCTTAGATACCTAAAATCTGAAAGTATACTTATCATAACATCCTGTAATTCTACTCCAGATGAATTAATTGAAGAATTTACATCAAATAGCAAATTTACAGTGTTATCAAATCTACGGCATAAGACTTTTTCATATAGTGGTTCTCAAGGACAAGTCTTGGCTTCTGTAGCTTTTAAATATTGTGAATAGATCTATTAAATATATTTGGAAAATATCTCTGTTATATTTTATTTCAATTTATATTTAGTTAGATTTATTTAATAATTTATTCAAATCATTTAGAGTATCATCAATATGACTAAATGCATATGCAACATCAACCTTGAGCAGATTTTTATATGTTTGTAAAAGCTAAAATAGATCACTTGTAAATAAATATCTCAGTATTTTTAAATCATATCCAATTATAAACTTACCTTTATCTCTGATTGAAATTTTAGGAAGAGTGTAATAATATCACATTTTGAATTACTAAATATTTTTTCTTCATTATCAACTTTTTTTCCATAAGATTTCTCTACAATATCTAAATATATTTTATTTAATAATTTGTCATATTCTGATGAATTTTGTAGTAATAATAAAGTGCCAGCTATTTTATCAACTTCCAAAGATTTAATTATTGACTCTTCTTCATCCAATAGAGAATCATCAGTACTGAAGTATATGTTATTACATGAACATAAATTTCTCAAATATCGTATCTCATTAGTTAAGGATCTAATAAGTGTTGTTTTGTCTACCATTATTTTTTAGTTTTAGAGAATTATCACTATTATTGTAATGCAGTACCTGCGGGTTCTCCTGATGCACAATTACTACTTTACTAGTCTAATTAGACTATATTTAAGGTATATAAAGAAATATCAAATATTATTTTATATATATATTTTATAACTAACAATATATTAAATTTTATTTTTGAGTAATAATAGAGCTATAGATCATATTTAGGTATATATAAAATTACTAGGATTTTACAATAAGCTTAGTTTATCAATTGTATATATTTTGAAATGAATATTATTATATTTATAATATTATATTTTATATATTAAGAAATATTATCTTAATTATCAATTTTTATCTATTTATATTTCAAATTGAATAGTATTCATTAAATATTATATAAATTACTTTTTAATATTTCTATTCTTTAGTATATAAATTCACTATAATAATATTCAATATTAATATTAATAGTAATTCAATAGAATATATTAAATTTGATCATGTTAACGAATAATTCTTGTATTTTTATAAAAAGAAAAAAGAACATAATCTATAACTTATCACCTTGAATGAAATAATAAACTTTGTATAAATTGTGTTGTTTTCAATACTAATTTACAAAGAGTTTTTTGAAAATATCTTCATTACTTAAATTCTAATTATTACTAATATATAATATTTATTATATTATACTCGTTATTTCAGAAATAGAAACAATGAACTGTATTTTAATTATGACGGAATTAAGACACTTAAAAATACTATTAATAATTTATTTTATATACAATATTTTATTGATAATAATGTAAAATATTAACAAAGAAATCTTGTTTATATAATATTAGTATTTTCTTAATATAACTATGTTATTGTATTCATTTTATTGTATAAAATATAAAATAGATAATTATGAAAAAAAAAAAATTATATTGTATAATACTTTGTCTTGATTACTAGAAATTGAATAATACTATTTTTAATAATATAAGGTATATTTTTTTATGTTTTTATATAGTATTAATGATATTAAATAGGCTGTTTAAAAATATTCCAATGTTATAGAATGTGTAGTAATAATATATTTCAAAATAATCTTATTAAAATTATTTGGATTATTAAAAGACATTTATATTTTTAAATATATAATTTTTTTATTTTAAAATAATTATCAATATATTTATCCTTTATAATAATTATTTATCGAAATAGTTGATTATCTGAAATATATAATATATATGGACTAGAAATTTAAATAATTTTTTAATATATTAAAATTGAAATAGTTTGTAATTACTTAATAATATATTTAAATAGATTTTTAATTAATCTATTATAGAGATTAAGTATTAAATTTTGATTAGATTACAATTATTCATGGATAGAATTTAATAGATTACTATACTGATCATTTTAATCATATCTAATATTACAATATAGTATAAATTTTCTTAAAAAGTTTTTATTGATTATCAAAATATATTACCAAGGTGCTATTTCTATCTTAAAAATTGGATTATTGTAAATATTTATTTTAGTATATTAAATTTCAAGCTAATATATCTATAATATATAATAAATAGATTTTTTTATTTGTATAAAACTTCTATATATTTTACATACTTGAAAATCATATTAAATCATTTGAAATTATCTAGAAAAATATTGAGAAAATCACATAAATCAAAAAATAGTTCAAAGTTTGTACTTAATTTGCAGTATTTAGATTATATTAGAATATATTCTTTTTTTATCCCTTTTTTAAGTTTTTTTTTATTGGATCAAAGTTATAAAAGTTAAATAATTTACAAAAGTTTAATTTGAATAATTTTTTTGCATAATTCTCATAACCTAATGAAAATTGCAAGATTTGTAAAATAAAATCCCTGAATATTTTCTTTTATGTCAAATTAATTATAAATATTAACTTTATATTATCAATTTAAACACCTTTTTAATTATATTGAACATTTATATAATTTGGTTTTCTAAAATATTAACTACGAATATATTAGAATATAATTACAAGTGAGAAATATATTTTAAATTACTCGAAGAAGTCAAATCAGCTTGATTTTTCTATTAAAATAAGTTATAAATTTCAAATATTGCAAATATCAAAAATTTAAAATTTGAAAAGAAATTTTTATAATATATACTTGAAGTGTTCATTATACTTGTAATAGTATTTTATCAATGTACTATTATATGTAACAAATAATTTTTTAATTTAATCTAAGTGAATATTACATTAGCAAAACTAAAATAAATTTTTATATTTAAATTGACTATAGTAGAAAATAATCCAATATATTTAATATATATATATAATATTTGTGAATGTTAATATAAAGATTTATTTATTCACAAAATATCTAAGTTATTAAGTAGAATTAAGAATTTTTCTTAGATATAAGATAAATTTCTATTATTCTATAGATTAGGTAGAAATTTTGTTTTATTTCAAAGTAAATTTATGCAATATAAATTCTTTAATCCAAATCAAAGATACAGATTTAAAAAATGATAAAAATCTTATATTTATTGTGCATTAAAAAAAAGTTCTATATCTAACAGTTTTATTTATAAATTTATTTAAAAACTATATAATTTGGATCTTAATATTTATATAATGAATGAATAGATTTATGTAAATAAGAATGATCCATATAATTACTAATCTGAAATATTAAGATATCCAAATTAAATATTCACACTTTAGTTTTAATAATCATAATACCTTTGCAGGTAAATATATATTTACTTTTTAAGAACTAAGTTAATAGATGATTAATTACGAGTTAGCTTATATATTTTCTGAGAAAATCTTATAAATATAACTAATAAAATACTTAAAACTAAAATTTATAAAAAAAAAAGTTGAGGAATTCTCTATATAATATTATATCGAGTTAATTATTATGATAAAAGATATAAATGGACTTTAATTTTTTCTTTAATCTATTAATGATGCCACACTAAACTCTATGACCGCCTAAATAAGTGATTTTAGAAGGTCATTGATAGCCTTTTCAATTTAATATGTCCTTAAAGAGAAAGAGAAGAGACTCTGGTGCCTTGAGGAAGGCTGTCAGAATTAATCCTGAGAGCAGTTTGTTTCATAATAATATTGTAGATGAGTGGAATGGTGAAATTGTGAGAGTGACTGAATCTATTCAGGAGACAACAAATAATAGAGCTCATTATATTTTCAATGGTATAGGAAGAAGGCTCGAAACTGAACCATATGAATTTTGGAAAAATGAAGACAAGTATTTAGACTCTATTTTAATAAATTCTAATGTTGATGATAGTATTAAAACATTAATAAATAATTTATCTGGCCTAAAAAGTGAGTTAGAAGACTCAAGAAATAATGATACTAAATCTCTTGATCAACTCAAGAAATATTTAAAAAAAGTAGTTTCAAGGGTTTTGAATGGAAGAATAGTTAAGGATAACAATTATATATTTCATGATTGGACAATTTTTATCCCTGTAGTTCTCTGTTCAAGCTTAAGTAATAAGGAAATATCTCCTATATTAGAAAGATTCCCAAATATTATAAGGTATTTAATAAAATCTATACGCTCATTTGAAATAAATGCAGGAATAATAAATAAAGATGATATAGAAACCATTGCAAGTTATAGGCAAGCAATTTCACTTTATTTGATGACACAAAAACAGTTGAGAAAGTTGTCAAATAGTCCTTATAGAAATATTTCTGACAATATAAAATCTACATTAGATTTAGCAGTTCTTCGAAGAATTAAAGAATTTAATATTTATAATGAGAGTTCAAATTTTTTTTATGCATTGCCAACAATTCCAGAAGGTATAGAGTCAATTAAAAAAGCTAAGGAAATTATAATTGATGATTCTACTTTAAGAAGTTCAAAGTATGTTTATATTATATACGGTAGACAAATTTCATTCAGTGAAGTTTTTGGTATAAGTTATATAAATAATAAGTTACTAGAAAATTTTAAAGAATGGTTTTTATACTTTAAGGAAAATTTTAGATCTTTGAAATTATCCAATAAGGAATTATTAGATAATAGAAGTACTGTTAAATATTTGAATTCTTCGAAATTTGAAAAATTTATTGGTTATCTTGGATATGGATATTCTTCTTTTGATCATTTGAAATCATTAAACCCGAATCCTGAGATTATGTACATAGATTTGATAAATAGTTTGAGAATCTTTTTAGCAAAAAAAAATTTGGAGAATTTGAAGAATATTGAGAATAAAGAAGCAGAATCAAGTTCTAATTTTAAATTCGATTTATGTCTACCTGAATTTCCTCAATACAATAATAGAGAAATCTCTGAAAATCCTATTAGTATTTTTCCTACTCTTCCAGCAAAAAAGTGTACTAAAAGAGATAATGTGGATAAATCCAAGGAACTTATAAATCAGGTTAATATAAGGGATTATAAAAGTTCAGTTCCTCTAGGTTTTTTTTCAAAAATGGTAGATAAATTTAATCGGGAATTTGAAATTATTATTTTAGATAGAAGTGAATGTTCTATATATAGTAAAGGTAAATTATCAGATTTTTGTGAATATGGAATTTCTTGGGAAATACCTAAAATTAATAATCAATATATTAGATCTCCGACTAATTTCCGTATATTCCCAATAAGATCATGTATTACTACCGTAGGATTTACTAGGAAATATAAGGCATTTCTTTATTATTTAAGATGGTTCATAGAAAATATTATTGATTTTGGTTGGAAACGTCGTCTAGCAATTAAAAATAGGAAATATGAGAAATTAATCAGATCTAAAAAAGGTTATTATTTAACAAGTTCACAACGTGATGCTATTTCTAGGATTACTAAAATAATAGCAAATAGTGGATTATGGGAATCATTTAATAATATCACTCCAAATATTTTAACTCCAAGTGATATGAATGTAGTAGATAAACAAAATTATTGTAATGACGATTTTCAATGGGAAGATATTGATGTTTCTCCTAAGGACTATTATGAAATCATAAATTCTCACTTAAACAGTAGCCAAGACTTTAAAAAAAAATTATCTTCTAAATGTCAAAAATTATTAGCTAAATATATATTATATACCTATCCAAAATTTCTTATTGATTATTATAGAGCTCGGAGGCTATGGCGTCAAAATAATGTTACTGAAAATTCTACTAGGAATAAATTAAATGTTGCTCGTTCCTCCAAATTACAACTTGATATTATTGGGCATATGGGTGAAAAACATTTGGAAGCCCAGCTTTCAGATTTTAATACTGCAAATTCAAGCAAATCTAAAGATAAACAGATTATTACAGTTAAAACAGCTCAATCCAAACATTTAGAAATGCTTGAAAAAAAGCATAAATTATCTGAATTTGTTGAAATATCTTTATTACCTAATTTTGAAGAACAGTTTGATAATATATTTATGTTTAAATTAATAGATTTCTTACCAAATAAAATATTAAGTTCATTTAATTTGACATGTCCAAGTTCAGAAAATTCTATTTATTTATGTGCATTTGCTAAGGAACTTGCAACATTCCTAATTAATAATAAAAAGCTTGAGTTAACATTTAAAGATCTACTTTGGAATATTATATCTTATATAAATTGGATGATATTTCTTTTACCACAGAATAAAAAGTCATTTGGAGGTCCAAGAGGTGTTCAAAAGTGTCTAAATCAAATTATTGAAAATTTGATGTCTAAAGATAAAAAATATCAATGTCATTCTCAAGATATCTCTATTCAATTTTGTCAGTGGGCTATTGATACAGTGATGATAAGTCAGCACTTAGAAAGTAATCAATATAAGTATATAATTCCTCCATCGGGTGAAGGAAGACTTATGATAACAATTATATGGTTAGCAAACTATGTAAAGTCTTATTCTATTAATCCAGGTATAAACACAAAGTGTGAAGAAGGGATTCCAATGTATTATCCTGAACCAATTCCTATTGAATTTTCTAGTATGCTTAAAAGTGATCTTCAGGGTAAGTATGATGCTAAATTTAGAGTTTGGTCATATCAAGTTGGATTTCGTCCAGTAGATAAATCTAAGAAGCAATCTTTGGAATCTAACAACTTTGGAAACCCTTTTAATTCCACAAATTTAATTCTCTGTGAAAATCCAATAAAGAAGGCACCTGAAATAGCATTACCAGAAACAATGCAGGATTTAGAAAAAATTATTAAGAGACGTTAATATTTCACAATATTTGAACTTTATTATTACTTATTAGAGATTATATCTAGCTTAAGTAATAGATCTAAGATAGTTTTCTTAAATTATTTTCTCTCTTTATTAAAAAAAAAATTAATATTGTTGAATAGTATTAGAGGTTTTAAGTTTCTGTAAAATTGGACCACGAAATTACACAAATTGGCGCTGCATATTACCGCCAAAAAGGTACCGATCGTTTTTGGTGATTTATTTCTCTTTAATAGTTTGATTTATTAAAAGGATATAGATGAAGTAGTTTAGAAATTATGAGTGTGACTTTAGGGTCGATTCTGTTCCCTGAACGTCGATTGGCAGCACCTGATAATCGTAGGGGAATCCATAGTAAAAGGAAGAAACCTATAAATTTTATTAAGAATCAGGAACAAACACCAAAACAGCTTACAACGCGCCTCCTATTGGATGATGAAACTATTGGTCCTCAAGATTTTCTTACACTATTCTCTAATGATGACATACGTAACACTGAACAGTTTTGGGAAGCAATGGAACGTGTGTTCTATCCCATAGATGAAAGGTGGCTTAAAGTTCTAGAATTTACGGGGCGTCCAGATGCAAAACCTCCATGTGAAAAGACTTCTATAGGTATTCATTTTGCATATAGATGGGCATTACAAGACTTATTTGATATTGAAGAGCTTTTTATTTTACTTGGTATTAATAATAGAAATAACGAAGATCATAGTATTAGTGAAGATAATACCAACAATAAAGATGAGGTTAATATAATAACTGAATCAACAATGACAGAATTTTTATTTAGATTAAATTTACCGACACTTGAAATCCCAGGAATGGATCCTAGAAGTATTAATAAGTTAGAACTACATTCTAATTTAATGAATGTAGATAAATCTACAAACGAAACTAATAAATTATCAATACCTACTTCTGAAGTAGATAATCATGATATTTTGCGTCAGGAAATATATAATACCTCAAAATTCAATGTATTATTTGAAGAATGGAAAGTTACATACAATAGAGCTGTATATATTGAACATGAATTAGATAAAATAATTATAGATTTAAAAGCATCTATTAACAAGGGACTTAGTTTGGATTTTTCTAGAAGATCACTATCTAGATATCATAGGAAGGTTTGCAGAGAGTATGTGATAAGAGCTTTACATTATCATAGTATAAAACAGTTTATTGACTCACTAGAGGAAATTTTATATTATGACGCTAATAATAATGAATATTTAACTACATGGGATGATGGTGAATCAGTTAGAGTTTCTTGGATTAAACAAGATCAACTTTTACAATTACTTTTATTTAGGAAAAATACTTTGGAAAGTAAATATTTCGTAAGTCTTCCAAAGGATCAGGTTGCATATGCAAGTTATAAATGTGATAATAAGATCTTTGAATATCTATACAATTCAGGTTTAACTCCTATAAATATTGAGAACAGTAAGATTTCATCTGAAGAATATAATTCGTCACAAAAAGTAACTGAAGACAAATATTTAAGTAATGATAATATACCTAATAGTTCAGCTAATATTGATACTTGTGAATATTCAACATCTGATAACTCCACTCAATATTCTAATATAAGAAGTTCTACAAATATATCTAATCAAGAAAATATTATTAGATCTCCTCCTTTAGGATGTATCTCTTTAACAAGGGTACCACTTTGTCACTATTGCAGACGTGGAAGTACAAAATTGAAATTTTCTAGATGTCCATCAAAAATAAAATATTCAGGTTCTCTTTCTTCTAATACTATAAGCTCTCTAGATATTTCAGCTAATTCGAGTAATTCTTTAGCTATTTCATACTCATCTCGTTCATTAATTCCTTGGGCAACATCTAGTGAAATACAAGATAAAGAGGAGTTAGTATTTCCATTGAAAACACATAAGTCGAAAACGGGTTATAACACATTTGGATCTTTGTCACCTCAGAAAAATTGCAACAATAATACTCATATATGTAGAGTTCCATCTAATCAAATTTGCAATATTTGTCAAAGTTTTGGGACTTCTAAAGATCAGCTAAATGAATCAAATGATGTATTTATTACTCGTGGTATTACTTTGAATAATTGTTGGCGTATGTATTGTTCTGATTGCATACTGCATAATTTTTCCTCTATAATTAAACAAAAGTATTCCAATGGAGTGTTACTTAGGTATTATTGCCCCTTTTGCAATGGGACTTGTAATTGTGAAAGATGCTTAAGAAATCAACAACTCAGAAAGCTCAAAAATTACCTGAAAACACACTTTTGTGGTCATTTTGTTCAATGTTCTATTCCAAATAAATTATTTGGTAGGGAAATTACTTGGTATGAATTTATGAAGCAGTTTGGAGGTTCTAAGTATATCATTGAGGAGGATTCACAAAATATCATTTCAGATACATCCAATATACCCTGTAATAATTTAGATTATGCATGTTATTCTTATATCAGTAATTTATATTTAAGGCTTTCAATAACTGAAGATACACACTTAGGCTCTTTATGGCTACAAGCCAATAATATTTCTGTTCAAACCTCTCAATCAAGTGATAATAAAGATTCTTCCAATACAAATACGAAAATTAAACCTTGTTCTTCAAACAAGCAGACAAACTCCTCGATTTCAAGAAGTAAATCTAGACAACGTAGTTCTTTGAATAGTTCCAATAGATATAGACGTTCTACAACTGGGAATAGCTCAACTTCAGATATATCTCAGGTAAATTCAATTGGAAGACAGACATCATGTATACCTTCTCAACAAACAACAGCTCCATCTATATATATACCTAAAGAAGTTATGAAAGAACCTACTGGAGCAAGCGGAATGTCAGTATTGTGGAGTTTACGTTCTGTTTTATGTCATAATATTAGTAAATGCTACAAAGATTGTGCAAGAAATGTGGAAGCCTGGGAGGAGATTATCCAAACTTATAGACATAAAAAGCATGAAATAGAGAATTATTGCCAAGAAATAATGAGTCAATTGCAAATCATGGATAGATGGATTAAATCCATCACATTTACAGAAACAAATAAGAGATTTATTATGCGTAAAATGCCATTATTATGTTGGGCAACAAATATGCAATCGGCAAAACCTTTTAACTTTGATGAATTTCCCCAAATATTACCAGAAAATAATGCTCTTGATTTACTTAGACATATGAAACATTTTATACTTAGTGGTTATGTACCTGATAGTCTACCTAATTATAGAAAAGATTCAGATTCCACTGGAAATGATCACTGTGCACTAAATGACTTTTCTGAAAAGAAACTTACTTGTGAAAATGAATCAGAATCATTTTCTACAACCCAACTAAGTCCTTCATCTTATATGAATCTTTTATTTGAAATTATTCCAGATTTACCAAAGATAGATATAAACTCTACAACATATTCTAATATAAATAAAGATATTCACTACCCTAAAACCTCGAGACGAAAAACTGCTAAACGTGAACGAATTTTTAATATAGTTAATACTGATGCTAAAGATAATAAACTTACTAAAACATCTAGTAGTGAATGTTCACATTCAGATACAACTATAAATGACAATTTACATATAAACTTGAATAAAATTGAAAATTTATCACCTGAATATATTAACTCAAAATGTTTGAAATTTCCCAAAAATGACGGTATCTTACAAACATATTTATCTAATGGAACAAGTGAATTTAATCAGTTTTATAGCCCATTAACGAGAAAATCTTTAAATATAAATGATGAGCTGATAAATACTGAAGAGCATCCTAAAACTACAAATTTAGAAGATTTTGCAATGTCGCCAAATTTATCAAGAACAACATTAAATTCAAATCAGCCATCTTTAAGTCCTTCAATTTTTAGTTCACTTAAATCTAATAATTTAGTTACACCCGATTATATGCAAAGTGGTAGTAATACTGAAACCATAAAATCTAAAACAAAACAATACTTTTATTCATCTACAGATTGTGTTAATTCTTCAGAAATAAAAATGCATCAATTAAATTCAAATTTAGAATATTTACAACAGATACCAAAACAATCAACTTACAATAGCTCAAATTTCGAACAAATTGCAGAATATAATCAAAATAGTAATAATAAATCATTTTCAACTCAAACGAATTTTAATGAACTTATAGATCCACACACAGGACAATTAAAAACTCAAAATCATTGCACATTTAATTCTTATCCTATATATGGGGATTTAAGTGGTGAAACTTCAACTCTAGAACAAAAAAGATCTCTTTTACTACAAAAAAAACGTGAGAGAGAGAGTACTAGAAGAGCATTAAAAAAAAGCAACAATACATTATCATATTCTGTTGGTTCAACTGAAGTTTCCCAGAGTGATTTTCAGTACCAATGTAATAAAGTGCAACAAATTACTGATAATTCAATTAACCAATTTCAATCCGGTAATAATGACTTAATATTTAAAAACCCTATTGATAATCAATACCAAAACACTCAATATCTTCCAAATCATGATTTGAGACAACAAAAATCTACCCAAGATATTAACTTCCAAAACTTGAAAAACCAAAATAACCCAAACCAATATACAGATACTCCGTATAATTTATGGAGTCAACAAGGTATAAAAAAAGTTCCTCAGAAGCAACCATATCCAGGTACAATTTACTATGGATAATAGACCTCAATATATCTCACTAACTAAATCAAACTTTTCAATAAAATATAGTTATCTTTATATAATTTTTTATATACTATACTATTTGGAGATAACTATATTTCTAACTTTTAATTTTATATTTTGGAATCTTTAATAAAAAAAAAAATATTTGGAGTGTACTTTGACAATATAATTTCATATATCTTTTATATTGTTGAATTTAAATACCTGAACTTTAAGTTTTCTCAGGGCAAACTTGTATTCAGTTTCACTTCAAATATTTTTATATTAAATTTAACAATCTTGAACTTGAATTTATTGAATACTTTATATATACAACTTAGATTTATTATAAATTGTATATTTATATATACAATCTATATTTAATTAAATACAATTCTTTTAGTAGGTCATTAATTAGAACTGTTGAATTTATATATAAATTTGTGAAGTTTTAATTACAATATTCTTATTAAGCTTTTATTATACTAATATTTTAGCATGTTATAGGGTATTAAATATTTTAATTTTATAATTAAATAACTTAAATTTTAATCTTTCAAATTAAGATTGTGAATATCATTTAACATATATTAAAGGTCGATCTTTGCATTATTTACTTCAATATTAAAGTTTTAAATAGAGATTAAATATACATTTTTTCCCCTTTAATATCTTAAATCTACCATCCTTTATAAAGTTACAATTTATTCAAAGACTAGGCTAATATTATTTAATATATAAATAATTTTCTAGAAAGAATGTATTGTACTTTAATATATTTTTTTAAGTTTACAACAATTTTTTTAATATTTCACTAGTCACAATTAAGAAATAGCTAATTTTATATTTTACAATTATAAATATTGAAATTATAAATATTCGGATATTATTATGTATTAAGCTAAAAAGTATATTGAAGTGGATTTTCTAATATAATACTTAAATAAATTGTATTTAAATTTTAGTGTAATATTTTTTTAGTTAATTAAAATTACTTAAATTTTCTACTTAAAATACCTAGTGATTTTTTTTTTTTTTTTTTTTGAAATCATTAATATAAACAAGTTATTTTAAGAATTTAACTGATTATTTTACAAAATATTGGCAATTTGATAATATGTATAAATTAAAAATATATTAAAATATTTATCAAAATTATTCATCAACATTTGTATTATGAGTATTTTTTGTACTTTTATAGTTAAAGCCTATGTAAGTTGCCTTAATCAAAATCATAAGTGATTCTGTTTTTATATATTTTTTAGTTATTTATGTAATATTTATAACCAAAGTTATTTACAACTAGTTTATAGATTTTTTTTCTCTTTCTTTTTTTAAATATAAAATAATATATTCAAACTAATTTCTCTTATCAATTTTATATATAACATATGTTAATCTAAATAAATTTTTTGTAGTTTAGTAGTAATTTAATAAAGAAAATGAAAAAATTGTTAATATTAAATGTAGAAATCTTAAAACTATCTGAGTATTAGAACTTCAAGATATTAAATAATTTCATATTACCTATTTATTAGTAAAATTCAAATAGTATATAAATTGTACATATAGTTTTAGTTACGATATATATTAATAAGAACCATTTCATTTATATTTTAATATAACGACTGTTTAGAAAAAAAGTATTTATCTTTAACATAAATAATATATATAATGTTAAATATATTTGAATATAATAAAATAGATAATAAATAATTAATTAATTATACAAATTAATATTATCACAAGTAATTTATTATACTATTTAACATATTTATTATTATATTCCTGATTTATTCCCAAATACATTATCTTTATAAATAAATTAGAAAACTCTATAAATTAGTTAATATTCACTTGATTTATAATAAAATATGCCAATATCAAATTTTCAATTAGACTTTTTTTTATTTAGATTAATTAATTAAATATCATTAAAAAAATTAAAACTTTAGTATCATATTTAAATAATAAAAACTTTTTAAAATAAAGTGCAATAATCTTCTTATATTTTTAAATATAAGATTTTTCTTTAGAGGTTATAATAATTTTTTTTTTTTTATAAATTTCAATAAAACCATTATATTTAGAACTTAGTTATTTAGTAATCTATAAGATATACCTAATTTCAACATTTTAGATATTCAATAGATATAATTTCAATCTAATATATTAAGCTCCAAAATTAACCATCTAGGTCTATACATAATGATTAATCTATTATACCAGGAAAATTAATATTTAAGTGTATTTAGTATAAAGTAGAAATTAACAAGATTTTACAATAATCAAAGATTTAATTAAAAGTCTTATATGTTATTAGTAAGATAGATTCATATACAATTTACTGAAATATTTCAAAAATTACTTGATACAGTTATTAGTTAAGTTATATTTATTGATACTTTTATCCTATTACTTTTTTGCATACAGTTTATGTTCCCCAATACGTCTCCACACAAAATAATAGGAGCTTGAAATTTATATTTAAGAAATTGTAAATTTTTTTATTAATATATTAAATCATGGATACACGATCTTTATGGAATATAATATTGGGTGGTCACTGGAAATGTACATCTGGTTTTTTACATTCATCAGATTATGAGATTGCATCCTACTTAAAGATTACAAATCAAACACGGACAACAACTAAATTATGTTCATTTTCAATGATACAAAAATTAGTAAATGAAGAAAATACAGTAGTAAATTCGGCGTGTCCATTTATAAATGCTAATTCATGGACTATAGTAGATGATTATATATTTTTGTTATTTGATGGTGATGATAAGTCTGGAGCTAAATTAGATATTTGGAATATTAATAGTTATTCAAATAAACCTTTTGGGCTTATTTCTTCTTTTGAAAGTATATCACAAACTATTCATGGACCAATTTTTTCTATTATGAATAATAAAACTATTAAGGTAAGTTTAAAACATAATTTACTGCTTTATATTGCAGAGTCACAAAAAGCTAAAGTTAAAGAATGGTTCTGTATAAATAAAGAAGAAAGTAATAAAGAAGAGATTATAGAATATGGGAGAAAATTTGAATTTTCTGAACATTGGGGTGAGCATTACTATAAATTTTCACATCCTAGTATATTTGTGTGGAATATTGATGATAAATTTTCTGGAATTGGTGAACAACCTATAGCTTTAAATTTTAAAGGTTCAGATACATGTTCAGTTTTTTATATGGATTTATTACCTGATGAAACAGGTCTAATAATTACTACAGTAGAGAATAATCCAATAAAACTTGGCTACTGTTTTTGTTTTAGAAGACCATCAAAAATTCTTTTATTAAGTGATATTGATAAATATATTTTAAATAATAATATTAAAAGTGAACTATGTAATTTAAATATTACTCCAATCACTATTTCTTCAGATGATGAATTTGTTAGAGCAGCAACTGTTATACCATATAGTGGTAAAGATTCAAATATAAGGTGTTCAATTATTTATTATTCATATTCAATGTTAAATAATGTTTCTGTTCATTGGTTTTCAATAAAACTATGTATTCAAGATTTATATAAGTCTGATAAAGGGTGGATATGTAATGGACCAAAACGTGTATGTGTTGAAAATTATTCAGATCCTATAAATACCATTCACCCAAAGGTTTTCCAAGGATTTTGTGGACTTTTTGGTGATGAATTGAATACAATAAAGATAGTTCCAGATACAAGATGGATAATTACTTCTACTATTCAAGGCCCATTTACAATTTTAGTTGCAATAAATGTAGATACATGTGAAGTTTGCAAAATTGAATTTGTACCGAAAAATAAGAACTGTTCATTAATTGGATGTTATAATATTTTGGATGTAACTAAATCAAAGAAGAGTAATTCATGGTACTTATTAATTGTTTTTTCATCTCCAATCATACCATCATTAGCTATTCTTGCCGAAATAAAAGATTTTAATCCAACATCTAATCATATATTATATGCTAATGAAATAAAAACAATAAGTAGCCCTGTTGGAATTGAACAAAATATTTTAGATACTGAATTTCCTAAATTTGCAAAATCAAATTTCAATAATTGTTCAGATAAATTTATTGAGTTACTTAGTAATATTAGTTATGAAATATTTGAAGATAAACATATCTTAATGAAACCTAAATTATTTGAGAACCTACAAAAGATACCAATAGTTGTTAATGTTCATGGGGGGCCAAATAGTGTTTCAGTGTGTAACTTTGCAATTACTAATTGTTTCTTTGTATCATTGGGATATGCTGTATTACTTCCGAATTATCGTGGATCAATAGGATTTGGTGATAATTACTCAAATTGTCTAATTGGAAGTGCTGGGAATATTGAAGTTAAAGATGTGCATGATATAATGGAAAGTGTAATTTTGAAATATAAAGATTTTATTGATAGTAAATGTTGTTTTGTATTTGGTGGATCTTATGGTGGATTTATTACACTCCATTTAGTTGGTATGTATCCAAACAGATTTAATGCAGCATGTAGTATTAATGGAGTTACTAATGCAGCCACAAAAATAGGTGTAACAGATATTCCTGATATATCATTAGGATTAATTTGTGAGTCTAATGTTCAGTTCTGGAAGAATGCATCATATACATCAGATCAAATTAAAAGACTTTATGAAAATTCACCTATTGCAAGAATTTCTAATGTTACAACACCTTTACTACTAGCTATTGGCACTGATGATATCCGTGTACCTCCATCACAAACTATTGAGTATTATAAGATCCTTAAATCAATTGGAAAAACTAAAGTTAAATTTTTGCAATATCCTAGTGAACATCACAGTATAAGTAAATTGGAACACTTGACAGACTTTTTATTAAATGTTGTCGATTGGTTTGGTAGAAATGGTGGAATTCCAATAAAAATCGAGGATAAATAGATCTTAAATTTACAAATCATTACTTAAATCATACTAATACAAACACTTAGAGATATTAAACTATCCAATATTAGAGATTTTATCTTTTTATATATCTTTTCTAATAAATGTTCCTAAAGCTAAAATATCATCATATACGGTAATTCATCTGAAATACTCCACATATATTGAAAATAGGCACGATGTTTGGAAATTTTCTTATTTTTTTTATTTGATTTTAACTCTTTTTTATCATTTATCTTTTGAATATTCATAATGGATGAGGAATTTTCATTATATGAACTCTCAGAACATATAGTAGATAGTGTATTGTTGAAATCTTCATATTTTAAATCTTCTAGTTTGTATACCACAGAATTTACACAGTGTTCAAAGTGTGGTTTTTGATTTTTTACTGAGCTTTTATTTAATGGTTCTTTTGAAATTTCACCTTTCATTATATTTCTAGATTCTATAAAATGTACTTGAATAATCACATGTGACTAAATATTATGAATTACTATAAGGATTAACCGCAATTCTTTTACTTCGAATTTGAGAATTTTAACAAAATTATAATATATATAACCCGCAGTAAAATTATACTTTTTCCTACTGTTATTAAATAATTCTAATGTAAATACATATTTTTCATTATAATCTAAATATATATATAATAGCTAATTTTCTAAATAAATATATTTATCTTAAAGTAAATATACTCTTTTAGAAAATTACTTAAGAAACTATTGATTCTTAATTTTATGAATATCTTCCTTTTTAATATTGATTTATTTTAACTAATATCTATATTTGAGAAAACAATCTATAATAGTAAAATATGATAAAATATTTCCCATTTAAAAGATATATCAAACAAATAAATAAGAACTGGAACTATTTTAGGGAAAATAATATATTGAACTTTTTAAGAGTATTAAAATATAATTAAGGAAAAAAGAAGTAAAATTATTATCTATCTTTTATTATTTTTAGTCCCTTGAATGAAAATGTAAAATAAAAGATTTTAATTGCAAAATAACTAATAAATGAACTACTGGTTTTATAAACTACGAAGTTATATAATTTACTATTATAAATTTCTTATTTATTCGAGTAATTTTATAAAATTTAGAATTTCATGTATATGTAAATTTTGTATTTTCTATAATTTAAATCAATAAATTATGAATTCTTAAGGAGTAAAATTTCTATTGAGTTGAAACCTCACGAAGTAATTATATATTTAAAATGTTTATATAAATTGACTTTTGTATATTTTACTAATAAGACCTTTATATCTTCATTTATTACCACTTTCTTTCATACTTGAAAGTGATATATTTTTTCACAATATTAAGTATTCCTTAAAAAATAGTTATAGTTATATAACACTATTATAGTTTATATGTGAAATGATTTGTAGATAATTCAGCAAAATACTAAAGTGGACTGTAATATCTTAGTAAAATTTTGAATTATCTTAAAAGAAGTGTATCTTTAGGAAAATATTTGCTTATTCAAGTATATATGTAGAGTTTTAGCTTATATTTTTATTTGCACCCAATATTTATCAATTTTTTAAGTATTTAGTAATTTAATATTGGATATTTTTATTTTTAGTTAGAGACAGTAATGTTAAAGTAAACTCCCAAGTGCATGCATGAAACTTAAATATTTGAAAAAAAATTATTTTCAGATATAAAAATTGATCTAAACTATAAGTATCTCATTATAAATTAGATAATTTGTCTCCGAAGAAACTATTCAATCTAATACTGACTTTTTTTATATAAAATGTAATATTTAAGTAAATATCAGAACATTTAATATTTAGTATTAAGTAATAAATTTTGCGCCAATTTTTTTTTTTTTTTTTGCACCATCATTGAGAATGTAAATACCTTATAACATTAATTATATAATAACAATTTGATATATTTAATTAACATTATTAAAAATTCAATTATGGGAAGGGGAATTTAGATTGACTTCTATTTTTGTTTCTAAATACCGGGAATAATCTCCAAAATCCAATCCTATCTAATATAATCAAAATCTTAATTGTATACCTATAACACGTTGAAATATGTGTTACTTAAAAATTTATATTATTATATCTACATTATTGAGATTCTATTAGTTATGATCACTTTAATAATAATGATTTTCTTATTGAATAATGCAAATAGTATTATACTTTATATATTAAGGGATCTTATAATACTAACAGATTTAAAAGAAAAAAGATTTATTACTAAAATAATAATAAAATTTATAGAATAAAGAATTAATTTAGAGTATTACGCTATATTATTAAAGCTCTCGAATTCGTGTTTTTTATTATAGTCTAGATTTGACAATATATATTTATCAGTTCAATTTATTAGAAGAAAGTACAATTAATATCATAATTATCTTTGAATAGATAATAAATCGGTATAATGTATTTACATGTATAAATATTTTATATATAATGAAACTATCTTCAGCAAATAAAGTAAGTTCACATAATAAAAGTAGGGATAATTTAAATTCTCAAAAAGAAATAAATGAGAAAAGAAGTAATATGGAATCTGGAGTTTGGAACAAAATACTTGGTTTAATAAAAAATTCTCTTGGTATTTCCTCACCTAACTCTGCAACGAAATACAAGGTATTTGAAAAGGATATGTCAGAAAATTTAATTTATAATCCAAAGAAGAAAACTCAAGAATTTTATGTAGATAATATTAACAAGTTTGAATATAGTAATAAGTCAAAGCTGAATGCATCTCTATTATATCACAGCTCTGATTATAAAAAACTTACAAACTCTTCAAAAGAGCACATAAAAAAATTACCATCACCTAGTTCTCTTGGAATATCATTTGCAGAACAAATACTTAGTTATGACTGCAGTACATATGATCCAAAATTAAGCCATGGAATTAGTCCTGTAACTCCTACAACATGTGATAGTAATTCAGTAGCTACATCTTCACCATTATCAACAAACATACAAACTCCAAATTCAATTTTGAGTAGTAATAAGAGCGTTGAAATTGTTGATAATTCACCAATTAGAGTTGATAGTATTCCAAATATAAATAATTATGCAGTTGATTTCTCAACAGAAGGTAAATTCAAATCCAAAGATTGCACGGATTATTATTCAATAACTAATTTAAAAAATACTTCTCTTACATCTAATATTTTAGGAAGTAGACAAACTTTTAGTCGTGATTGTGATTTTGAAGAAATTACAAGACCAATGCCACAATCGTTGTCTAGTCCTTGTTTAAAATTATTTGATTATAATTATAAAGTTGGATTTGATACAGTTTCTTATTCATCTACAGCTTCATTACTGAATAATACAACATGTAAAACTAAGATTCAGAATTTCTCATTAAAAAATACTCAATTAAATAAGAGTACTGATTTACAGTTTAAAAGTAAAGATAACTTTGATATTACTTTTTATTCTTGGAAGGAGTCTAAGAAGTTGATTAATAAATTAAGGAAAGCTTCGGATACATTCAAACTTAGTGGAATTCCCTATTCAGAATGGAAATTAGAAAAAATCCCAACTCTAGGAGCTTCACCAACAAGTTGTAGAGTTCAAGAGATGTTCAGAGGTACAATAAAATCAGATTTTAAGAATTCTAGGGATGAAGTTCAACATGTCTTTATTAAAAGAGTGCCAATAAATATTTGGATGAAACAATGGGAAATGCATGAAATTTGGGATGGGGATTATGTAACTGATGGAGAAGATTTTGTTATGGAAGCAGCAGCATTAGCTTTCCTTCAAAAATATAGCCAAGGATTAGCACCAAAATTATTAGCAGTTCTTGAGCATAAAGATGCAACAGATTTAAATAATCTGTCTAAAAACTTCGAAATTGCTCCAGTATCTAGAAGCTTTAGAGTTTCAAAAGATATAACACACATTATATTGGTATCGGAGCTATATGGAGATGATTTACTTGATTATTTAGATCGTAGAGAAAAAGAGAAAAGTCTTCTAACATTTCAAGAGAAAAGAAAACTTCAATATAATCTAGCACTGCAACTAAACCACTTACATCTAAAAGGACTTTGTCATTTAGATTTTACACCAGAGAATATCTTAGTTGGACCTCAAGGGATAAGTATTTGTGACTTTGCTAAAGCTACTCCAATAATAACTAAATATCCTTGTCATACACATTATATAAAGGATGCTGATGAACCCTTAAGGCATATTAAAAAGGCTACAAATTCACCAAGTAACTATTTTGAATTTGAAAGTTGTGAGCCAACTGTTGGAAAAGGGGCTTACATGCCCCCTGAATGCTGGAGAATATTTTGGAAGCTTGAGGAAAATCATATTCAATATCCCCTAGAGGAACTTACAGATACATTTATATCAAGAGACAAATCTAAAGGGATCTCTACAATTAAAAAATCTTTCATTTCAATAACAGATAGGCAATCTTATTACTTCAAAGTAAGAATAGCTGATGTTTATATGCTTGGTATACTAATGTTCTGGATATGGTCTGATGGAGGAATCTGGAAATATTCTGATATTCTACAAGATCATAGATATCAAAATTTAGTTTCAGCAAATATGAATTTTGATGTATTTAGAGAATGTAGAACCTGGAATACAGCTCTTAAATCTTTGTTATGTAAAATGTTGCAACCAGATCCAAATAAACGTATTACACTTAATGAAGTCCTACTAGATCCTTGGTGGTCAACTCCAATTGATCATCAGTAGGTTCAATTTTAGATTTAGTTTACTTATTATCAAGATATATTAGTTAATCTACAAAATATAGTGTTTTGTAATAATATAATTGTTAATATACTGCTTATATAGTTACTTTATTCATGTGGCGGATATGTATAATTGACACTATAAATATACTTTAATATTATCTACTATTTGATTGTTATTTTCTTAAGATTTTTGCTTTAAATATCTTGTAAAGTACTGTTATTAATCATGGAAAGTCCACATATTATAATTAAAGAGGTATTTAATAAGTCCATAAAGTCTCTATTTCCTGAATATGAGAATGAGGCTGTAATCTCAATATCTAATCCGAATTTTGGGGATTATCAATGTAATAGTGGAATGTTAATTTTTTCTACTATTGGCAAAAGTATGGGAATGAAAAGTCCAAGGGAAATTGGTGAAAAGATCAAGCAATTTATTATGTCTGATCCTAATTCCAATTTTTTATTTGACTCAATTATTGTAGCACCCCAAGGTTTCATAACAGTCAAAATTTCGACGGATTTTCTTCGTAAAAATCTTCAAAATATTTTACAAAGAGGAGAGATTCAAGTAACTTTATCATCTTCTCCTGTGAAAATTATTGAAGACAAAAAGCTGAAAGTGCTTGTTGATTTCTCTTCACCAAATATAGCGAAAGAGATGCACGTAGGTCATCTACGTTCTACAATTATTGGGGATACAATTTGCCGTATATTTGAATATTTAGGATATGAAGTATTTCGCATAAACCATGTTGGAGATTGGGGAACACAATTTGGAATGCTTATTGAATATTTAAAGGAACAATATCCTGATTATACATCTAATATACCTGAAATATCAGACCTACAAGAATTTTATAGAAGTGCCAAAAAAAAATTTGATCAAGATCCAGAATTTAAATTAAGAAGCCAAAAAGTTGTAGTAAAACTTCAAGGTGGAGATCCTACAGCAAGAGCTGCATGGAAAAAAATTTGTGAAATTAGTCGTATTGAATTTCAAAAAGTATATGATCGCTTAAATATACATATAGAAGAATATGGTGAAAGCTTTTATAATGATTTGATTCCTGAAGTTATTCTAAAAATGAAGGAAAAGGGAATTATTCAACTTGATGATGGAGCTCAATGCATATTTACTAGTGTAAATAATATTCCTTTAATGGCTGTAAAGAGTGATGGTGGCTATGGTTATGACTCAACAGATTTAGCTGCTATTTATTATAGGTTGAAGGAAATTAGAGCCGATTGGGTTATTTATATTACTGATTCAGGTCAAGAAGAGCATTTTCTAAAAATTTTTGAAGTTGCTAAGATTATGGAATGGCATAATCCACCAAAAACAAGATTGGATTTTGTAGGATTTGGAGTAATTCAAGGGGAAGATGGTAAAAAATTTAAAACAAGATCTGGAGATACTGTAAAATTAGTGGAATTATTGGATGAAGCCGTAACAAGGGCTTATAATGAATTAATAAATAGACGATTGCAAAATGCTAAAATTAATGGAAATATTGAATATGAAGATGATGATTTAAAAGAAATGGCCAAAAAAATTGGTTATGCTGCAGTCAAATATTTCGACATGAAACAGAATCGTCTAACAAATTATAAATTTTCATTCGACAGAATGTTAGATCCTAAAGGAAATACAGCAGTCTACCTCCTTTATGCATATGCAAGGTTATGTGCAATATTCAGGAGATCTGGATTAAATCTCGATAATAAGTCGGATATCGAAATATTATCTAGTTATTCCATTAATATACAACAATCAGAAGAACGTCTCATAGCACTGAAAATAATCAGATTTCCAGAAGTTTTTGATGGGATAATTGTCGATTTACATATAAATAGATTGACCGAGTATTGTTACGAACTATGTGAACTAGTGGCCCAATTTTACGCATCATGTAGAATTTTAGACTGTAATGATCCTGAAATTAGGCAAAGCAGATTAGCTCTTTGTTTTATAATTAAAAAGGTACTTTTAGTTGCTCTAAATCTTTTGGGAATAGAACCCCTTGAAAAGATTTAATTCTAACTTGAATAACCAAGAATAAATAATATGTAATTTGTAATTTAAGGATTATCTTTTAATAATTACTTCAGCAATATATGTATCTAATTTAAAACTTATACAACAAAGTATTACCTGGAATATAAAATATCATAAGGTACGCACAAAAAATATTGAGAACTAAATTTTATCTCTACTTTCTGTTTACAATCCATACTTTTGTATATTTTAGTTATTTTAATATATAAAAATTAAATTCTTAAGAAATATATACATTCAATAGATTGATATACAACCTTTTAATAGAACTATAATAATTGCAATTATATGCTGTATGTAAACTCTTTAAAAGATTTCTATCAATAAATATTGAAGTTTCATCTTAGAAAAAAAAAAAAAATTAAGAGCGGAATTATTCACATTAACTTTATAATATATTAGTTAAATATTATTCAATATTATTTGGTTATTTTTTTTTAAATTAATAATTGTTTCTATTCTTAACCAGATTTATAAATAATATTAACATATCTTCAAACGATTTTAATATATCTCAACTAAAATCTTTATATCTTATCTACTAATAAATTTGCTATATTACTTATATTTGCAAATATTTTACTTAGAAAATTCAATCACAAATTTGTTTAATTTAATACTTGACCAGTAATATTTAAATATAGTGTGTTTATATTTAATACATATCTAGACAGATATTAATCTGAGTCTTCAAATACTATATGAGTATTCTGTTTTCCTTCATTTTTATTCATTTTCATTGGTTTAGGGTTTTCATCTCTAAATGTTTTCTTTTTATCTACCTTATCCAATCTTTTATTTACTTTTTTTTGTAACTTATTAACTTGTACATTAGAATCCTTTATAATATAATTAATCTTATTTCCTTTATAATTTACAGAACTTTCATCTTTATTCATAATTTCAGACTCAGCTAATTTACTATCTTCAATATTTTTACCTTCATCAAAAATAAGAAATATATCCTTTTCTTTATGACCATACTTTGTATAGGGTTTCATTTTTCTAATTCTTAATTCTTTCTTTATTTTTTGTATTTCTTCAATCAAATAATCACGTTTTTGTGTTATATTATCATCAAGTTGTGTACTAGGGAATAATGGTATATACCACTTCTGTTTTGAATAATTATAAAGTCTGATATAATCTTGTAATTTAGAGTATTTAATCATTTCACTCTTAAGTTTATCTAACTCCTGAGAGTCCGTTGAAAAATTATTATTGCCAATCAAATCTGCTAATTTGTGTTGAATCCTATTTAGCTGCCTTTTAACCTTCACTAATTCTGTAAATCTCATTTTTTTGTCTCTATTTCTTCTATATTCAAGATAACGTGCAATTTTCTTTTCATGATTTGATTTTCCACCTCTAGCCATAATATCTTCGAGTTTCTTAAATTCTAATTGTAATGATTCCCTAGCTTCTTGTGGGATTTGCAAATTCTCTCTACTTAGGAGACGTTTTAAGTCCCTATATCGTTTCTTTGATGACTTATTTTGAGAATTGGTATTTGATCCATCTTGATTAAAGCCGATATTCTTTTGCTCTATCATTTTATTTAGGATTTTTAAAAATATTTAGTATTACATCAAAACTAAAAATAATTATAGGCGCTAGAAGTTGTACTATCTAAATTTGCTCTAAGCATCTGATGATATTTAGAGATTAACTAAACTTCCTATATTACTCCTATGCCCCTATATCTAACTTGGTTTACTCTACATCATGATTACTATGAATTCAGATTTGATGAACTGGAATCTTTAGCTATTATTTATGGAGTAGACAAGCATGAACTATGGTCTGAAATATCTAAGAATACCTCTGTTGGGGATAATAAGGAGATAATAAGACCTGATATAACAGATAATAGAAGTCCCTTTGTTTGGGTAAAATTACCAAATGATAATGTAGCATTACAGATCCTTGGAAGAAGTATTTTGATCAGAGGTTTTATAGAAGTATGGTCTAGCGGATCAAACTATAACTCCGTTAAAAGTAATTTGGAACTTCCCGAAATCAAGAATAATTATATAAATAGATACTTAAATGAATCATTAGAATTTTCTTGGTATGTTAGAGCTATTAGGAAGAAACTTTCACGACAAGAACAAGTTGATCGTATGAATTTTTTTAGATTCTTATTTACAGGGAAAGAGAGAGTTAATTTAGAGAATCCATCAATAATTCTTGTAATACTTGAAGAATGGAAAAATATGAAAATACATAAAGATGACTTTTCTAAAATAAATGATAATTGTAATAAATTAGAAAATTTTCAGGAAACTACACAAAGCAAAAATTGTGAATTAATAAGAGTTTACATGGGAAGAGCAGTAGGTATTCAAAATTGGCATAATATAGGAAAAAAAATTCCTTGGTGGTTTAAATATACTTTAAATGAACGTCCAATATTAGGTCCAACAACTCTAGACAACGAACTTTCTTTTATTATGTGTAATATTGGTAAAGTTAAAAAGAATTCTATAATATTTGACCCATTTTGTGGAACTGGTGGAACTTTAATTGCAGCATCTCATTTAGGTGCTCTTTGTTTTGGTTCTGATCTCGATATTAGAGTTTTAAATGGCTGGTCATGTTCTTATATAAATCCCCATTTAATTAAAAGTGGAATTTTAGACGAGTCATTTTCTAGAAATGTATTTTCAAACTTTATATATTATAAATTACCTTTACCTGAGATAATTCGAATGGATGTATCTTCATCAATCCTTAGATACCCTTTTATTGATGCAATAATTTGTGACCCTCCATATGGTATAAGAGCAAGCTCTAGAACCACAAAATTTGAAATCATGGATGAATACTTTAATGATATCACACACTTTCCAACATCTAAAAGATTTGGATATATTCACTCAGTAAAAAATATAATTTATGATATGTTAATATTTGCATCAAAATATTTAGTAAACAATGGTAGAATTGTTTTTTTATTACCAGTTATATTGAATGAAATATCTATTAGTATTGATAAATTATATGAAGATTGGAGTAATATATATAATATTGAATATCATCATTTACAAACTTTAGGTGGGGGTTTAGGACGATTATTAGTTTGTATGACAACTAAATCTAAAAATTATGTGCAGTTTACAAGTAAATAGAAATTATAGATTGAATTATGAATAATTAACTTAATATTCTAACAATATATATAAATTAATATTGATAATTACTGTGAATAATTACACAAGATACAATCGATATTAATCACTTGAAGAATACATTAAGCTTAGAAATACTTATTTAGATCCCTATTATTTAGAGTTTATAATCTTTAGAATGTTTGTAAATTTTTTTTCTTAAAATATATTATACTTATATTGAAATCTATTATAGGATAATGAGATTTTGATATCTCCCTAATACTTCAGAAACTTCATATATATATATGAGATAAGGTTCTCTTTAAATACTATAAATTTATTTTCTAATATATAGACAAAACAAGCCTTATAAATACATTCGACAATAATTTGACATTATGCTACTTCTTGAGTATCAAATGCTGCAATTTTTTTTTTCTTCTTAGATTTATTATGAGAATAAGCTTCTATTGTCTTCTTTTTGTCCATCGTAATATCTTTGTCAGAATATTTTCGTATTATAGATTGCAATTTGTGGGATTGTAAAGGCTTCAGAGGTTCATAATTAGATTTACTACTTATTCCAAAGGAACTATTGTTCTGTTTTTTATGATCCCTTGTCTGAATGACCTCTACTACCCCAGTTTCTTGAGTATTATGTAAGGGACAATTTATCATTGATTGTAATAATGATGATGGAAGTGGACATAAATAAGTATTTAGACCTCTAGATAAATTTTTCATCTTTGTATTACCAAATTGCTGAGCTTTATCAAATTTCGAACAATATAATGTAGAAAAATTGGATAAAGTATCATCTTTATTATCACATGAACTAATTAATTCCTTTATCTTATTTGAGATGGAAGATAAGGGATTTTCTTGAGATTTACTTATTTTAGTGTCATTTATTAGTTGCTTCTCAAAACCACTAGAAATATATAGTTCTTCTATTTGCTTTATTATATCTAAATTATGCAAGTCTTCAAATGTAACCTCTCTTTCCACATCTTTTATAGTTCCCATAGTACTATCTAAACTCTCATCTTCTAATTTATTATCTAAACATCCAAGTAATTTGATGTAAATATCTGCACTAGATAAAAGTATTACAATATAACATTGACTTGTTTTTAATCTGTGACAAATCAAAGCATCTGATATCCAATTATCTTCAGGAATTTCAAGTTCCAAACTAGCTATATTTATTAAATTAAAAGGATCTAAATCTATATCATATAGATTTATTGTTGTTTTAGGATCTCTATCTATAATTGCAAAAGTAAAATTTCCTAATAAGTTTTTTCCATTAACTATAAAAGATGATGAGTTGAATTTACCCTCCCAGACTAATACATATGTATCAAGATTCCATATTAATAATTTAGAAAGTAATTCTGATGATATTACGCTGATTAGAAAAATAGAATCACTTTTTTTAACAATCTCAATCTGACTTAAGACTATTTGCTGTTCTGAGATTGCCATACCTTGATATTTAGGTACCGGAATAGCCTTAACTTCATTTAATGACATATTTTCATTATTAAATGAGTACAAAACTATTAAATTTGGTACTGTTACAGCAACAATACCTGTTTCCAAATATATATTGGATGTAAAAATGTACTTTTCATAACATGAAATTACTTGTGCACAATACCATTCATTTACCTCATTATTATATACCCATAATTTGATGTATTTGTCCTTACTTGCTGTTAAAAATATAGGATGTTTACATTCATACGAATAATTAGAAGAGCTACATTGAAACAATGCTACTACAGTATCCAAGTGAGCATCCACTATTTCTGTCATTATTTTATAAGAAATAATATCTTCACTTTCAATCTTCTCCCAAAATTTAAGATTATATCTTGACTTTTTATTCTTCAAAATCCCATATTTATGACATTCTGATGTAACAGAATACCTTCCACAATCTGAAAAAGTTACCATACTAAGAAAGCAGTGCTTATTAAGTACATCATTATATTTTGGTGCAGATAAACCCTCTCCAATACTTGAAACATATGATTCTTCATATTTCGTAAGAATTGATGCTATTGATTTATCTTTATATGCATCATGAATATGTACTTTAAAAGGATGACCAATAATAGCTACTGGTAATCCTGATGAATAACCACTATAATTTGATAATTTCATTGAACTAGTATTACATTTATAATTATCATTAGTTAATTTGTTACATTCTAATTTAATATTAGGTGAAACAACAAGATTATATGGTATAGCAATTCCTCTAATAGAATTTATGATTTTCATATGAACTAAATCCACAATTCTAATACAATTATCAGCACAAGTTATAGCTGCAGTTAAATTTGGAATTATAGCACCCATTTTAAATACTTTTTTATTATAGCATGATGAAAATACTGATATAGTATATATAGGAGCTCCTAAACGTGGTAAAAATTGTCTCGTTCCATTTTGCTGAGGTGATAATGACTCCTTTTTTCTAAATGTATCTGAAGCAAAAGTCTGACGCCATAATACAAGAACTGCTTCCTCACCTCCAGAAAGTACCACATCACTTTCTGGAATCATAGATATAGCTCTTAACTCATGAGAATGCCAATGACTAGTTGAGGTATTTATTGAGTTATTCATAAGCATTTTATCATATCTCTCTTCATCTATATTTGATGCTTCATTCCATATTGAATTCTCATTTTTGTAATCAATAGGAGGTAAAAACCAATAGGTTAGACGACCATATACATCTCCAGTTACTACAAATTGACAATTATAACAAATATCCATTGATATTAAATATTCTGAATGCCTAAATCGAACTATCTTGTCAGAATATATTGGAGTCCATAAAATTAGTATATTCCTCCATATAAAACAGAAAAGATTTCCATCTTTAGATACTTCAAAGGATGAAGCCCCATATGAAAACTTTATTACCTCTCTAGGTTTTATAGATCTACCAATATTTTCAGTATCTATTTCATTATTTGAAGTTAATTTTAGAATATCTTCAATAGATATTGAAAAAATAGATACAAAATTAGTATTCAAAGGTATCTCACAAATAGATTCTGCAGATGTTGTAAGAAAAAAGATATCTTTATCTGTTGTCTTCATATCAATTATAGAATTATTATCATTTATTTCAAATTCAAATATTGGATTTATAGTTAATTCATTCTCTATAAATTTGTACAATCTGCATTTACCATCAAGACTACTTATTATTATAATTTCCGGATTTAAATGCAAAGATACAACCCCAGAAATAGGCATTTTTGCACCTACTAGTTTAGAAATAATAGATCCATCTCCTAAAGTTTCATATATAAAGACTGTTTTATCTCTTCCTTTTGGAATAGCTAAATATTTACCATCCAAACAAAAGACTGGTTTAATCCGCAATGAGAAACAACCTCCACTAAACTGGGAATTGTTTAAGGCTTCCGGCTTATTCATCTTAACAAAACCAACTGTCAGATCTTATTCAACCAATTTTAACTCCCAATTAATTTCTTCTTTATTTCCTTTAGGTCTTCCCTTGACTTTCAAATCTGCCCTTTACCTCATCATATAATGGCGCACAGTATCGTGTCTCTCTAAATATCTCCATCACCTTGGGTCATATCATTTGAAGATGTAGCAAACATGTAAAAACTAAGTTTTAATAATATCCCAAGCTATAATAACCAAATTTGATCTAAGTAAATTCTTTTAATAGTTTAGAAACTTTGTTTGGCTTCCTTTAAGAATTAGAGTTTCTTAGATTTATTCGGAAATAAAGGATCTAATAAGAATTTAGGCTGTTACAAATGTTAATAATATAAAGGACAATAGTAAATATTTAGAAGCTTCTAATGTGATCAAAGAACTTAAATCTTAATATTTACATTGATTACTTTGTACTTTTTTTTCTTTTTTTATTCACAGTTACTATTATATTTAGAATATTGTCTAGAATATTACCCAAACCATTAAGACTTCTATGACACTTTTTAATTCAAATATCTCTCTTTAAAATAAAGTTATAGAAACTTAAAGAAAGTTGATATTATAAGATTATAAGAATCTCGTTATAATACAACTTGAAAATTGGAAAAAATATTAAGTACCTCTAAATCAATATAAAATTATAGAACATATTTAGAAATATTCAATCTAAATTTAGAATCGTATAACTAATTTACATAATGATAAATAGTAAAATAAAAGATATTTCATTAGCTGAATATGGTTTTAAAGAAATAAAGCTTGCAAAATCTGATATGGCTGGTTTGACAGCCTTAAAGGAGCAATATGAGGATTCTAAACCATTGAAGGGAGCTAAAATTACTGGTTGTTTACATTTAACAATTGAAACTGCTGCATTAATTGAAACTTTAGCAGCTTTAGGTGCTGAAATAAGATGGTGTAGTTGTAATATATACTCAACTCAAGATCATGCTGCTGCTGCTGTTGTTAAGAGTGGAAAAGCTATGGTATTTGCGTGGAAGAATGAAACTATTGAAGAATATTGGTGGTGTGTAAATCAAGCATTAATATGGCAATGTGAATCAGGAATTAGTGGACCAAATTTAATTATTGATGATGGTGGAGATGCCACTTTAATAGTTCATGAAGGAGTAAAAGCTGAAAAGTTATATAGAGAAAGTGGAATTATACCAGTATATCTTGATAGCATCATAGATAATAGAGGTTTCCCATTATCTGAAGATACAAAGGCAATGTATGCACTAATAAAGCAAGATTTAATAGTAAATCCATTTAAATGGTCTGAAATATCCAAAAATATTTGTGGTGTTAGTGAAGAGACTACTACTGGTGTAATGAAACTCAATATGATGGAAATGAAAAAAGAATTATTATTTCCTGCCATAAATGTAAATGATAGTGTCACAAAATCCAAATTTGATAATATATATGGTTGTAGACAATCGTTAATTCATGGATTATTTAATGGTTGTGTACCAATGATAGGTGGTAAAGTAGTAGTATTACTTGGTTTTGGTGATGTTGGAAAAGGTTGTGCTCAAGCATTATCAGGTACTGGAGCAAGAGTAATAATTACTGAAATAGATCCTATATGTGCACTACAGGCTATAATGGAAGGGTATGATGTCAAAGTTATGGAAGATGTTATTCATATAGGAGACTTTTTTGTTACTGCTACTGGAAATAAAAATGTAATTACTCTTGAACATATGAGAAACATGAAAGATAATGCAATTGTTGCTAATATTGGACATTTTGATCATGAAATTGATGTTTTAGCATTAGAATCTTATCCAGGTATTAAAATAACTGAAATTAAGACTAATGTTCATTTATATACATTCCCTGATACAGAGAAGGGGATTGTATTATTATGTAAAGGACGTTTAGTTAATCTTGGATGTGCTTCTGGTCATCCACCTTTAGTTATGTCTATGTCATTTACTAATCAAATATTAGCACAAATTGAATTATGGAACAATAGAGACAAAAGATATATGAAAAAAAAGGATACAGTTTTGATGAAAAGTGCTCAATATAATGAAGAATCATATTTTAAAGTTACAAGACTTCCAAAGCATCTTGATGAGTTTGTTGCAAGGGTACACTTAAATGTTGTGGGAGCTAGACTTACAAAGTTAACAAAAGAACAAGCCGAGTATATTAATGTGCCTATTGATGGACCCTATAAATGTGAATCTTATCGTTATTAATATTACAAAATAATTTAAAATAAAATATTTTCTAAATTATTACTAATATAATCTAAATTTCTGGTTTAAATTTACCAATGCCAACCCAATTTCCACCTATATTAAAAAGATCACTTTTATTTTTTATTTTGCAAATATCTCCAATCTTTTTCAATCTTTTCTCTCTAATATTTGAGTATGATCTTCTTACTTCTAAAATATAATTATCTAGATCAGGATTTTTAAATTTACCCTCTTTATTTTTGTCTAGCTTTTGTCTAGTTTTTTCTGATATAATAGGAGGAGAATTTACTATATCCCCAAATCTTGGATATTTAGTATTAATTACCTCATCTTCTTTATCTCCTATTTCCTTATATTTGTTGCTAATTCTCTCAATTTTTTTATTTAATCGCTTTTCACGCTTAATTTTAAGTTTTGCAGAACGAACCTTTCTTAGTGTCTCTCTATCATTCTCATATAAATCTCTATGCATTTCATAATCCACTCTCTGAGAAAATTCTTTTAAACTCTCATTTGCCATTGGTTTCAGAAATTTCCTCTTGTTTTTTATTCCAATGACCTGTTTATGAATACCAGGGATAACTTTAAGGGGTAAAATCTTCTGTTTTTGGCATGAACTTGGATATCTACAGTTTAAAATAGTACCATCCTCTTTAATTATACCATCCCAGTCACTTACTGGTAAATTATATTTATCATTATTATCAAAATGTCTTATTCGTCTATTCTTCTCTAAAGTCTGTTTTTTTCTCAAAGGGATAACCATTGAAATATAGAATGTTTACCAGTCTAATATTGATAATATATTGAGCGGGCAAATTAAATTGGCGCTGGAAATAGCTCCCCACAAAGTTTACATTGACATGCACTTTTTACTATTTTTTATATACTGAATTTTTTGTAGATATGGTAATTGGGTTATCTAAACAAGACGTCTCTGAAGCAATTATATTAGAGCAATTGTATGGAATTTTGAGAGATTGGAGAATTTGCATGAACTGTAATTCAAATGCCTCAACTCATTTAGATACTGCAAAGAATATTCTTATTTGTCATCCATGCACTAAATCTAAATTATCATGTAAAAGAATAGGATCTGACAGAATTTCTATGAAACAAGTAGAAAACTTAAAAAAAAATTTGATTAAAATAAAAAATAAGAAACATAAGGGATTCTCTATTATAAATCTCTTAAAAAGCAAAACACTGAAAAAAAATTCCTATAATGAAGATTCTGAGTTTGAAAAATATAGCAGTAATATAGAGGAATGTCTTCTTAGTAATATATTTCCAAATAAGTCTGATAAATATTTAACATCATCATCTTATACCTATTCAAGAGATAATTGTGGTTTCGTATCTGATTATGATGACGTAACAAAATCAGCTAATCTAACCTATAATTTAAGAAGATATCAATCAATGCAAAATTTTGGTAATTTAAATTTTAATGGGAGAGCATATAGAAGTGAAGCTGAGCTAGATTACCCTATTAATAATGATAAGAGGAATTCATCGTGTGTAAATTTTCGTATGAATAGTAAAAATCCATTTTCAGAAAATTCGTGGTGGAATAATAATTAAAATCTAAATATTTTAAAATAAAGAGAATATCATTATCTAATTAATATTTTTTTAAGCTTCAAATAAAATTATTTATTTTTGCTATATAAACCATTGTGGGAATCTCGTAACCAAAATCTTGACGAATATTTGACTTTCAATTACCTGAATATGGGCAGCTCTTCCAATAAAAGTATCCAAATTTTTTTGGGGAAGATAGAAATTTACATCAATCCTAGTTAAATTTTTAGGATCGACATCTTTAAGAATCGCTTTTACCATATCTTTATATGCTAGAAGGCTATCTGGAGAACATTCTGCTCTAGCACTATCATAAGGTGCATACATATCCTGATGAGAAGAGCAAAAAACAATATATTTAAAACTTGAAAGATAGTGTGAATTTTCAATTGCTAGCTTATATAAATATGTTTCTTCAATATTATAAGAATCTGAGAGTGTTAATTGGGTTAAACAAGGAGAATTTTTCCACTTTTTCATTAACCAAACACCGACATTTACAAGTTTTGAAGAGCTTGATAAATATCCTAAATGAGGAGTACTCAAAGTCCAAAAAAGAAAAAAATTTTGTTTAAATTGTTTTAAGTATGGTAATGCAGCCCTAATAATTAGTCCACCAAGAGAATGACCTACAAAGGAAAGTTTTTCAAGAGAATTACTGAAAGGAGTTACAGCTTCAATAATTTCAGAGCTAAGCCTTTTACCCATCTCTTCAATTGGTTCATCAGTTAATTCTTCATTACAAGTACTTAGTAAACAAAGTACTTCAGGATAATACAATGAAATAATATTCCTTACATTTCTCATATCAAAAGCAGTACCCTGAAAACCATGTACAAATATCATTATATGAACCCCTACATTTTTTTTAAAATTTTTTTGAATACATTTTTTTGAATTTTTTTGTTCTATTATCGGAATCACTGGAACTTCATTTGTAGATCTTGTATCTGTAGTAGATGATGCAGTTAATGTAGGTTTTTCAAAATCATTTATTAATACCTCATCTACTATATTTAAAGCTTTTATTATAGGATCATTATTTAGTCCTACTCTACAAGCCTGACCACAATGCACTAAAATACCACCTAATTTCTTATTAGTATTTGATTCAGAATATTGTTGAATAAATATTATTGGTAACCATTCATTATATTTACTACTTGTTATAGAAATAGGAGTATCTAAAGTCTTTTTGGGATCTATTGAATCATTAGAATCTTCAAAAATTGAAGATAAGCAAATTTCCTCTACTAAAGTAGGCGATGGAATTGATTTAAATACAGAATCATTCCTTAATTGTTCAGCTATTTTTGAATGATATTCAACTGGTTTCATAAAATATGAAGTTGACTTTTGAGATCCAATTATCCATGGAGATAATAAAGCTAATGTGCCTCGTGACTTTTGTTTAATTATCTCTTCTTCAGTAGGAGATGAATTTACAGACAATATTGAAGGAGGAGTTATTGGAAACGTACCATTTCCAATAAATTCTGGAAATTTAGGTGGTAAAGGTTTTAGATTAGGTATTAACATTTCATCATTAGGGAGTGTCTCTATAAAAATTACTTCATTCCAAAGATACATCTTTTTTCTTATATATTCCATCCTAGCAATATTCTCCAATTTTGGAAGTACAAAAGGAAAAATACTAATAATACGATCCCAACTATTAGTAATTTGTTGTGACAAATCTGTTATATTATCTAATAATATCTTCCCATATTGTTCAATTCCATATGGAGATTTAATATAACTTTGTAAAGTTGGTAAACTACAAACTGTTGTTGCATAATCTATATTATTATACTGTGGTGATAAATCATTTCTAAATAATGGAGGTGTTATTCCTCTCTTATAATTTAATTGCCAAAATAAAGGAGTTAAAGACCATATTGTATTAGGAAATCTAATACAACATGTTGATGTTAATTGTTTCTTTGTTTTAAATCCTTGCATATTATCATGAGGTGATATTGTCTCTAAATCATTATCTAATTTATCCCATTCAGTATAATTATCATTAATCAAATTCATCTCTTTAAAATCATTTTCATTTAATTTAACTACAACAAAAGGTACTGTAGCACCATTCTCAACATAAGAATATTTTTCAAGATCTATTAGTGGTTCTACATTTATTTTAGTACCTCCAGGTAATTCTAAATAAGGAATACTTAATAATGATCCCATTAAACGAAGTCTTTGGGTACTGCAACATTTACTAATAATAAATTTCATATGGGCAGCTAGTTGAATAAATATATAAGTCAAAGTTGAAACCAATTCTAAACGAAGTCTAGAACATTCCAGAAACATTGGATCACGAGTTATTACTGAAGGAAATACTTCATCAATACTTATTACATTATTCTCTAATTTTGATAAATCAGCCTTATCATTATCTTTATTATTATTTGATTTATCTACTAATTCAGATATATTATTTTTCTTATTCAAAAATTCTTCTGAAATTGATATTTGAGCTATCTTCTGAAGAATTATACCTCTTATAGTAAAAATAGTTCTTTTATCACTTTTTCTATAAATATCCAAATCAGATTTCGCACTTTGTATAAATAAATTTGAATTAAAAGATGGATTCCCTAGTTCAGCAGTAATAGTATCTCCAAGTAATAAAAAAGAAGGTATTTGTGGTTGAGATTTTGGAACTTTATACCTTGTATAATATTTTGTTAATTTAGGAGCTCTTAGTACAGGAGAAATAAATAATCCAGTTATTTGTGTCATTATTATACACCCTATATGACAAAAGTGATATTCATCAAATATTATTGGGATATATTCTACTATTCCACTTGATACATTATTTATTTTGTAAACATTATAAGAAACACTAGAATAATCTCCTATCTTCAATGGAATATCTTTATTATTTATGTTATCTGTACAAGATATAATTGGAGTTCCTAAAATATCTGATATTACCATTTCAGAATATAAAAGATCAACTTCCAAAAAAAAAGGTACTAATTTAATATTACCATTTAGATAGCTATTCTCACTATTATGAAAAGAATTTGCTGATAATGTTTCAAAAAAAAATGATGTACTCTTAGTAGGAGGAATATAAAGAGGTATATCACTGCTAAATAAAATTGTCTCATTTATGTCTATAATATCATCTATATATTTAATTAATATAGGACTTGTTACTGAAGAGCCATCTTCTAAAATTTCTGCACTTTCAGATTTAAATTGATTATTCCTTGTATGAAGTATTTTAGTGGGAGTAATTCCATATGTACAATCTCCTTCTACATAATATAAACGACACATTAATCTATAATAACCATTTTGTAATAAGTCAATATTACGAAATTTGCATAAATTTATGGCAACATTTATTGTGGCATGTAGTTCCATCAAATATATTATTAATTATTGTAAAAATATCAAAATCTCATTATTTTTCCCTAGGATCAGAAAATTAATTTTTTACATGGATAAGACAAAAAATTTTATGGCGCCTTATAGACTTTTTGCCCCTTTTAAAAAGCTTTGTCTAATGATAAATAAAAAGCGTCTAGTCGTATCTTTTGTTGGGAAGAAGACGTAAGGATATTATAGAAAAAAAAAGTTATATTCTTAGTATTGTTGAAATTTCATTTAAATAGAAATATTATTTTTTTTTAAATAAGCTATTATTTAAAGTTTTAGTATTAGTATTAGATCTAAGAAATATGACATCCCTAGATCACCTTTATAAAATGAAATTACAGGGGATATGTCCTTTCCTAATATTGGATTGATAATAATACTGAAGAAGAATAAAAAAGAATCAAGTAATATATAATAAAACCTAATTCCCAATATATACTAGAGAGACACTTAACTAAATTACACTGAGGATCTTCTATCGAATAATAAGAGTAATTTTTTTATATCACTACCGCCTGCTGACTAAAATTGACAGGGATTATATTGTAAATGACTTTATTCCTTTTCCTCTTTTTTTTTTTTTCTTTTTCTTTTTTCTTATTTATATTAAGATGAAACAAAAACCCTAAATAAAACCAGGAGATAATACAATTAACTCAATTGGCGCGTATTTAACAGGCGCCAATGAGTAACCCCACCTGTATATTTTTCTTTTGTGAACTTTATTTTTTTTCCTATAGAAAAAAAAATTAAAGTTTATTTTAGCTATAGATAGCTATAAAAGATTGTAATATATTTTTAAATAAAATATATATTGATTAATATAAGGGGAAATACTATAAATTTTCTAAGTAGTATTTAGCTCAAGATCTTATTTTTGGCTATAGCTTTAAAGGTACATGGATTAAATTAACAAACTATTTTATTACCATTAAGTGGCAATGGTTTCTCAGATATCATCGCCACTATCTAACACAGTAGTATGTTCTACTTGGAAGATAGAAAGGCTCATTGGTGGAGGTAGTTTTGGTGACATATATCTGGCTGTAAACATTGAAACTAATGAAGAAGTTGCTATAAAAGCTGAATCAACATTTTCTAGACATCCTCAACTTGTATATGAAACAAAAGTTATAAGGTTATTACAAGGAGGTGTTGGTATTGCAAATGTTTACCATTGTGAATTAGATCGTGAGATTAATCATCATATAATGGCAATGGAATTATTAGGTCCATCATTAGAAGATTTATTTAACTTGTGCCATAGAAGATTTAGTTTAAAAACTATATTGATGATTGCAGATCAAATGTTGCAGAGAGTCGAATATATCCATTCAAAGAATTTTATCCATCGTGATGTAAAACCTGATAATTTTTTGATTGGAAGAGGTAAAGGTATTTGTGATATATATATTATTGATTTTGGTTTAGCTAAGAGATTTCGTGATCCCAAGACATTACAACATATTCCCTATAGAGAGAACAAGAATTTGACTGGTACAGCTAGATATGCATCAATTAATGCTCACTTAGGAATAGAACAAAGTAGAAGGGATGATTTAGAAGCAATTGGATATGTGTTAATGTACTTTTGTAGAGATGGGACCTTACCATGGCAAGGAATACGAGCAAATAATAAAGAAGAGAAGTATAAAAAGATAATGGAGAAGAAGATGGGGACATCTGTTGAAATGTTATGCAAAGGATATCCTCCAGAATTTGCAACATATTTACATTATTGTAGGGTTCTTAGGTTTGAAGACCGTCCAGATTACAACTACTTAAGAAAATTATTCCGAGATCTTTTTCAAAGAGAAGGTTATATAGATGATGGTAATTTTGACTGGAGTCGATTTGATTTACTTGGTTTTAAAAGGAGTGAATCTTATACTTCAAATATTATGCCAGCTTCAGATGCTTTACAGAAATATGGATCAAATCAACAAGTTATTATGAATGGTAATAAAATTTCTGATATGAAGAAGATCTCAGCATCAAAGAATTATAGAAAAGGAGTGAATTCATCTTCTTCTAGAAAAGCTAATAAAGGAGCATGTACAGCCACTCAAATAAATGATGATGCTTTAGCTCCAGTAATTGAAGGGTGTTTGATGTCTAATACTATCAAAGAACCTATTAATAAAAATACTCGCAAATATCAATTAGAAGATAAAAATGTTTTTAATAATTCTGGACTAGATGAAAATAAAACCAAAAAGAAATTATCCAAACGTAAAATTTTTATCAAGAAATTTATATGCCCTTGTGCATTTATTGAGAAATAGAAACTATTATCACTTTTTTACACAGATTATATTGTAAATAGGGAATTCTTTTTTATAAATTACAATTTGTTATACAGGTAAAACTACTAACTTAAGGGACAAATCAATATATTATATTCTTTATGTGGAAGTATTTTTTGGAATTTATAATTTTTGATATTGAAATCGAAATTCATTAATATCTCTAATTTATAAAAATATATTCTATTATAAAGACTTAAGACTTAAATTGTCATTAAATAATGACTTAATTTGATCATTACTTATTTATCTTCCTTTCAATAAACTTATAAGTTATTTACTGATTCTAAAAAAACTCTAATATAATTTTCTTTATTAAGAGATTGTTTGACTCTATTTTGTTATTATATTCATCTTTCATATACTTAAGATTTTTTTTTTCTTTTCCTTTAATGATAACATTTATTGATTAGAACATAAATGTATTGATTAACTTATTACTTATATTTGCATTTACTTAAATATAAATAAGATAGTTCTATTAATTATTTCCATTGGATTACTAGAAGTTAGTTAGGTTAGGTTAGGGGGGGTTAGGTTAGGTTAGGTTAGGTTAGGTTAGGTTT